GGTATTTAGTGTAATTTCTATGTTAAACCATTGACATCCTAAATTACTTTTTAAATTGTTAATGATAATTGATTAATATACTCTTTGATGTCTGACCCTGGTCACTATTTTAGAAAGAAATCGCTGTTTTAAAAACACTAGGAAAACTTAAAACGTCGTGAGACGCGCGCAAAGCACGCGACATGTATTTTTAAATGTAAACAAACGCGCACGGACACTGTTCCATTGTCGCTATGAAATACTTCTGAACCTACATAAAACAATGTAAATACTGAAACAAAGACGTTTACAAAACTTGCGATTTGAAACTCAACCGACTTTTTGTTTATAAAGACATCACCAAGGGTATTTAGTGTCATTTCTATGTTAAACCATTGGGATCATAAATTTACGGGACGCTTCTCGTGGTTGTTAACAAGACTGTTCTAGAAAAATTCGACTCTCCCTTCGTTTCTATATTAGTTTTATTTAGTAAAGAGATAACTGTGCCCCTGACAATTATTCTGACCAAATCAATAGGCACTTATATAGTCATGAATGAAGGGGCAGCGTGGTAGAACTTACGAGTTCGAATCCAGGTTCAAAGACAGTAGACTGTCCCGAGTCTACCCAACTCTGATGGGTACCTAACTTACGTTAGGGAAAGTAAGGCGGTTGGACATAGTGATGAACACACTATCACTTCATATGCCGAGATCACAGAAAGAAAAAAAAAAATTATTTGTTTATCTTCTATATTAATATTTTTTAGAAAATTATAAAAATATAAACAAAATGTATTTAAATATATATAAGTGGTCGTCAAAATGATGGCTATAGAACCTTTAAGTTAAAAGGTGGTTAAAAAATAAATAAAAAAAAACAATGAAAACAATGAAAACGTTGTGATTACAACATATGTAAATATTAAAACCAACAAAGCAAACAGCCACAACAAATAAAACAATCACACTTAACATAATTAACACGACTAGACAAAAAACAGAGGACAAAAACAGACTGATAGTAAATAGTAACGGCTATTTATAGATCAACTGTATGAGAAATATGGCCTATTGTAAAGCAAGCCTAGCTGAATAAATTATTTTTAATGACTATTTAAACATATCTTTTCAAAAAAAAAATCGATACTCTATTGTTTGTCGTCGCGGCCGTAAAGGAGCGTCACGGAAGACAATAGGAGGAGGGGAACACCTGCTCCAGCTGGAGTATTTTACTATATAACATGTCTGCTCTGGCTGCTCAATATTTTACTATATAAACATGTCTGCACAAATTCGACCCAAAGGGGACCTACTATACTACTGTTGAGTTTAAGGCTACATTTCTATTTATTTTCAAGTTTAAGTTATAACCCGATGTTTCATTTTCGTAAGACAAGCATTGATAGGTTGTACAGGAACTCCGTGATCGATAGTTGTTTGTTTACAAAACTTTGCAGATGAAGTTTTTAAATAACATTATGTTATTTTAAACCACATGACCGAGTTCTGCCATTTTGTTTACATTTTGTATGATAAAATGTATGCTATCCTATCGAATGTCATTGTTTATGTCGCCATTACCACTTGAAAACCAAATTATTTTTGTCTTTTTTTTTAAAAATAAGGTTTTATTGCTGAAAATACCAAAACGTCAAGTACATCCACACTTTTTTAAAGTCCGAAAAATAACAGGATTTTATAACTATATTAATTTTATTACACCGCGCCTGATTTTTAACATATTTAATGGGCCTCTTGAATACCTTATAGTCTAATCTCGCGCGGGTCCATTAGTTCTGTCAGCATTCCGCCACTCCCCAAAGACAATTCTCTTCAAGTCATTGGCCCTTCAATGTACGTAACGAACCAACAAAGACTGTCGCTACACAATCTTTTCATCATGTTTTGATTGCTGGGTTGGCGGTTCACATTCCTTCAGCCCTCCCGCGGTGTTCGCCTCCCCCCCCTCCTTCTCTAAGGACACAAGTGTCGCCGCCGCCTCGTCAAAACAAAAGCACCCCCTCCCCTCCAACAAGTCCCCAGCTAGTCAAAACAAAAACACTTCTCCCCCCCCCCCTAACACGTCCCCAGCTGGTAAAACAATGTGGCATACAAGGCGAAAAAACAAGCAACTTCCGCATTTTTTTCTCACGTCGTCGCCATATTTTGCCGTTCCCAGAGATTCTGCCTCTCAATAGTGATTTATTATCGATTCAAAATTACTTTTCGTATCCAACCAAAATAGAAAAGCGCTTTTTTTTAAATTTTAAATCAAATATTTTATTTTTAAATATATATTCGACATCTAATATCTAAGAAGAAAATAATTTTTAATTTTAATGCTTTTTTTAAAGTATAGAATCAAATTAAATGTAGCCAATTGATTTGAAATTACTTCGATCTATTTTAAAAAAAAAAAAAAGTGTTTCCAACCAAAATAGAAAATTAATTTTTTAAAATGATATATGAAACGCGTATTTTTAAATATAGATTCGACATTACATAACAAATGAAGAAGTTTTTTTTTTTAAAGAATAAAATAAAATGTATATTTTGAAAAGTCCGTGTTTGATTGGCTCTCACATCAAATAACTTACCAAGACTGACAAAAGTAATAAATATCAGCTAATCGTGTGATACATTTCCTAATGAGAACTAAAATCCACAGGACATTGCAAGAATTATGCGGGCAGCAAGATATCCAAACATGTTTACTTTCTCCCCAACGACCATAGCTGGACAGACTCAAAGACTTCATACAGGCTCGAACTCGCAAAACTCCGTTAGCAATCATGTGCTCTACCTTTCCACCACGACACCCCATTTGTAGTTAGCTCTGGCTGTAAGACAACAACATAATATATTTCTGTGATGACTAAAAATTCTCCACACATTACTTATTCTACTTTCAGTCTCCCTACCACGACACCCCGTTTGTATGTAAGATAACAACAAAATATATTTCTGTGATGACTAAAAATTCTCCACACATTATTTATTCCCAACACTTTCAGTCTCCCTACCACGACAGACAAGGTGACGTCCCTTTGTTGAAAAATTCCGCTTGGCGCCAACGCTTGTACTTGTTAGCACGTTGTGAAACAATTACTTGTAAATTACTGTAAACTCGTTGATTCCAGACGACGAATATAAATTATGCAATTAAATTTGCCATTTTAAAATAATAACAAAATTCCTGAATGGCGGCCGTGCTGGACATTTTTTAACAACTTGAGCGATGACTTTGTTTCCATTGTTGACGTAAAAAGTTCACTTCCGGGCAGGGGTCAGCCCTTGTAGTGGGCGGGGTTCAAAGTTCGTCATCCGAGTTGCATTTTGGTGGGAGTTGGTAAAGGTGGCTTAGCTGAGTGGTAAAACTTCGTCGGTCTAAAAATTGGCAAAAATTCGGATGATGCTCAACTGTAGTTGAATGCGCTCAAATATTTATGTCTATGTGCTGCATTAGGGACGGCGTGGTCGAGTGCTGCTTACGACTGTTAACTTGAATGTCTTGAGTTCGGATCCCGGGCTCGAGTAAGTAGGACATCCCTGAGTCCATCCAGCTCGGATGGGTACCTGACTCAGGAAAACTAAAGTGGCATAGTGCTGACCACACTACCCCCCCCCCCCCCTATTGAAACCTTGTCTTGGTCACGAACGTGAAAAATATTATGGTTATGTGCTGTAGGCCTATTACGTAAGGAAAAAAATGACGCCGTTTGTTTTTGTCCATCTTTTAATTATAAGTAAAAAAAAAGTTACTTGTATTTCACAAATACATGTACAGCCAGCCATTTGAAAGAAAGGAATTTACTTTTTGTTTTCGATGCAATGACTGCATATTCGAGAAAAATATATTAGTGTTGTGATTACACACCACACCCAACAAACAGAAAATTATTGCTGTCGTCATAATCCATAAGAATACTAGTATGAACGAATGTGGGAGGGAGGGGGGGGGAGGTTCCACCCTTGGTCTAAATTATTTTATCATAAATATTTACAATTGGGTAGCAAAATCAGGTCCGCCCTATACGTGTATACACCTTGGTCTGTTAATTGGTGACCGCCCAAGGAAATAATGGGTTCGGCCATTCTGTTCATTATGACACACCGGAAGTGGCTTTTATATGTAGCCTATATGTTAATGACAAAACATATTAAGTCTATTAGTGAAATATACAAATGTAAAAGAAATAAAAGAAAGTTGAGTTGAGTAATGTTGATTGTCTATGATTTACTTAAAAACAAAAAAATTAAAAGTTGAGTTCAGTAATGTTGATAACAAAACGCTTCTATTATTTACCTGGAAAACGTATACATATAAACAAAAGGAAACTGGAATTGAATTAAAAAGTGTTTTCACTCAAATTAAGAGCTCGACTAAATCATGTTCATATCTTCACGCTGTGGGGTCACAAGGTGGGGTGTTAACCACCACCACCCCCACCTTCCGAGGCGCTTCTGTCTTTACGCATCCAGCACATAAAGGTTAAAACATTGCCAACATAACGTCTTCTGCAGAGCATTAAATACAAAATAGCGTGCAATACTTTTAGTTGTCCTTGTAGTTAGGCCTACAAACTTATCTGCCCACATTTTGTCTTTCTGCAGGCCTACAAACTTATCTGCCCACCTGCAGGCCTACAAACTTATCTGCCCACATTTTGTCTTTCTGCAGGCCTACAAACTTATCTGCCCACCTGCAGGCCTACAAACTTATCTGCCCACTTGTAGGCCTACAAACTTATCTGCCCACATTTTGTCTTTCTACAGGCCTACAAACTTATCTGCCCACATTTTGTCTTTCTGTAGGCCTACAAACTTATCTGCCCATATTTTGTCTTTCTACAGGCCTACAAACTTATCTGCCCACCTGCAGGTCTACAAACTTATCTGCCCACATTTTGTCTTTCTGCAGGCCTACAAACTTATCTGCCCACCTGCAGGCCTACAAACTTATCTGCCCACCTGCAGGCCTACAAACTTATCAGCCTGCATTTTATCTTTCTGCAGGCCTACAAACTTATCTGCCCGGCGAAGAAAGTCTGCGCTCTACAGACGATTGAATGGCCTTCACCTATGAAGTTTCCAGTTTGTGTTCATCGTCGCCATTTTGAAGGTGAATTAAATTTAAAAGAACAACAAATAAATATATTTTAAGAAATCTCTGACATAAGTTAAGAATTTTTTTTTACTACTGTTTAAGCATAAAAATTATTTTTTCCTGCTAGTTAAGTCATGTGTTTTTAACTGCTATTTAAGACAAGAATTTTTGTTTCTGCTAGTAAAGTCGAGAATTAAGTTTTTAACTGCTATGTAAGACAAAAAATTTTTCCTACCAGTAAAGTCAAGAATTAAGTTGTTAACTGCTATTTAAGACAAGAATTATTTTTTCCTACCAGTAAAGTTAAGAATTAAGTTGTTAACTGCTATTTAAGACAAGAATTATTTTTTCCTACCAGTAAAGTTAAGAATTAAGTTGTTAACTGCTATTTAAGACAAGAATTATTTTTTCCTACCAGTAAAGTTAAGAATTAAGTTTTTAACTGCTATTTAAGACAAGAATTTTTTCCTACCAGTGAAGTCAAGAATTTGTCGCAAAGCCCCTGAGCCGGGAAGGTGTGGCGCCAAGTTTATGAGATGGTACTTTAACGTTCACATGGGCGCCTGTAGCTGGTTCACCTACAGGTTAGTTACATCATTATAATTAGCCTAATGAGGACACATGCAGGGGGAAGTCTGCACGTTAATGGCGCTTTAATTACGCCGTGCTTTTTATGGAATGCAAAAAAACGGTACCTTATTATAATCAATTAGTCATATTGGGTTTTTTTTATAACTTCCGTCTTGTGTGCTGAAAGTTTAGTTACGTCATTGTACGTGTCAGGTGGGACGGAAAGTCTAGGTGGCAAAAAAGGGTTATTGCAACGTTAGCAGTTTCTTTCAAGCATTTGTTCAGATGAGAGGGGGTAGAGGCAGCTCCACCTTTACTATTTCCCCCTCCCCTTCCCCGCCTCCCACCCGTAGAATAAATTTTTTTTTAGAAAATTAAAAAAAAAAACTGTCGTCGTTGTTGTCATCTCCCTCCCCCCCCCCCGCCTCCGTGCTCAAAAGTTTCAAGATCCCACCCTCCCCACACCCCTCCTCGTAGAAAAATGTCTGAAAGGAACCCTGAACGTTAGTGGGGGGGGGGGGGACTGAGGGGTGGGGGCACCTTGAGAGACCGATAGCATGCCCCAACTAGACATTTGTCCTGTTTTGTCTTTGTATCTGCATGCTAGCGAAGTGTCCACGTTTTTTTACCTTAGAGCAGGTATAGATGAGCTTACACCAGGTAACCTCCAAACTCTGGGGTTAACTCGATGCACACAGGCCAGCTAATACAACCCACTGCACCAGTTTACCCACATTGTTGGGGGGGGGGGGTGGAAGAAATAGAAAATCGTCGCCGCCCCCCCCCCCCCCCTCACACACACACATTAACATACCACCACTATCCTCCTCCCCCACCACCCTCAGTCTTAAACAACTAAAACCTTTTGTTTCAGTGGTTGTGGCGGTAATGAAAACAACTTTAGAACCGCTGAGGAATGCGAGGCTAGGTGCACGGGCACTAAGGAGAAGAAAGGGGACAAGAAGGTGGACAACGAAGCCGTAGACTACGTGAGTATTACAGCACTATAATACAGGTACTTGTAGCCGTATTCACACCATTGAATATATAGATCAACTCAATGGCTCCTTATTCTTATAGACAATCAGAAAATTGAGCCATGGAAATCAAGGCACAAAGTGTTGACAGCGAGTTGAGAAGAGCCAGATAGTGACCATGTATCATATCCTCCCTCCCCACACAGCTGATTAAATATACGATGTTCCAGCAATTGATATGTAATCCCAACATAGGCTTTGATTTCAAATACAGAAGGCCACTATAAAATGAGTTCAAGAAGCGTCAATATCAATAATGTACGTCACGGTTTGCGTTACTGCGCATGACTGCCGTAGTTAGCTCCCCTATATATTTGACATGCTACAATTCCAGAGGCGTAGCTAGGGTAAGACCGATGGGGCGGCTGTCCCGGGCGCCTGCCATACACGGCCCTAAACGGGGTAGAAACAAAATAAAAAGTACGTTCTGAACTGTATTACTGGATAAATTCAGTCGAGGTTAAGAAAAAAGCTGCTACTTGGCTTTTCAGACTTATTTAATTGTCTGACAAAAAAAAAATAACTCGCACCGGGCGCCATAAAAGGGTCGCTACTGCCCTGTACAATTTTAACTTGTTTTTTTTTATACTTATAACATTTAAAACTCATGTATTACAGGAAGATGACAGCGACATAGACGACGACTTCGAAGTTGAAATAAATGACGTTCGACCACCCAAGTTTATTACCGCCCCTGCCAAGGCAGCGGAAGTGCTAGAGACGGACAACAACATGAGGGCGTCGCTTGTAGGGGACACACAGACAGCCAAACCAAAGCAGCGCGTCGATGGCGCGGCTGGGCACAAGGGGAGAAAAAATAAAAAAGGGAAGGATAAAAAGCAGAAGAAAAATAAGAAAAGAAACAATGCTAAAAAGCAAAAACTTTCAAATAAACCAAGGGACGGTACTGAAAAAAATAACTTGTCAAATAAAGATTTACCTCCCCTGGTTAAACCAGACTTGGTTAGAGGGAACGAAACCAAACCAAGCAATTACTTAGAAATGAGGTCACCGAGTACGATGTTTAGAACATCCGGTTTTCATAAAGGGGGACAACTGTGGTTGATGGACGGCAGGTTCAAGAAACCAGACGGCGGAAAACGTAAACAGAAAAGGAAACCTGTGACCCCCAGAGCTGTAAGTCCAACTGACCCATCCTGGTCTGGGGTTGAGCAAGATAAGTATTACGACAGGGTGACGTTGTTCAATATCCTGAGAAAAGATGACAGATCAAACCCGGTGTAGAAGATTGTTCCGTTGTGTAAAAATTGCAATGCTGATGTCTGTTTTTTACATTGCCCATCACAACCACTATGGGTTAACTATTAATGTGAATTCAGGGGTTTACAAATATTCAGGCACTGGATATTAAAGGGTTAATTGGACAGTTTAGTGTTGTGGTGAGGGGAGGGTATATTTTTGTAATACAGTAAGTTATGTTTACAAACTAGTAATCAATCTTTCAAGGGTTAACAACAGTTCAATAGTAAGTACAAAACACAATTTTTAAGGGGTTAACTAGGCTACATGAGTTGCAGTTGAGCAAATTCTTGGCTCTGATAAAACTGGATGCATTAATTATAATGTTAATTTTAATTTATTTAATGAGCAGGCTTTAATTAATAAAATTATTTTGTAACTCTGCCAGTTATTTCATAAATATGTCTGTTTTGCTAATTCTGTGTAGAACTAGGTGACTGAGTATTACTTTTGGGCTAATGATAGTTAACTTAAATTCTGTTTAACTGATACTAATTTGCTTTAGATAATATTTTTTTTTAAATGTCATAAATTAATGTAATTTAGTTTCAATTTTTAACACACACAAAATTAATATTGATGGCAATTTAGATTAAATTTCAAACCAAAAAATGTGTATGTAGGCTAATGAATAACGTAAGCACATATATATTTGTGTAAAAAGTGTAAACATTACTGCTTAACATACAACATATATTTTTATCTTAAGCTTTACCAACTGTAATGACACCTTTCTATGCTATGATCCACTTTTCTTTTTAAATTTTAAACCCACTTAAATTTTTTTTTACAAATGTTTAGAATTTTGTAATTGTCAACCACTGGTCTTGTCCATGAAATATGACCAATTAAGGTTAATATCCCTTTTTTACCCTCATGTGCAGTTTCAGAATAATCAATTAAATTATTTTAATGTGTATATTTCTGGAATAAAAAATGTTGTATATTAATAATGTGTATATTTGTACACTTGTATAACTCTCATTGTCATCATCCCTCATCACACTCTGCTAAGAAGTGTTTCATTTTTTTATAGCGTCATCATCATTTAAAACCTTTTTTTTTTGCTTTGGTATTCATTGTTCATGTTTTACTTTTTAATTAAAACTGAAATTATAACTTTTGTTTTGTTGTTTATTTATTAATGAATATCCTGTGCATACATTTATAACACAGAGCAGTGACAGGGGCAGACAAAGGGAGCTAACTGCTGCCATATGACTACAAGTTTGTTGTAAATTGTTTTATGGGTTAAAAAATTCATTACACTTTGTTAAAAAAATTTTGTGAAGAAATATTCAGTGCTTTAATACAAGAAAGCACTGATAGCTCACCCCATAATAACAAAGGTAAATTTTTAATTTAAACAGCATTATCTATCTCAACAAACAAGAAAGAAAAAAAATCTGTTATTAATTTTTAATTAAAATCCTTTCTACAATACGAAATACAATTTAGTAGCTAATTTTCTACAGTACTTATAAATCTCAAATTAAAAACAATAACCTGCCATGAATTTTTAAATAAATAAACAAAACAAAAATGATTGATAGTTGACTGGCAGTGTGAAAGCACAGGTAAGAATACAAACTACAAGGCTAACAAATCATTATCATGGACGTATTCAAGGTATTTACAGTTCATTTAACAAGAATTATAAATGCACAAAATGTAGGGAAATAAAAAAATAATTAGAATGTACCTATGGTATATTGATAATCAGTCATTAAACTTGAGATCTACATAGCATTTTATATATAATGCTTCTTCACAAAATTATTTTTTGCAATGAAAGCAATAATACAAAAAATGTATAAATCTCCAATAATTGTATTTTTGTCAATAAAAGCATCAATCACAAAATACTATTATATAAGCTTACAAAATAGAATCTACAAAATATGACTAAATGGTATTTTGATTATACATGAATATGAAGACTTAATGCTGCTTAATGATAACTTCAATATTTTGTATCACAGTGAATAACTTATCTGTGTACAAAAGTTATATGTTGACTTTTTTAATAGATGAGGTATTTAGCATAATTAAACTGAAAATCGAAAACCGTATTTCTTCACCTTCTCTATTTTTTTATAACTGTGAAAAATGACCTTACTGCATTAGAGAAAAGTTATAAGAAAATTACTTCTCCAACTTACATCTTTTCAATGACAACCAAATCATATTTTTCCAAAGCAGCTTGCTCTGATATATTCTTTAACTGACGAAAAATTGATTTACTGATACATTTTTAGAAACATTAATATTTTTTAAAGTAAAATTTTCTAGTCCTTCAAAATGTTTGAACGTTTACAAAGTTTCTGTTTCTTTAAAATTTTTACCAATTCAATTAATAGCAAACCTCTAATTAATAAATAATCTTCATTAAGGTGCTTAATTTACTGACGACAGCTGATCTAATTACTTAAAGATCTTCACCAAGGCGTGTAATTTCCTTGACAACAAAATCCATATCCTGTTCTGTGGCATTATGGTTGTTGACAATCATGCGAAAAAAATTGACCAAGTCCCCATCAGGCTGGTAGCCAACCAGCATGGTGCCTTGTTCCATCATTCTCTGTTTAATGACTGGCGCCACCTAGATCAAACAAGGGAGTTAAAAACTTTCTGAAAAATCAGGAGGGGAATTAACAAAACTGAATGTACAAAAGGTACACTTTTAAATGAGTGGATACAAAGCATCAAATTTAACTTTGTTTATATAAATCTCACAAAAAACTTTTATTTGAAAGTGTAATGAAAATACTTAGGAGTTAAATTATAAAATTATACATCAAGACCTGGAGACTTGACCTGGAAGAAGACTTCAAGAAGATTGGATACAACTGGGGACAGTTGGAGAGATTAGCCCAGTACAGAGACGCCTGAAAAGCTCTATGCCCCAGGAGGGGCGACAGGCAAACCTAACCTAACCTAAAGATATTTATCAGTTTTAAAAAACAAGAACAATGTGTTCAGCTGACCTTAGACAACTTGTCCCACCATTCTTGCGTCTCCTCACAATGTCTCAGACTTGGGGGGATGAACCAGAAACAAACATTGGTACATTCAGGCTGAAAATAAAACATCAACTCAAGCATTTTGTGCTGCCTACATCAGCACACTGAACAAACATTGGTACATTCAGGCTGAAAATAAAACATCAACTCAAGCATTTTGTGCTGCCTACATCAGCACACTGAACAAACATTGGTACATTCAGGCTGAAAATAAAATACCACCTCAAGCATTTTGTGCTGCCTACATCAGCACACTGAACAGACATTGGTACATTCAGGCTGAAAATAAAATACCACCTCAAGCATTTTGTGCTGCCTACATCAGCACACTGAACAAACATTGGTACATTCAGGCTGAAAATAAAACATCAACTCAAGCATTTTGTGCTGCCTACATCAGCACACTGAACAAATGTTTGCACATTCAGGCTGAAAATAAAATATCTCCTTAATAAGCATTTTGAGCTGCCTACAAATTGATAGCTTCATGAACATGTTCTTACCAAATGTTCCATTTTTTTCTTAAAATCAGATTGTAAGATTTTTTCGTTTTTTATTTAAATACTAAAGAATTACCAGCAAGACTGAATCAAGGCAAAAAGGAGCCTCTTCTATAAATACGACTTTTTAAAATTGTAAATAAACCATAAACTAAACGCATTTTAATTTGTTTTTATAAAATGGAAGCCAAATTGTAGTAATTTTTTAATGGCAACTAGATCAATATTTTATTTAGGGAAAAGTTAAGAGCAAATTTTAAGCCACCACAGAAGATTAGTTAAACCCAGGTTAAGACCAATGTAAACTATATAAAAATGTGGGATTAGAAAGCAAGAAAAACAAACATTTTGTTCATGTTGATTTTTATGATCACTCATCAACTAATTGAAAAATGTGATGCTAAACTAGTATTGGGTCAAAGCTTTGTCATTCTTTTCTATAAAGAATGTTTATTCATTTATTAATTTTGATTCAATGAAGCCTATTTACTTGACTGTATATTTTCTAGCATTCACAATTTATCAAAATTGTGTTAACATGCTAAACAAATAAAATTGTGATTGTTTATTAAAAAAGGCTTGCACAATTGAATTATTGTATTAAAGATCCAAAATGACTCAGCTTCAGATAAAAATGTAAATACGAAACAGCAAAAATAGAAAAAGAAGCCTTGACCACAAAATAAAATCTTTACCCAGAGCCATCTATGTATCCTTGTCTTACCCTGGCAGTAATTTTTTTGTTTCCTCAAGTCTCAAGAAAGAAAGAAAAACATTCATAATGCCAGGGTAAATCTATTGGAAAGTTCTTAATCACTTCAGCCTAAAAAAATGTTTTCAAAGTTTAAATTAGACAAATTTAGTGGCACCAACCTTATGGAGAACAAGCCGAAACGCCTCAGTCTCTGTCAGTTTCTTCACAAGATAACTAAAAATAAAATACGTACTAGATTTATTTAGTAGTTTTAATTTAAACTATAAATGGTAATCTTCTCATAAAAAGTAAGTGTAGGCTATAATAAATGAATTTTCATTAAATTGTGTGCTGTGATATGGTAATGGGTTCTGAATCATTTAAATTCTGAATCAATTCATAATCATACTGGAATCAATGCTGCATTTAAGCCCCTATAGCAATTATCTACTGTTAATTATTTTAAAAACGTCAATATCGACTTATTATATTTTTACAATTATGTACATCTAGGTCCGATATATTTAAAATAACTTAAAGTAATTTTGTTCAGATGGTTTTGCATGAAATGCTTTGGATATAGCTTTGTTGCCACTTGTCACGTGCGGGTTTGTTTTTTTTTTTTTTTTTACCAATCATGTCATTTTATTAGAGAAACCACTCGGATTGTCACGACCTCCTCCGGCTCCCCGCTGTGGGAGGAGCGGAACGATCATCAACGATCTACTGAGGCAATCACTCAAGCGATGACTGTCTCGAGATCAACTTCACGCTCAGAGGAAGTGACTGAATCTCGTCATCATGGTTTTCGTGCCGTTCAATTTTGCTCAATGTCCCGGCAAGACCAACTTTAGAAATGATCCCTAAAAGTATGATCTTAATTGCATTTGGTAACAGAATCAGTGCCTAGGATAAAGGATTTGTACTTCTTTAAGGTTTGGATTTACATGAATAGTAAATCGGATTTTTCTCTGGGAAATATTACAAATTCAGAAATTACAAAAATTTTTCTCCCAATATCAATTAACTAGTTTATCTATCTTTTATTAAAATAGCAAATATTATTCAAATCATCTGTAGCTTTTGAAAGTTTTAAAATTTTAAATTAAAAAACGACTTGATATGCTAAGGGAAACTACTCCGCCAAAAGTTAATAGATTATCTTGTGACCAATTGCAATATTAACTAGTACTACGCATTTACCGAGTGTGCAAAGATATTTGTTGGTATTCAAAAATATATTATATTTTCCTTTTTAACGTTGGACGTATTTCTTTTCATTATTATTATTATTATTTTAATTAAAATGTAATAAATTTATTTTTAATATTTGAGACTTTAGATTTTAAAATCTAATAAACGGGTTTTTTCATCTCTAAGTTAAAGAGTAATTTGTGACAAATTGTAATTTGAATAAGCATAAATATGATTATGCATAGATTTCTGTTGCTATTCAAAAAATAATTATTGTATTTCTTTTTTTTTTCATATTCTTATTTGCAAATATTTTTTTTCTTTCTAAAAATACATGAGTTATCTTTAAAGTGTTAAAAGGTTGTCGCCCTTGACTTTGATCACATCTATACATATTTTCTAGCTGGGATTTAAAACAAAATTAAACATTTACTTATATTTTAAATTACTATTCTAACGTCACGAGGATAAGTGACGTTTTTATTTTTTTTTTGGTTGTTTTTTTATGGGGGGGGGGGGGGGGGGGGGGGAGAAGGATAGGAACAGAGTAAATTTTAAAAAAAAAAACTTTATCTACCTTTGATTTTCTTTATGAGGTCTAAAAAACATAAAACCCAATGCTAAAAACATTGGGTTATTATTTTTAAAAAATAGGTATATAAAATAATTGTTGATAGCCAATTAAGTCTTTGGGCAGTTAACATAAGTGAATGATTAGCATTTGGTAAAAGGATCTAAAGTTAGGTCCTTGAAACTGCTACTAACCCACCCCAGAAAAAAAATGTCACCTACCTGGCGCAATGAAAAAGGTTTTCAATGCCAGCAGCAAAGTTGTTTGTGCCTTTTGATTTCCACATCATCCACAGCTTGAGAACATCAACCTTTCTCCCACACTGAATGGACTTGTCGCCAGTGTCATAGGACACGTCGTAGAATTTGTCTTGTTGAAACAGATACTGTGCTTTTGCACTGTGGCATTCACGTAAAAGGTCCTGGAATATTCATTGTCAACTTATCGTAATTTTTTAAAGCCTAATTAATTCCTTTAACCCTTACAAACTAGCAATTAATTAAAAATAAAACCGTATACTAATTAATCTTAATGTTTTTTGTATTCTTGTCATGATAAAATTTGTTTTATTTTAATAATTTACAAATCCTATAAAATTAAAATAATTAAAAAATGGCTACAATTAGAGCTTCTTACAATGAAAATAAATATATTTAAAAAAGGGAAACAACCTTATGTTTTGTTAAGAAAGCTGCAGTTTGTAAAGGTGCACCCATCATTTTGTGAGGGTTCCATGCAAATGAGTCTGCCCTATAACAAATATAATTATTTTGTATAACTTGTAATTTAAGTTTTACAATGAATTTGAGAACATTCTTACTATTTTAAAATTAAATAGTAACTAGGCCTATATTTTTTCAGGCTTGAGCAAAGTGCAAAAAGTTTACTTTTTAAAAACTTGTATTCTTGTATAATTTTTAGAAACACATTTTTTTTAAATCCAGAAAGACAAAGCTTAAGTGAAAGAGAACTCACCTTTCAACACCTGCCATTCTACTTTTAAGTTTCTCTGAAAGTAAAACACTTCCACCCCATGCCCCATCCACATGCATCCATAATCCGTGTCTCTCACAAACATCAGCAATGGCATTCAGTGGATCATATGCCCCCAAGACAGTTGAGCCAGCTGTGGCATTCACAACAAAAGGAACTTTACCCTGAAGTAAACAAGACAAAGGAACTTTACCCTGAAGTAACAAGATAAAGGAACTTTACCCTGGAGTAAACAAGACAAAGAAACTTTACACTGAAGTAAACAAGTCAAAGGAACTTTACGCTGGAGTAAACAAGACAAAGAAACTTTACCCTGGAGTAAACAAAGGAACTTTACCCTGGAGTAAACAAGACAAAGGAACTTTACCCTAGAGTAAACAAAGGAACTTTACCCTGGAGTAAACAAGACAAAGGAACTTTACCCAGGAGTAAGCCAAACAAACAAATCTGCAGGAAAAATATTTATTTGTATTTATACAAAGTTCATAGGCAAATGGAAGTATTGAACAGATTCTCATTATGGCAAATTCAACAAAACCTGTCTGATCATTTCAGGTTTATACTGACATAAGAACCAGGTCACCTACTTCTGACTTGGATCTGTCAACCATTGTTTCAGGTTTATACTGACATAAGAACCAGGTCACCTACTTCTGACTTGGATCTGTTAACCATTGTTTCAGGTTTATACTGACATAAGAACCAGGTCACCTACTTCTGACTTGGATCTGTCAACCATTGTTTCAGGTTTATACTGACATAAGAACCAGGTCACCTACTTCTGACTTGGATCTGTTAACCATTGTTTCAAGCTCTGCAGGGATCATCCTGCCTGCGCTGTCCGTTTTCACAGGGATCACATTATTCATTCCGATACCCAGTAGAGCTGCTCCTTTTTTGATTGAGTAGTGGCCCTTGGTGACAAACACATTATGTAAAAAAGAATTTTAGTAGCCGCATAGCTTTACCTTAAAAATTTATGAAGTGGATTAAGTTAAATATACTTTTTAAACAGAGTACCTATTTAAGTTAACACATAGTGTTATTGCTGTGTAACATTTCGTTTAATAAAGTATTTTTGACATTTTAAATTATCACCTCAAATAAATTAAAACACATAAAAGCCAACTAATTACTAAAATCCATGTATTAACATTTATCCCTCTATTAACTAAAAGCCTGTGACTTATTATAAAAAATAAAAATTATTTTAAAAAATGTTATAATACTTTTTCCGAAGTTAGAATACACAAGGTTGGTAGCCCACTAAGCCCTGTCAGTTTGACGTCTGGAAACATCTTGTAACGAGCCAGGTTGAGCGCATACATGTTGGACAGGGAACCACCTGGACATATACAGAGAAAAAAAATAACTTGTGGCACATGTTAGACAGGGAACCACCTGGATATATACAGCAGTAAAAAAAATTATAACTTGTGGCATGTTAATTTATAACCAAAATGTAATTTTGACCTGATTTTAATCAAAACAATTAGATCACTAAATAAAAGAAAAATATGTAACTGAAATTTTTACAAATATTTTTTTAACATTAAAAAATCAACCAAGCTCATATATGCCTCAATTCACACATATGAGCAGCCAAACCTGGACAAAATAAGCCATCCCCAGACTGAAATCCAGTATAATCCAGCATTTTGCTGAGTACAGCCTTCTCCATCAGTGTAAACACTGGAGCCACTTCATAAGTATATCTGTGGTAGACATCACTATATTTACTACTTAATGCATTCCTTTCATTAATAGTTGTATATATCATATCTTCTAAATATCTTTGTAACTGTTTAATTTTTTTATTCATATAATGTTTATTGTTACTATTTCATTGATTTGTTGTATAGGATTCTATCTATGAAAAAATAAAAAAATGAACCAGAACTTTTACTCACTGACTAGTATTGAGAGCATCAGTTAGCCAGGAGCCTGCCAATCCATACAGGTCTAAGCCTCCATACAACTGGTTAAAAAAATATGGATGTCCTGGGAAAAAAACCAAGCTTAAAATTAGCATTTAAATATAGCTTGCTGCTACACTTAAGTTAAAATTTTAAACCAGATTTACTGTTGAAAATCATAATTTTCATAAATCTTCTATATTATGATAGTGGATTTTTGAGCATGGTAAATTTGGACTTTTTTATTCCGAACATTAAATTAGGAATGGTTTAATTATTTTAAAACTGTCTAGTTCTCACCTGTTTTTACACTGTACTTGATAATTTTATGGCACATTTGAATCAGATCTGTGTCCGATGTTGAGTTCTGATCGAGACTCAAATCAAGTTCTTTTTCTAAATTTTCTGGATGCATAAACTCAATGACTTTGCTGTTTGATTTAATTTCAATAAATGTTTTCAGTAATTGTTACATATTTTACTAATTAATATTTCTACTGTAAAATAATTATTGTGGTCCGTTTTTATAAATTAATTTTTGGAATTTAAACAAATTTTCTATACAAAGTATATAATCATTCAATAACTAAATATTCTTTGATGTGATATGCGATAAAGAATTATTTAAATACCTATCTTTCATCACTCCTTTTTCCACAACATCTTGTAAAATTAGTTTAACCAGAGTGGACAAGAATGTCTGTCCGTGATCTACATGATGTTCTGAAATATATATATACATATGATTATATATATATATATATATATATATATATATATATATATATATATATATATATATATATATATATATATATATATATATATATATATATATATATATATATATATATATATATATATTATGATTATAATAATTAATATGATTAGATATATATAGATAGCTGGAAAGAAGTATATTATAGAGACTTACTTTTGTTGTTTTTATCCTCTTGATTTTCACATGTTCTTATCTTACAATTTCCTTTACAAAGTTTTCCATCTCCATTCATTGATAAATCTGCTCCATCAAAACTAACCAGAGCAGTGGAGCTCATGGCTTTTAAATCCTTATTTACAATATTTATGGCTGTCCAACTTTGTTTCTTTAGTATCCTGTAGAGAAATTATGCTGCAATTAGCTATCAAATAAAACACTTGTAAAAATCGAATATTTCCTTTTTGTATTTAAAAACTGCTTATTTTTACATTATTGAAGAATTTAAGATAATACTTGTCTTTTTAGAGGTCATCCATAAATGACGTCAGGCTTTTTTGACGAGTTTTACCTTCCCCCCCCCCCTCCCATCCGTCACACATCGTCACAAAATGCTCAGCCTACACCCCCACCCCCTCAAAATTGCAGTTGAATTTTTCTTAAAATCGATATTTTTCCAAAATCTGGTCATAACTCTATCAACAAAGAGTATTTTAATCAATTTCTATTACAATTTATTTAATCAGTTCTATAAAAGGCGAAATAAGGGCTAAAATACGTTTTCTGACATTTTTTTTATGCATAAGTGTGACGTCACACCATCTGAAGCCCCCCCCCCCCCTCGTCACGCACCGTCACAAATTACGACCCCCCCCCCCCCCCTCCCCACTTTTTGAGTGTGACGTCATTTATGAACGATCTCTTAAGCCATAGGGCCTAATGCTTTTAACGCTGATCCTCTAATTTTTTTCAATCATTTAAAGGGACGTAGCCAATTAAACATTTTCTTTTTCTCTTTTTAAATCTTTATTATTCCCCTTGGTGTTTTTGGTTTTTTTTTTTTTTTTTTTTTACATTTACCGAGGTCATAGAAACATTTGCCTCATGGACCGCTAGGTTCGAAAGGGAACTTTACTTTGTGTTTTGTAATTTTCTTCTGTATATTTTAAATTTGGGGTTGAATGCGATTGTTAATCGTTATTGTTGGCGGTGGCTATTGGAATAAGGCTGGTTAATTAATTTAATTATGAATCATGTATTGAACTTTGTGATTTTATTTCTCTCGCTTAAATTAGATTACATTGGAAAATAAAGCAGTGATTGTCAGACATTGTGGTTGGCTTTTGATCGTAACGGTATCACTAGTTAATTAATAGTTGTACTGGTTTTTGCTCTTTTATAGGCTAGAATCATCTTTATATAGGCTTTATAATGCCTCAAGCTTGAACCAGCCATTTCAATAAATTTTCAATTACCCTTTAAATCGGCAATATAGACCAAGTAAAAATAGACCATTTTACATTGTACCAACATGTTGTGGTCAAATAACCGTACTTACATCATCTAACCTACAACTACAACACAATCGTTGATAACGATTGATATAGAAACCCTTAAGCTTTAGGTCGTCTTTGGGATATGACATAGTTAAGTAGAGTTGGGGTCAGTTCGACGTTGAAGTGCTTACACTTATCTTTAAACTCGCTATAATTAAGTATAGGCCTAATATTGTCTGGCTAGGCATGTCGTTTACAATTAGAATCTAGATTTTGTTTGTAGTATGTGCATTTAGATTCTTCATACGTAGAGTTTCTTTCAGGGTGTTGCACGTCTAAATCCCCCCCCCCCCCCCCCCCTTTCCACACACAACCTTCGGGATAACTAAAAACTATAATTCACGTGGAAAATATATAATTGTTCTATTCCTACTTTAACTTTACGATTTCATTTTTGCGTAGTTCTAAAGAGTTACCTAAATAGATCTAGATAACCTCTAGATCTATTTCTGTTAAGTACATGCGCACTTTAAAAAAAAGCCACACTTAGTACTACAAACAAGTAGAGATTTGTATAGTGTATAGGCCCATAGATTACTAATAAAATAATCTAGGTCTTCATAATATAATGACATTGTTCTAATCACGTTAACAAAACTTTTAAAATTATATTTTTTTTTTCAAGTAATGCACCTGCAAATTTATGTTAATTTTAATTTAGCCGAAATGGCTTAAAAATAGCATGTAAAAAGAAAAGTATATAACTCTAACTAGACTAGTTATAAATATTATAAATATAAGACACGAGTAATAAATTTATTAAATAGGCCTGCCTTGATTAGATCTATCTAATCTATATGTTACAATATATTTAATTTAGTCGACTACAAAATGCAAAAGAATAATTTAAAAAAAAAATAACTTACTAGATCTATTTGATTTCAAATTTTTAAAGAGTTCTGCTTAAAAACCGCAAGAGCGTTAATGAAATAACCGTTACCTTGACCTTTGCAAACGTGACGACCTGTAAATTTACCCCTCTTTCTGCATTATGGAAAATTCCCAGTTTAAAAGGTCAATAAAGCGTATTGCTGAGTAAAACGGAAAGATACACAATCTGAGGATTTTAGATCCAGCCTAGAATCTAGTACTAGAATCTAGATCTAGATCTAGTCTAGAAATAACCAAAATTGAAAAAAAAAATGATATGTCCGTTTAGTCAAATGTAAAGTCATAATGTAGAATGTAGGCCTAATCGTACTTTCTAATAATTTTTTTATTATATAGATCGATATAGAAATCTAGATTATAGTATCATTATAGAATTATAGATAGGATCTAGATCTAGAAGTCTAGTGATAGTTCTACTAAAAATTATAATTACGGTATGCAGTATGCATAAATATTTCATAAATAAGTAGATCTAGAATTAAAATTTATTAAATACCATACGGCACCATACGCTCATAAAAAGCCTTATATAATTATAATATTAATAAGGTTTATTAAAGATTTTTTAATTGGTGATTTTGAAATATAATTTTAATTATATAAATTATGTATTACTAACCTTTTTAGAACCCTTCACCATGTTTAAATTAATTCTTCCTGTATGAATGTATATACTAATTGTACACTGAAGTTAATAAGGACAAAAACATTTTTTCCCATCACACCATTCAGTGTTTAAAGGTAACAAGTACAACCCATTTATTTTCTTCAAACTGCTAAGTTTAAAGCAGCCCTCTTAAAGTCTTAAATTATTTCAGAAGCTTTATGACATTTTCTCACAAAGCTATCTAGATTCTCTAGAAATGCTGTAAAAATGTAGATCTATATTGTAAGCAGCAAAGGGTGGAGTAGATTTCAGGTTGTTTTTCCCTTTCAGCTAGCAATGTTTCTTCCAGACTTTTTTCTCCGGGGGGGGGGGGGGGGGGGGGCGCACTTGATATTTTCGGAGGGGGGTCAACATTTTCCGATGGGGGCGGACACTAGTAAAATTACATGTTTACTATATAAATTCCATCTCGTTCGGATGCCTGAAAGAAACTGTCAGCCATGACCAATCTTTTCAAATGTTTTGTAAGCAATGCGATTTATTCAGTTGTTTAAAACGTCTAAAACTTGATAGTACTGGACTGGTTTATTTAATGGGTGGTTTTTTTTTATATTGTATATCTATATAAGTCTATATTCATAATAAATAAAAGGAACTTTCAATTAACCTTAAGCAGGATGTAATCAATACACAAACTAAAAATAATAAAATAACCAGCAGGTATCCTGAATTAGATGACAACCAATAAGTAAACAACTGCATAACAAAGTGACTAAACTAGCTTCACCCTGTCTCAAACTGCAGACCTTCTTGATATCAAACATTTAACACTTGTTAGGCTAATACAATTTCAATCAATTCAAAAACTTATCAGCAAACCCTAATAATATAGTTATTAAAAAGAATTTATGAAATGCAATGCACTTGACCTAATTAGTACTCATTTTATTGCTTAATAATCCCCCCCTCTCACTGAATCATCACTATATTTGGGCACTCAAATACTATTGGGTTCAAGTACTCTTTTCACAAAAAATTAGTTAATTTTTAAATTCACATTTACCAGTTCCAGCTTCGCACTTAATTTTTTAAAAGTGAATTAAAATTTTATCTGTACAAAATGATTTTTTGTTTTAAGAAACCTGTCTTGAATACACTTAAGCCCTTTTGCATTTGGGCTCCTTATTTAATGAATATAATTTGTTAGTTATCACACATTGCAATAATCACAAAAAAAATGTGTGTTGGTCATGAATTTTATTTGTTGACAATACAATAAAAATTTCAAATGATGAACTAATGCTAGAGACAGTCTAACTTTTAGAAACTGAAAGTTTTTTTTACATTCTAAACCTTACAACAGATGAAGACCTTTTAAATATAAAAGTATTCTGCGCTGGAAAAATGAACCCCGATGATTATGTACAATGAGTTTATCCTAAACAAGTAATTTTCTGCCTAGACTTCAATATCTCTATTCAATTTAAAATTGTATACATCAAAGTACAAAAAGAACCTGTAAATAATAATTTGATTTCTAGCCGAATTTAAAAAAAATGACATGTTTGAGTGAAGTGTTTACAGAAAAAGTGTAACCCATCAACAAAGTTACGCAAGGGGAACAGAAATGCCCAATTCACTCAACTACCACCAGGACAATGATAAGCATGTCCCTGCCAGTAAAAATGTATACCAATTTCCATTCAACTAAATACAAATACATAGAAAATGTCTAGCTGGTACTTGTTAAAACATAAAAATACTGAGATACTCAGATGGCTGTTATGAACAGAACATTTATGACAGCTGAGTATCACAACATGTAAATGATGTAAGACAACTGCAAATAGTAAAATTACCATATTCTCCTTCACACACAGCAACAGATCTAAAAATAAGCATGCAAAGATTTGGGCCAAATGACACTACTACTTTTAAAAGGAAAGAATTAAAAAAAAAACTATTTAAAACCAAGAACCTGAACATTTCCATAATAACTGAACTGATCACAACAGCATATTATGCCACTCATATCATTGGTTTACTTCTATACAGACATATAAAGCCTTACTTGATGTCTTTTCTAGACAAGAATCTAAAACTGAATATGCGACTCCTTAAACTAACACGCTGTTCATTCCATATGAAGCATTTTTACATTTGACCCATTTATGCAGAAATAACTCATGTCACATAGTAATGGAGCTCCTAGAAGCTTTGATGAAAATCAATCATTACATAAAAGAAAGTGTAAAAGAAAAACCAAGTCATTTTTTCAAACAACCAAGACAGGCAAAAATAAACAAGTTGTACAATTAAAGAATATGCACTGTTTGTTTTTTAGAGTCAATTCTATAACAGGTCATAAAATTACTGTAACAGATTAGATTCAGCGTATTAGATTTTTTTATTTTAGGTAACAGATCATTTGAAGGACTGCTTGATCCAAAATAAAGTAAAGAAAAATGACTGGGTTTTCCATCATGTATTTTCAAACTCACAGTAAACAAAGACATACAAATAAACAATCTTTTTAAACTCAATCTCCCTTCTTATCATCATCATCATTATCATTGTGTGTGTGCCAGGTAAGTCTTTCCTCATAAAATGCTATTACAATTTGTGGACATTTCACATTAGCTTGTCGTGCAGGAACCAAATCAGCCTCATCACTGTCCTTCCTAAAGAAAAAAAGAAAAGAGAATTCTTCACCTGCCTCACATTTTAAAAAAATAAACCAGTAGTTTAACATCAATTTAAAACCATAAGGAACCAATATATATATACATTTTGGTCTGAAACCATTTAACAGGTGGCTTTTTGTTACAATAAAAAAAAACCGATTTAATTCTGAATATTTATTAAGGTGAGAAAAGCCAGATGGCCTAGGCATCAAGAAGGTTTAGGTGGAATATAATCCCACATCCTTTACTAAACACTAAGTGCTATCTTCATTTTAAACTGATATTTTGTGATTTAGCCTAGATACAAGCCAAGAGATTTGTAACAGTAGGTTAACACTCAAATATGTTAAAATGGTCACAAAATGTTTAGACATAGGTGTTATAAAATACAGAGTGGTTAACCCCCCCCCCCCCCCTTACCAACTTCACAATTGTAGCTTTAAGGTCATTAACCAACAAAGAAATAGGATTTAAAACATACCATTTCATTAAAAACATGAGTTCACCACTGCTGTCTGTTGCACCAATAATTCTCTCAGGGGCTAAACCTCTGTCAAAACCTCGAGGCTTGTTATCAGATTCCTACAAAATAAAGTAGATTTGAATGTAAGAATTTGAATCTGGCAAAAAAAAAAGAGCTATTAAATTTTTTTTAATTGATTCAGTTTTCTTACATCTTTTTTCTTCTTTTTTGCGTCATCTTTTGCTCCATTTGAAGTTGATTTCCGTTTGGCACCTTTTTCTGAATCTTTTTTCTTTTTCTTCTCTTCAAATGCTGCAATCAGATCTGGGCAGTCTAAGTTCTCTTCAGGTTCCCATGTGTTCTCTGAACTGTAATAAACAACATCTTTCTATGGGAACCAAATAAAAATACTGGCAACTAGGAAGTATAAATTAAGCTCCAGGCATTTCAGCAATTGAATAATTCAACAAACGCATATATATCTGACCGGTAAGAAAGGCATGCATCGCAATATAATATTCTTGAAATACATGCATGTATCCTCTATACAGATGACAAGATCCATATAGGCTACCATATTAAAACATGACAAGTAGACCAGATAAAACTAAGTCCAACAATAAAAACAAACAGAACTAACTTGACCTAAGTGTGTGAAATATCTATTAGGCTATCAACAAAAAATAAAAACAGAGTTAAGAAACGATTCTCTATAAATATAAAATTGTACACTATTATTTAAAGAGCTATAAAGAAAATGTGATGCCTCTTAAATTTTAGTTAAGGTATTCAACAGATATTACTGAGACACACTTTTCAATACAGCTATTTAAATATTAGCGCATAGTTAAAAATTTAAAGAAAATCATATATTTTTGCAAGTTAGTGTATAAAAAACAAATTGAAACAGTTCCCCTTCATAATCTTTATTTTATAAATGAAAACGGAGGTATTACATTGTGACATGCTGCTTTCAAAGCCAAAAATGCTGTTTTAAAAACCAAAGTTAGCTTTGGCAATTTTGCATGAGTCGAATAAGAATAGTGTCATATAGAGCTGGTGTTTAGCAAAATGGAAACCACTGACTACAAGAAAAAAAAATGCTGCAAAACAACTCATGCAAGGTATACTTTTTATTTTTAGACATCTTTAGCGATCAATTTTCTATGGATGGTAGATCTGAAACTGCTTCGGTACAACAGTAACTTGGGTGTTAAAATAAATTACAGGAAAAATTATACAAGCAAGTAGCCCTAAATTAAACTTTTAGCTGTTATGTTTGTACTATAAACAGATAATAAAACTTTATACACTGCATTTTCACAAGTCCAAACTAAACTAGAATGATAAACTATACTATAAAATCTGAGAGCGCAGACAAATGGTAAACCATCCTCTTTAGCCCTTTCAAAAACCTACAAAAGTATTGGATCAGGGGGAAAGGCAAAAATAACTCAAAACACCACATGCATTTTTCTTGCTGAAGCCAGAACAAAATTGCTCTAATAAAACTATCTTTCTTATGATACTGGGATAGTAATCGGGGAAAAAATAATTGCAAGTTATTAAAATAATTCATCTATACACACCAAGGCCTGAACTTGACCTAAAAAAGACATTTAACTCTCTCAACCGCCTCGGATAAGAGATGAAGCTTAATTAAGAATATAAATTTAAAAAAAAACATCTTCAAAATCATTAAAAGATGCATGTGGTGTAAAATTAGAAATAAAACTTTCATTGAACAAAAAACAAAGCATGACCCTAGAGGAAGGAAACAGAATTAATATGCCCAAAAACATACAAGAACACTTGTGTTCCAAATTTGGAAATCTCAAGATCAGATACTAAACTACAACTTATTTTATGGTCTCCTTGTGTTAAATATGTTTGCTTAAAATCCTATCAGTAACTCTGAAGGACAATTTAAAAGTCTTACCAGTTGAAAACATGAGGGAATACAGCTCATCCAACTAGTATTTTTTGTGTTAAATAGTTCTGTGGATTTGCTATTAACTAGTTAGTAGTAGGCCTAAGATTTCTAAATACCCAATGTCTATATACAAAATAATTTAAAACTGCCAAGTGAATTAGAGAGTTAAGTCAATTATCTATATAAATAATTCTCTTCATGGACCACGCCGCAGCAAGCCAACTACCTAACCCTCCTCCCGCCCCCTCCATCCAATCTGGCGATCTGTAGTTCATGCCCAATGTTTACACAAGTAGAGCCGGGTCAAATTAGTGACGGCTATTAAGGGCAGATAATTTAATTTTGAAACTAAGGGGAGGCTGCTTTCGGGGGAGGGGGTGTGGTAATCGACATTCACCAGCTACTGATATTGTTTTAAAGAAAATATTTTCAATCACAGCACTGGTAGTGCCGAATTCACAAGTTATAAATTTGAAAAGTAGAAAATCAACTAAATAGCAGCATATACGCCGCGGGTCGGCTCATTACTATCAATTCTTGGAGTTACTGGGTTTGGAACTAAATCTTTATTTTTGTTTGTACTCAGAAGCCAGAATTGTGTGAAAAGAATTTTTTCAACTAAGAAGTAGAACAATCGTGAGTGCTGTAAGTTGTTTATAAAATTGTTTCTTGAGCTAGATTTAAAAATATATTCAAGAACTATGAAAAATAAATGCTCCTATGATAGCCCGTTCAGTTTCTTATCTGAATAAAAATCCCGACAGTCTAGGATCACTGTGAGTTTATATTTGTTTCGATATCAGTAGGTTTAAAGCATACATCACAGCAAAAGTATTGTTATTTGAGATTGTTGATAATATCTTTGTTTTCCCCCTAGACAAAGCAAATTTAAAATAGCACTTGAGGTCATTGTGAGCTTTTAGGTCTATTAATACACATGCAAGATGATAAGTGGGCTCAGGAGTAGTAGCCCACATTTTTCAACAAATTTTGGACTGGTAAAGAAACATAAAAAAAAAGTACATTTTTACATTAACACATCTAAATGTGGTATTTCATGCTGTTTTATACTAGGTTGCATTTTTTAAATAGGCCCAATGGAAATAAAAAAATTTCGTCAAAAATGTAACGCGATATTTTATTGATCTGTGCTTTTAAATGTGTGGAATTATAAAAAAATTTCAGTCAATTAAAATAGGCCTATATTTTTAATTATTGTGCAGGGCTAGGCCTAACTAAATGTTAAGCAATTTAATTTCAGGTCCAAATAGCTGCAGACAATTCTGGATCTCTGGTTAGAATAGATTAGGCCGGATTGTTGCTTATATGGCTGGATTGACCTCTGACCCTGAAACGTCACGCGTCGTTTTTTGACGGTTTTTACGTTTATTTTAGGGGTCCTATCCACGACAAATGAAAAAAACTGCTAATATCGCAAATTCTCATCATTATTTTAATGCGATATGCTAAATAAATGGACGCCATGCCTGAAAATAACCGAAAAAATCGCCAGATATGTGGTTTTAATTAATACACGCTATTCTTGTCAAGTACTCTTGGGAAAAACTGAACTGCCGCCTTAAACGGCCCAGTACATGGTCAAAACCCCCTGGTACAGATGCAGAAATATATAATTGAGATATTTATAATGAGTAATTACAGTTATGTTGATTCGCCTTTTTTATATCGAATTTCCATATGAGGTACCCATGCAGACATTTCTGTCCGCTTTGTTTACTATCGTGACGTCATTGTTACGCTAGTTACCTCACAGAAACAACTCGTTTTTGTTTTTTGCGGAATGAACTGTTAAGTCTAGTATTTTAATTATAATTCAATTGTAGCGTGTGCAGAAAAATTAAAATTATGGAAATTATTTTTGTATTTGTAATTTTATTAGTATATTGATTTTTTCTTCACTGTGGGCCGACAGTAGCTGCATTGAATTTAATTCGTGACCGGTGGTTAACCTCGTCAACGCTGCGTGGCCTATTCGTTTATATAATTAGTGATGCTCGTTCAGTGGCCTTTTTCAGAGCTAGGCCTAATTACGGGCGTTTTTTAGACTTAATTGATCGGCCGTTAGCCCTTTTCATTGCTGCGTATTTTAAAAAATGCTCGTTCAGCGGCCTTTTTTTTTTTTTTGGCGCTAAATAATCTGTTTACGGGCATTTTAAGCGTTTATTTATTTTATTTTTTTTAAGCTAGACGTAGATCTAGTTTAAAAAATATTTTTTAATACAGCTGGCTGCAGGGGGGGGGGGGGGGGTGCAAATCGAAAGTTTGAGGGGGGGTGCAAATCGAAAATTTGAAAGAAAGTTTGTCCCCGGGAAGAGTCGCTACGCCTTTGGGGGGGGGGGGGGGCTGACACCATTAAGTGCCGCACCGGGTGACACCCGACCTCGCTACGCCACTGGCTGGCTGTCTTGCATGCCTGATATGTGAACTTTAAAAAAAAATGACCGAACTTTTAAAAAAAATGACCAGAAGTAGGGAAGTAGGTCTGTTTTTCAATTGGCTAGAGGGAGGGGGGGGGGGGGAAGAGAGAGAGGTGAAGACACCGACCATCTCGTGTACGCGTGTTCATGCTATGACGTGTACTATAGGCCTGCTGAACTCACGGTGACCCGCGACCGTGGTGGGATTTTTCATCCACAGGATAGTAAACGTAAGCAAGCAATCACGCGAGTGACGATGTTTGGAGATTTAAAAAAAAAAAATCACACTTACGTCATGTTTTCAAGATGAAAAAAAAAAAAATACCATGTATGAACCTCAGCTGCCACACTGTTGACTCAATATAATGTGAATTGAGTGTAAAATGTATTTGTATTTATAAACGATCATAACTGTTACTATCATATTATTTTAAGCATATTTATTATTTATTATTTAAAATTAGAATTTGAAATAAAAATATTTATTATGGTCATTTGATTTATGCAGGTGTTCATTACTTCATAAAATGGTATGAATAACATGTAGAGTAGAATTTAATAAATAATAAAATAACTAGATCTAGTTTTATTATCAACCAGTTGCTTTTTGTTATTTTCCGGTGAGTAAATTACCTAAGCTGACGCAATTACCATGGCGGGAATTAAAAGCTCGTGTACACAAGTCGACGACGTCATGTTATGCCAAGAACGCTGTTTTGTCATTCATTTTCAATTTTGATTAATTTTCAAATTCTCTCTTTTCTCGTCAACCGAGTAAGCTAGATATTTAAATGTGGTGTCAAATGTTCTCTTAAGGGGTAAGGAACTTAATGGTGTATTTGAAATAACAGAATATTTTATTTTAAAAAATCCATAATTTAACCTAGAATAGATGCATCATTTTCATAAGCTCCAAATCAAATGTTCATACTCACTCTGGATATCCTTTCCATTTTAACAAGTATTCCTTTTTTCCACCACGCATTCTTGAATCAACAACTTTTTCTACAGTAAATTCTTCTTCTTCACCTTCTTCCTCTTCCTCCTCCTCAACTGGATCATCCTTAGATTTTTCTGAAGAAAAAGAACACGGTTAATGCTGGTCACATAGGTAATGTCACATGTGTTTTTTAAAAACGTTTAATAGGCCTAAATGTCATAATGATAATCTAACTAAAACATGGTTTAAGAGAAAACTTACATTATCTCCTTTAAAAATGTCAGACTTAGTCTAAATAATTGTGATAACTTTTGCAACTTACCAGCCTGGGTGAAGAGAGGCCCCAACTTACCAGACATTTTTAAAATCAATGTATGGGGGGTCGAGCAGAATGACTTGAGGTGCCCTAAAAATAACAAATCGAAAGTTTGCCTGCGCTGAGAGAAAAAAAGCATCTTGATGTGGAAATGATGAACATTTTGCACACTACACAACCCATTAACATGCAAATAACTGGTTACTATGAGTAAATCTGGTTATGCTAGGCAATTATAAAGCAATCTTTAATCTACTACCAAAGGGCGTATAGTTAACAGCGTGGCTAAATAACCGTAAAGCAACAAATTTATTGAAATGGCAAGCCCGCCATTTTGTCCATCATCATAAAATCAAAGGTTTTATAAAGAATGATAATAAGGCAGCAGGACTAATGCGTAGAAAGTTTTATCTTAAAATTTAGAAGCTCGTTACATAATGAAAATGTTGCACGGCTCATACATAATTATTGGTCTAATAATTTACAAAAATTTAGTTTGTTTTAAAATCTAATTTACCTTTTCTCGCAATAAGCAGAGAGGGTGCGCTATGCTTCTTTCAACGTTTACGCATGCGCATGAGTTACATCCGGGATATTGAAACGCGGGAAGTGGAAGGGTTCCAGTGTGGCTGCAAAGCCGAACATAGTTCTACGTCTAGGACTAACTCTGAAACTCAGTTAAATATATGCTGTTTACAGTCAAACCTTTGCATTTTACTTTTGAAAAGCAGGGAATTATTTAGACTAATGCAGAGATTTTTTTTCATATTAAGCAACTAAAAAAGGAAATGTGTAAAAGCTAAGAAGCATCGATATGAAAAACCACACAAATAGGCCTATTGAATTGTCATACAACAGAAGACATCCAACTTCAGCCTACAGACATCTCTTCCAACCTCTGCACTCATTTATTTTTCTACTAGATCTATATTACTTGACCCGGTTCAATATAACGTATATTGATACATTTTTAAACTAATTCATAAAACAAATTCAAGAATACTACAAAATTGAAAATTTAATTTTAAAAAAAAAACGTTTGAACATTCCAAACGTGTGACGTCACAATTCACTCATTTCCCCCTCATCGCATATCATTACAAAAAAATTAAGATGGAGCTGACGAATATATACATTTTTTTTTTAAACGCATCAGCAAGACCAGATGTGTCTTTAAATCCCTAAATCAGGATTTACTCCGTCCCTCTGTCGAAGATTTAAATATACTCCACTTTTTTAGGCAGTATAAACAGTTACATGGCTTAAGGGTCGTCCAAAAATGACGTCACACTCGTATGGGGAGGGGGGTACGTAATTTTATTTTGACAATGTGTGTGATGAGGGGAGGGGGGGGGGGGGGGTTCAGATGGTGTGTCGTCATACTTTTGCATTATTAAAAAAGCTATGTTAGAAAACGAGTTTTAGCCGTTATTTCGCATTTTAGAAAACTTTTTATAAATTATAATAGTTGACAGAATTTAGACAAGATTTTGGAAAAAAAAATCGATGTTTTAAGGGAAATTCAAGTGTTGTTTTGAGGGGGGTGGTTATATGCTGGTGTAACGTCATTTTAGGGGGGGGGGGGGTCGCTTTTTGTGATGGAGGAGAGGGGGGGGTAAATATCGTCAAAAAAGCATGTCATTTATGGATGACCTCTTTATAGGTTCAGGACATTACATTACATCTCCCTGTCAATTATTTCTCTCTTCTCACCTCCTCTCCCCCACCCCAACAGGAATAATTAACGTGCATACCAGCAATGCGACATTTTGTACTATAACTACCAAAGGATGTAGACGACTGCCTGTCATAGGTTGACACAGTACAACATACACCGTATGTCGTATTGTGTGTAGACATTATGTAACATACGGAACAGGTAGGGCAGAACAAGCTTGTTCCATCCATGTATTAACATAACACTAACCTTTATCATTAACGCTTTACACACCCGTTAAACTATCCATATCCGCATCTCTACACAGTGGCGTCGCTAGGTTGGGCATCACCCGGTGTGGCATTTCATGGTGTCACCCCCCCCCCCACCACCTACACACACCAAAGGAAAAAAGTATATATATATATATATATATATATATATATATATATATATATATATATATATATATATATATATATATATATATATATATATATATATGCCTATTCGTGAGTGTGTGTGTGTATGTATTGTCGAGTTGGTCAATGTATACTTATAAGACTTTTAAACTCTAATTATTCTTTAACTGAACAGGTAAATAGCATTTTACTTCTATTTTTGTCTTGGTGTCACCCCTCTAAATGGCGTCACTCGGTGCTACCATTCTCTGGGGGGGGAGTAAAGAATCTTCTTTAGATTTAGCAATCCATTGTGCAGATGAAGTAAAGTTCGTGTTTCTTGACCACGGCATACGAAGGGAAGGTGTGGTCAGCACTTTGCCCAGCGACCGTACTTCCCCATCAGATCTGGGTGGACTCAGGGTTGTTATTCTGACCTGGACCCGGATTCGAACTCGTGACTTTCTGGTTAACAGCCTAGCGTTCTATCGTTTAGGCCACGGCGTTCCAAAACACGCAATCAAACACCAAGAGGTTGGTACTAACCTTCATTAACTAATGTCTACGACGCATTCTGAAATTAGAATGGCCAGAAAGCATCTCTTTTGAACACCTGTGTAGAAGTAAGAGGCAGCGCCCACTAACAAGGGCATCAAAACTCCAAAGTGGGGATGGACTAGAGGCATGCGCTGGAACTCTCAGGGAAAAGTTACTGTGTGAACTTGGGAGATAAAAGAAGAGGAAGGTAATAGAAATGTAGCTAATGCTGCATGATTTACACGCCTAGAATCCAGAGCTGGCATTGGTATATATATATATATATATATATATATATATATATATATATATATATATATATATATATATATATATATATATATATATATATATATATATATATATATATATATATATAATATATATATATATATATATGACTTATATATATATATATATATATAGGGCCTATATATATATATGACCTATATTACCTATATATAAGTGTGTGTAACAGTTATTTTACTACAAGCATTCACATCGACACGAGCGGGCTGTCTTCAATAGCTGTATCATAAAGTGGGAGAGCTACCATTTGGGGGAAAGTGGGGGGTGTGTGTGGGGGGGGGGGGGGAACCAACGGTTAGCACTCCATATTTACAGCTTTCAAGCGACAGGCTTATCGAAGCGGAGCCAAATCTCAAACAACATTCCTGTTCCGGTTCAACGTTTTGACGATACACAAAAATGATGTAGGCCTACTTATATCTCTCCCATCCTGTTCTCCGTCGACCCCAGGAACACGAAGATGGAATGTACTGGCATACACACAAGGTACAACAAGCTGAAAGACATATGGGCTTTCGTGTTGGTAGTACTGTTAAGAATGGATCATAGTGTATGGTGTTTTAGTGCTGTTGTATTTTTAGGGGAGGGTTTGTTTTTAAGGGTGTTTTTGATAGGTTTGCTCAGTGGCGTAGCGAGGTCGGGTGTCACCCTGTGCGGCACTTAATGGTGTCACCCCCAGAGGCGTAGCAACCCTTCCCGGGGACAAAATTTCAAACTTTCGATTTGCACACCCCCCCCTCAAGTTTTTCTCTATATATTTTGCTATTTTTTGCACCCCCCTCGCTACGCCTCTGGGTTTGCTAATGTGCTAATACCTTTCTCTCTTTACCCCGTGCGTATAATGTCTTATATGGTATTTTAGGAACCCCTCAGGTCATCTAACAACCCCCCTCCCCCACTAGTAAGATGTCTTGTATAGTATTCTGTAAACCACGGGGGGGGGGGGGGGGGGGCGCAACACAGCGCCCGCCTGACTTCATTTTAAGTTCTTAAATCGTGACGATAAATAATTGTGTTAGGTCGAGGTGTGAGCGACAGAAAACAAAAACGTTAAACAAAGCAGTCCGGTACTTAAAGCTATTCGGTATTTGGTCCGCCCAAGTGATTCGGCATAGCTGTGTCTTAAACGTGAGACCATTGTCATTAGGTGGTTAATGGGGGTGGAGGTTTCTGACCCCTACCCCTTTTCCCCAGCATTACTAAGATACTCGCTTATGTATTGAACGAAAAAATAGTGGAATAGGCAAACTGATAAAACTAAAAAATTTTAAATAGGGTGTTTTTCAAAAATTAAACTACATTTGGAAAGTTAGTTTTTGTACGCTAATGTTCATAAGTCCATTTCTAAAATGGTAATCCGCTTGCTTTTCACAAAACAGTCGGCAAATAAATAAATAAATTCCTCCTGACCAAATGAACGTTTATTTTGAACACAAAACACCACACGTTTTTTCATGTAATATTTTATGAACGTCCAGACAAATAAGATATCACAACAGTAAAGTTTCAAAAAACAGGCCAATCTTTGAATACAAACAGCACATTTAATGCTTTTTTTGAGCTAAATACTGTACATTGATTGGTGTGTTTTTTTTTTTAACAATCAACATTAATTATGCACACATTAATTTAAAAAAAATATACAAATAAAAAACAAATTGATAATATGTATTGTGGCCCCTGTAATTTGCATTTTAATTTTTTAACATTCATTTTAGGCCACTCCAAGTTGTCTGCCATGAAGCATTACTGTCTTTATGACAAGAATTATTTACTGTAAAAAATCTGGGTAGAAAGAACTGTCTCTGTTAACCAGCATTAGCAGTACAAAATGTTTTATTTTTAAAAAAGGTCTGAATAGGAGCCCAAATTAACCAGATTAGATTAGTGCACAACAACAACACAAATAAACAGGTTATCCAAAGTCTGAGTGGTTGGCAAAGACAACAAAATGTTTTTGTCATTAGATATAACAGCGCAGGTAAATGGCATAGGCTCTATATATTTCTGAATCTTTGTTAAACCTTGACGTAATTTGTAATTAAAAATTATCACTATATTTAACATCATATAACATTTGTATATTTAATGAACCAATGAACATTAATTTTTACAAATTCTAGCATAAAAATATCTTTCCTCCATTTTTTTCAGTACTATTCAACTCATCTTAATACACTACACGTTTTTTTTTTAAATTTAATTATTTTTTTATTTTTAAAATTTTAATACCAGGGATCAGATAATTTCACCAAATATTTCATCACATTTTTCTCTATGCTGAGTACTTTAAATCATCATTTCATCTCAAATACCTATAAATATAAACCATAAATGAAATAGAATACAGCTTCGGCTGTTTAAAAATAAAACATCTAAATTTTTTTTAAAAACCTATTCATAAAATTTACTTAAAAATATTTTTATAAAATTTCACCTTAAAAAATATTTTCATAAAATATTAGACTTGTACTCTAACATTCTAGGGAGGGGGGGGGGGGGGGGGGGGGTGAAATGAAAAATCAAAGCAGGAATTATTTTTTTAAATTTTGAATGTGTTTATATTTGGTGAACAACGAAGTGCTGTCAAAGCAATGTTCCAGACAAAAATGCTCACAATTCCTGAGGTATTTATAAAATGTACACAATACAAATTATTTTTGCATAAAAATTAATTTAAAAATTCAAATTAAATTCTCTATTCAAGCACTCCTATGTGCACAGACTGAAAACAGTAAAATAAATCTTGGTGCATCAAAACATTCCCCACTTTATAGTGAATCAAATGTAAAAAAATCATATAGTATTTGTTCATAAAAATGGATATGTTAATTTATGTACATTCCTGTGCAGATATATTAGTTTTTGGTCAAAATTACATATATATATATATATATATATATATATATATATATATATATATATATATATATATATATATATATATATATATATGTGTGTGTGTGTGTGTATATATATATCTGTATATATATGTATTTATATGTATAAATGTGTGTGTGTGATTAACAAATAATTCGCCAAAAAGCAAAGTGGAAATGTTAAAACATCTAGACAGTTAGCACAAAAACTATTAAGCTCAACACGAGCACAGTCACCAAACTAACACAGACTTTACACATAATTATCAACAATAAAATACCATCAAACTACATCATCTAATTGACTGGAAAAAATTCAATGTCTTCTGGAATTTGTTTGTTGTATATTTTTGATGGCTAATATATTTTGAGAAACATTCAGCATCATTTTTCCTTTTTGTACCAAAATACAGGGAGATGCCTCAAGAATCATTACTTACAATACTTACATACAACAATTGTAAAAGAAAAAAAAAAAATCAAAATTTTCATGGCACACCAACAGCAGATAAGCAAGGGGAATGTTATTTTATCATCACTAATGTAAAAAAAAATGCACACATTGTTGTCTTATTGGTCCATTAAAAAGATTTTTTTAAAAAAAATGCTCATTAAAGAATAAATTACATTATTTTAAAAGTAGCATAGGGGTTTTTAATTTCTTGTAAAAACAAAAAGATTATTTTAAGATTTGAATTTACCAAGATTTAGACATTTTGATATTATTTAAAAACTAGAAAGTTTAAGATTATTGCTCATTTTACATAATACTGACACTTCCGGATGATAAAGTAATATAGTTAATGAGAAATTAGAATGAAAAAACTTTAAAAACTTCATTAAGTTTAGAAAAAATATTTTTAAACTTATTATTTTTACCAAGTAATTGGTAAACAAATAATTTGCTGATATGCAACACCCGAACAAGAATAATTTTGTTATAAAATAATGACTTTATAAAGAAACAAAAAAAAAAGTAACTTAAAACAGTGATTTGTTATTATAAAGTAAATGCAACAAAATAAAAGATACACATTTTAGAAGAATGTAAAGAATTTTTGTATGAGTAAAATACTAGTTCCTGAATATTTTACTTTTATCTTTACCATGTTTTTGCAATGTAACAACAATCAGTATCTTAAGACATTTATTAAAATTAAAAATGTGTAAAAATAGCATCAAATGGTTCATAAACTTTATCATTAAGTATTTGAAACAAAGTTAAAGCACATATTTTTGTTCATCAACAAATTAAAAGTATAGTTTTAGAAAAACTCTGTTGTTATTGGGGACACATATTTCTAGAAAACAAATCTATGATGAGTACAACCTACAGTTTGTGCAGTGAAACTGATAGCAGAAGCAAATTATATTCCCAATTTTGCCTGTGATTTATTTAAAAATCTGTAAACATGGAGTAGCAGCTGTACATGGAAATTAAATTAAGTACTTGTTAGAAAAAGAAAAAACTCTTAAGCAATGGTTTTTCTTTAATTATATTGCACAATTGATATTAGTGTGGTCCAAACCTTGGAAAGTAAACACACTCTTGTTTTTATTCACTCTGTTGGTCTTGTTTAGAGTCACCCCCCCTGTTCTCCTGTTGGTCTTGTTTAGAGTCAGCTCCCCTGTTCTCCTGTTGATCTGAATCCAAAAGTTCCCATGCTGCGTCCCCCACCTCACTGCTGGAACTACTTTTGTTGATGATCTCTGGTTCAGATGTGCTTGCCTCCTCGTCTTTATCCGAATCTGAAGATTTCACAACACTCCCTTCACCAGTCTTCACCTCTACCCCACCAGAATTATTCACATTTGTATCATCAATCAGTTCATGTGTGCTGGATTTGCCACTGCTGCTTGCAGAATCCAGGTTGTCACTTGTTATCACAAAACTTTCAACATTCACCTCCGGAATTTTTTCTTCCCCGACCATCTTTGTTGTTACTGAGCCTCCAGCTAGTTCAGACGGCTGCACTTGACCCGCGTCCAGTGTCTTCTGGTCTGGCTTGTCTGACATGACAGCCATCAGCTCTACAGTCAACAAAAAAATTTAATTAATTAAAAAACAAGGGTAACAATACAGTTATTCTACATTCTATTTCTTCTTTGTACTTGCTTATTATTAATCCCTAAATTTGAAAAAAGTAACAAGCGCTTTTTAGACCTGGCAGTCTATAGGGTTAATGAAGTAGAGTTCACCTGTTTTTCTGATATATACATATGAATTATAAAAGGATAGTGGGGTCAACACCAACCCGAATGTCTTACTTTCCTTGACATGAGTCAGGTACCTATTAGAGCTGAGTAGACTCTGGGACCTGTAACAGACTTGAGCCACTGAACCAAAGACTTAAGGTAGTAATTGTTTACAAATAGCCTGACATAATAATTTTTGGATTTGTGTATTGTTTAAGTAATTTCTGATTGTGTTGGCAATCTTTAAAATATAAATATTCCAGCTACCAAACTATTGACAACCTTAAGAGAAAAGGATGTAGTTCTGAGGTAAAGTGCATTTTACTATAACACATTGGGGAAAAGCTATATTGATCCAGCTAGTCATACTAGTTAGCTTTTCATTTCTCAGGTAATACCAGTTACTAAAACCATAGTTTATTACAAGAAAGATACTTGTACATCTTTTTTATGTAAAACAAAATAATTTTCAAACCAAAACAAGATAATTCTCACCCGGTTGTATCCACTGATTTTGTTTCAGCTCACTATTTGAATGTTCCTGTTGATTAAAAATTACAAGTTAAAATTCAATACATCACTGGATACTAAATGTTTGATTGTGTAAAGAATGAAATTCTCTTCCAGACAAGTTTATCAGCGTTCTATCCATATGACTCACACAAACATGACTATCACCTGCCCATATACGTCTCTCCACCCTTCCCAAATACAACATGACTACCACATGTCCCCAATGTCTCTCCACCACTCCTTTCCCAATTTAGTGGATTACAGATCAGAATAGGTGGACTTCTGTTGCAGGTTTTAAAGTTAGAACTTTTTTCAATTTTGCTCAAAATGGCCTACTTATGAAAACAAACCTTGGCAAAGCTACAAGGCCTGGCTATGTTTACATCAGCTGATGATATAAAAACTAACTTTGGTGTCACCCTCTAGCGTAGCTACGCTTACATCAGCCAATGAATTACAAACAAAGCCTATGATATACAAACCTTGGTAGCGCCCTCTAGCTTGGCCAAGTTTACATCAGCCAATGAATTACAAACAAACCTTGGTAGCGCCCTCTAGCATGGCTACGTTTACATCAGCCAATAATAATTAATATACAAACAAACCTTGGTAGCGCCCTCTAGCATGGCTACGTTTACATCAGCCTATGATATACAAACAAACCTTGGTAGCGCCCTCTAGCATGACCAAGTTTACATCAGCCTATGATATACAAACAAACCTTGGTAGCGCCCTCTAGCATGGCCACGTTTACATCAGCCAAAGATCCAGTCAGTGGGACCATGCTCTGTGTGTCCTCCTTCAGTCGGATGTTGTCAGAGACAGATGACATGATACTCCTGAGGTCTGAAGGAATCACGTTTTCCTTTCGTTTGTAGGTTGGTCGATGCTGCATAGTGAATCTAATTGATCAAAGATTTATGTATTTAAATTTTTATATAAATAATTTGGGTTAAACATTGTTATGAAATATAGTCAACCAAAAATTAGTTTGAAAAAGGGAACAAAAAAAACAAAAAAAAACTTTAATGTAAAATCACTGCACGTAAATAATTGTATAAAGCAAGAACGCTTAGATATTCTAGGATCAGTTTATGTTAAACCTGTCGTTTGTTGATCAACATGGATGAATGTTTTCTCCAATTATCCACATGGATGAATGTTTACCTGTCATCCAGCTAATCCACATGGATGAATGTTTATCTATCATCCAGCTAATCCACACGGATGAATGTTTACCTGTCATCCAACTAATCCACACGAATGAATGGGTTACCTGTCATCCAGCTAATCCACATGGATGAATGTTTACCTGTCATCCAGCTAATTCACACGGATGAATGGGTTACCTGTCCCCCAGCTCATCCACATGGATGAATGTTTACCTGTCATCCAGCTAATCCCCACGAATGAATGGGTTACCTGTCAGCTAATCCCCACGGATGAATGGGTTACCTGTGATCCAGTTGATCCACACGGATGAATGGGTTACCTGTCATCCAGCTAATCCACATGGATGAATGTTTTACCTGTCGTCCAGTTGATCCATCTCCACATGGTCCTCCGGCTTCTCCTCACTGCCCTCTCTGCTGGTGGCCATGTCCACCATGGGGACCTCCTTCAACTCCATCCTCTCTTTGTACTGTCTCAGTGACGCCACCTGGGCTTTCAGTGCACTATTCTCTTTCCTCACCTTCGATCTATTTACAGAAAAAAAAACCGGTTCAGTGAGGACTCAAAAGTTTTGCTTTCTTTTTTCATATGTTAGCTTTAATAATGACAAAATATGTTCACTTTGTTCACAAATTTCTATCCCCATTTGACTCCTAGCTAAAATTACTCTAGTCACAAATTGAACGGAGTCTAAATTCAAATTGTCTAGAAAAGTTGTCAATGTTTTATTTTATGTAAATGTATAAAAACATTTATATTTTTAACTATGCAGAAGAAAAGCTAAGTGGAGTACCAATCCTTTGTTTGATTTCAACAAAATGTTAGATACTTTCAACAAAAAGATGTCAATTTTTTGGTTTAAAAAAAACGAGCCGGCCCGCGGCATAACATACGCCGCTATTTAGTTGTTGTTTTTCTACTTTACAGTAATTCATAATTTGTGAATTCGACAGTACCAATGCTGCCACTGAAAATATTTCTTTAAAACACTATAAGTAGCTCGTTAAGGACCATAACCCCCCCCCCCCTTCCTTCCCCCCTCCCCCTCCCCTACGTTTAAAACCGTTTTATCTGCCCCTAATAGTTGTCACATAACCCAGTTCTGCTTGTAAACATTTAGAGTGAACACAGCTCACTAAGACAATGTAGGGGTGGGGAGGTAGGGAGCGTGTTTACAGCTTGTTTTCTAGCGTCTCCCAGAAGAGAATTATATATATAGATATTTTTAAAATACGTATGATGAAACTTTAAAACAAGAATCTGAATGAGCACTCTTACATTTCAGCTTGAAGCTCCAAAACGCAGGCATCCATTGTTTTACGCTCTTTAACCCTCTCTTTCTCTAAAACACTTCGATCAACTTTCAAGCTCTCCAGCCTAAGGTTAGCTTCCCCCATCTGTCGCTCACGCAGACGCACCAACTCCTCCAGGTAATCCTTCAGGTAAACAATTACAAAATCATTTAACATATGAAGCCATCAGGTAACTGACTTAATTAAAATATGTTCTCAAAATAAGATGCACTGCTTTTTAAAAAGTAAGCAGAAATGAGTTAAGTAGATTATTTCATTAATTTAAATCTTAAGTATAACTAGAATGGGCTTAGTCATTAATAAGATTGTTAACTTTACATACAATAATAATTTGATTTAAATATTAATCAACTCAAACTTCATCTACTTTTATAAGTTTCAAATTTTTATATTGTATTAATGTTATATAATCACAGTTAATTCATTCACATAATGTAACAGCATGCAGTTTGGTAAATATTGATGTAATTTTAAACCTGAGTGATTATAAAAAAGAAAAAGATTTATTAACTGACCTTTTGCTCTTTAATACTCCTGAATTCTTTCTCTAAGTTTTGCAAATGTAAAATATCATTGACGTTACTTTCTGTTAAGATATTGCAAGGGATCCCAATATCATCAGAAACTTTTCCACTAAGCCGCTGCATCTCAATCTCATCAATGCTCTGGCTGGCAGATCTGGTTTTATTATGCAGAAAAGATCATTTATTAAATTTACAATGTTAATGAGATTTTTCAAATCAATTCATAAATTATAACTAAATGTTAAAAACAATTTTCATTTTAATTGGAAAAATAATATATAATATATTTTGGCATAAAATTACTTTTAAAATTATTTTTTTTCTCCACATCTCTTTATGTACTTCCACAATAAAATGCATACTTCAATAAATTTAATTTGTGAGGATTTCACTTACGACTGCTTATATTTCAAGAAAGGGGCATAACTTATTTCATATGGGCCTTGCAGTGCATTTTCATTTCCTTTCAAACAAAAACTGAAAGAGGCAAAACAATGATTAAAATTTTAATGTTAAGAGTCTGAAGTGTGAGAAAGCAATAATTAAAGATAAGTGCTCTGGAATCTCTAAGCTGTTAATAAAATTTAATTATAAGTTAACAAGTACATAAGATAAGGGGGTCGGAGTGGTCTCGTGGTAGAGAGCTGTACTGCTAACCCGTAAGTCTTGAATTCGAATCACGGTTCAAGTCAGTAGACCGTCCCTGAGTCCACCCATCGCTGATGGGTACCTAACTCACTTTAGGGAAAGTAAAGGCAGCTGGGCATAGCGCTGACCACACTATCTCTTCATATGCCGAGGTCACAGAAATAAGTGAACTCTATTTCACTTGCCCAAGAGACCGTCAGGTTTAAAAAGGGAACTTTACTACTTTACTTACATATATAAGATAATGTTTAAAAAAAACCAATAAAACTAACTTGAAGTCTATAGCATTTAGACCAATTAAGTCTCCACATAAAACAGAGGCTTCCTCAGACAGCATAAGTGCTCCATCTAGATAGCTCTCTCTAAAAGAAGTTGTAAACAATGCAGCTTAGTTAAAAAGATTTAATTTAAAATGTGTAGTTACTGTAATGTAGAATTTTAAAAAAATTCAAATTCAAATAATATTTTTAAAAAAATTACCAGTATGAAGTAAAAATGTAAAATGTATCAGTTCAGTTCATACCTTATTAAATTTGAATTGTCCAGTAGCCAAAACAGGTAGTCAGACAATCTCTTCTCCATTAAAGCTATCTTGATAAAAGCTCTTAGCTAAAAAAATAGGCAAGTTGTAACAACTTAAACAACATATCTTTTATTAAAGCAAATACATGTGTTTAATTCTCCCAAAACATTAAATACTAAACAAAATAGCAGCACAATGAATTCACTCCTGGCTTTTTATATAACTTTGTCTTACACAGATCTATTTTTATTCAGTTATACTTTTGAAAACCAAGAAATTGTCGTTAGAATATTGTTTACTTGTGATGTCTGAAACTAAAAAAAACTATTTTTATCTATAAAACTTTAAACTTTGACAACTGAAAGCTGATCTATGAATGTGTACCTTTGAAAGTACAGAGCTGATCTATAAATGTGTACCTTTGAAAGTACAGAGCTGATCTATAAATGTGTACCTTTGAAAGTACAGAGCTGATCTATAGTGTACCTCTGACAATTGAGAGCTCATTTATAAATGTGTACCTTTGAAAGTACAGAGCTGATCTATAAATGTGTACCTTTGAAAGTACAGAGCTGATCTATAAATGTGTACCTTTGAAAGTACAGAGCTGATCTATAAATGTGTACCTTTGAAAGTACAGAGCTGATCTATAAATGTGTACCTTTGAAAGTACAGAGCTGATCTATAAATGTGTACCTTTGACCATTGAGAGCTTGTTTATAAATGTGTACCTTTGACAGTACAAAGCTGATCTATAAATGTGTACTTCTGACCATTGAAAGCTCGTTTATAAATGTGTACCTTTGACAGTACAAAGCTGATCTATAAATGTGTACCTCTGACCATTGAGAGCTGGTTTATAAATGTGTACCTTTGCTTTCGGAGACTTGATCATCTCTATCACCTCAATGTTGGGGATACAGGAGGGGAACAGCAAGCCACGGTTGCTGTGGTGATTCTCCACAAGGACCTCCCAGAAATGTCGCGGTGTCCCCTGACCAGGTAACCACACCTTCTTTTGGTAAGCTGTAGGGATAGCAAGGTAAATCATGAAAAAGTTTGAACCTGTTCTGTTAAATTGCAATGTTAAATAGTAAAACCAGAATGCTTACGTCGTAGTCTATGAGAGACCATTTGCTCAAAAACTGCGCAGAAGTTGATAAATTCCTCACTTTCATCATCAACATGCGTGTACAGACATGCACAGTCTATCAGAGATTTCACCGATATCCTGAGGGAAAATAATGACTATGAATAATAAGAGCTTGACAATAATCATTGTTTTTGTTAACAGGAAAGGTTGAGATTTAATTTTTATAAAAACCCTATTATCAATTAGTTACAGAACTACCTATCCACTCCACTAAAATGAAACTAAATGCCTTTCATTTCAATGAGTCACTCCATGACTTGTGTGGGTTGATAAAAACCACACAATAACTCTTTTCTTGTGCATTAAATATCCAATCTTTTAATAAACTGAACAATTATTTTGCCAAATGTGTCACTTTAATTTTAATAATACACATTATACAAAGCTTAGTAGAGAACAGACACTACACATTACCTGCACATTGCTGCCAAATTCTGTCTTTGCACATTTACTTGCCTTCTGTTTAACATTTTCTACAATGGAAAACAAAAGCAGTGTTAATGTTTAGTTAATGATATAGGCATTGGTTTTAGCTAGATCTATGTCTCATAGAAACTGAACATTTATTTAATGACTAAATGTGAGGTCAGGTTTGTGGTACCCATTTCTTATGGTAAAATATTAAAATAATATTTTAATAATAATATTTATTATTTATTCATTTCTATAGTATAGGGGCCTATTCTATATTTTTTTTATATTATTCATAGCATAGAATCTCAATCTCTAAACTCTAAACTAATATAATATTTATATTATTTATAGGCCTAATAATATTAATATAAATAAATATATTTAATATTTAAATTATATATTTAAATTTATAATTATATATATTTATATAGACCTAGGCTTATACTTTAGGGAGGCTCACTAACTTAAAAGCGTCCTTGGTTGCTAACCAGAACATGGCGTAAGGATCGGACCATGACTTCCGGCGAGTTTTTCGACTTAGTTCCAGAGACCTTCTTAGAATTACTTTTAAAAATGTTTATCACGAGTAAAATGGCGGGTTTTCACGTTATAAAAACATGCTATAGGTGGCAAGGCTAAATATGCCAGAAAAGCATTTTCAAAAATTGCTTTGGGGGATGTTGGCTAAATTTAAAGTCGGTGTCATTCAAAATAATATAACTTTTTAAATATAGATTTCCATATCACAAAATTGATTTCCACAGTAAAGCATTATTAGTTTTATCATTCTATGAAAAAATAAATCAAATATCTTCAACCGTTTTTTTATAAGATCGACCGAGAAATGACAACCAAATTTTTTTTATTTTTTTTGACCACGTGACCGCTATTTGAATGGATACGTTTACCTGGCATGGTTTTTTTTTTTGCTCTTTTGTACAATAAAAAATGTCATAAAATTAAAGAAATAAAAGAATTCAAAAATCACTTCTGTCTTGTCTTTTTTTTAATTCTTTTCTGATGACATTCTCTTAAATTTTTTTCCTCTAAAAATATTACCCGACGATAGACGGGCCAATTCTACTTTTTAGGAACTCTCTTGTGAAAAAAAATTAGATCTATTTCACGGTCACTTAAAAAGTTAAACCTTTCAACTTTTAACCAGGTTGTCATGGATGATCCGTCATATCATAGCTGTGAGTGACAAATAAATTTAAAATTCAATAATTTAGTCTAAACTCGCTACAACCCCCAAATTTAGTGCCTAGAGGATAAAGTATGGACGTTTTTTATTCAGTTGTCATGTTTAAATTGAGAATTAAGTAGATTTCACAAATAGTAAGAAAAACTATTATACTTTATACAAATAATCTAGAATCTAGCCATTTTTCTAGGCCTACCCACTCACTACTACTAGACTACTAATAATATAGTATAAGTATAGCTAGTCACTACCCCAACCACAGCCCAGTAGATCTAGCAGTTGTCATTCAATCTTGAATCTTGCAGACTAGATCTAGCTAGATCTAGATCTAGACTTCTAGAATCTAGATTATCATTAGTCGATTAGAAGATAAGATTAATAAGAAGATCTAGAATCTAGATCTATTTGATTTTGAACCAAGCAGCTAGACTCTAGCTTATTTACTCAAAATAAAGACTATAATTACTAATTATCTAATTATTAATTAGATCTAGATACAGTTTGGTAGCTCTATTTACTATTGTATTATTTATAAGCAGAATATTATCCGACTGTAACTGCGAAGTCGTGTGACTTCCCTAAATAAACTTTTGTTGTTCATAAACAAACTTAAAATCAAACTGAATGGCACAAAGTTTTAACCTTTCAACTGAACGTAGGCCTAGGCTTATTTGAGTTTTTACAAGAATAAGACTTCCAGTTAGGGGAAACTAGTCCCATGAAAATGACAGCTTTTCTCACAGCAATAATTATAGAATCTAAACTTATAGACTCTTCAATTTTTAAACCATGTTAAATATGCAAATTGAGATGCCGAAAAACACTTTTTATCTTTGAAAGTACGGCAATAACATAAATTACCAATTATCCAAATTTAATTTATTTTTTTTAGCTTTCGGGTTGTTTCCCTTGAATTGAAATAAAATTAGTTTAAATAGTAAAATGTCTAAGTTTTTAAGTCAAAAGTATAAAAAAAATTCATATTTTTTATTTATGTAAAATGATTATTATATTTCTTTAACGTGAAAACATAATAAAAGTGGTTTAGCTAATCTTAATTGATTTTTATTTGTACAATATTAAACTCACTATTCATACAGTTCAAAACCATAAATTTATACAATTTAGTTTTTATTGGCACCACAATCGTCACTTTCTTCAGTTAAGATCATACTTTTAGGGATCATTTCTAAAGTTGGTCTTGCCGGGACATTGAGCAAAATTGAACGGCACGATAACCATGATGACGAGATTCAGTCACTTCCTCTGAGCGTGAAGTTGATCTCGAGGCAGTCATTGCTTGAGTGACTGTCTCAGTAGATCGTTGATGATCGTTCCGCTCCTCCCTCAGCGGGGAGCCGGAGGAGGTCGTGACAATCCGAGTGGTTTCCTAAATTAAAATGACATGAACGGGTGAAACGAAAAATGCCGAACAGAGCATTAAATCAAATCAGCCACTAGCACAGACAATTTATCATTATGTTTCAACAGTTTCTCTCTTGGGCTATCTTAGGCATCTGAGCGGGGAGAAGGGCAGTACCCGCATTACATCTAATATATAAATCTCAGTTCTGTATGTAATGCATTTGTATGTCGTTGGAATTGTACGAATTTAAGTGTTAGAAAATTATCGTGCGCATTTGTCTAAATTTATGAGCTAAAAAATTACTATTGAAAGTGTTGGGAAATAATTTTCATTTTTCAAATTATAGTAATAATTGTCGGCATGTTCATTAAACACAAGTTTTTAAAAAAATATCATCTTTTACAAAAATTCTAATTATGTCTTTATTTAGTCCTATAGCATTTACTTCCCTTTGATAAATTAGGAAAAACACAATTACTTCCCTTTATAAAACCATTGCATTCCGTGAAAATAATTTACTTTTTAATTACTTTGTTTTGGTGTTGGGAAAAAAAATAATTACATAATTAGCGGGGATTGATCAAGTGCAAATGTTGTAGGTATTTTACGGATAAGCTTGGAGTATTAAAATTGTTTATTAAATTGAAACAGGCGCGTTCGTTTAAGTGAGTGCAAAAGACTGTGAATAAGTTGGGGTACTATAGTCGTTCATTAAGCTAAAACAGGTGATTCCGCCCCGGGCGTTTATGTTCGCGTTAGTGTTTTCTTTGTGTTTAGGTGGGTTTGCGTTAGTGGTTGAGTTTTAATTTGGTTCGTTTTTGTTCTTTCTTTTTTCGTTTTTGTTTGTGTTTTTTTTGTTTGGGTTTGTATTTGTGTTTTTGGTTGGTTTTGCGTTTGGATTTGGTTTGTTTTCGTTTGCTTTTTTCGTTGATTTTTTTTTTGTTGGTATTGGTGTTTGTGGTTGGGTTTGTTGTTAGGTTTTTGTTTTCGTTTGCTTTTTTGTTTGTTTTTTCTTTGTGTTTGTATTGGTGTTTGTGGGTGTGGTTGTGTTTGTTGTTAAGTTTTTGTTTTCGTTTGTATTTGTAATTGTGTTAGCGTTATGTTTGCGTTTTGTTGTTTTGGTTTTGGTTGGTTGTGGTTTGGGTGGGCAATGCCGGGTTTATGATGATTACTAAACACACAGGTAATGGTCTTTAACAGAAAGGTTTTTCACAGAAGCCAGAGCAGGGCCTGGCCGGGACGGCTAGTCTAATATATAAAGCTCAGTTCTGTATGTAACGCATATGTTTGTCGTTGGTCTTGGATGGATTTAAGTGTTAGACAATTATCGTGCGCATTTGTCTAAATTTATGAGTTAAAAAATTACTATTGAAAGTGTTGGGAAATAATTTTCATTTTTCAAATTATAGTAATAATTGTCGGCATGTTCATTAAACACAAGTTTTAAAAAAAATATCATCTTTTACAAAAATTCTAATTATGTCTTTATTTAGTCCTATAGCACTTACTTCCCTTTGATAAATTAGGGAAACACAATTACTTCCCTTTATAAAACCATTGCATTAGTGGAAAATAATTTACTTTTTATTACTTTGTTTTTGTGTTGGGAAAAAAAATAATTACATAATTAGCGGGGATTGATCAAGTGCAAATGTTGTAGGTATTTTACGGATAAGCTTGGAGTATTAAAATTGTTCATTAAATTGAAACAGGCGCGTTCGTTTAAGTGAGTGCAAAAGACTATGAATAAGTTGGGGTACTATAGTCGTTCATTAAGCTAAAACAGGTGATTCCGCCCCGGGCGTTTATGTTCGCGTTAGTGTTTTCTTTGTGTTTAGGTGGGTTTGCGTTAGTGGTTGCGTTTTGATTTGGTTCGTTTTTGTTCTTTCTTTTTTCGTTTTGTTTGTGTTTTTTTGTTTGGGTTTGTATTTGTGTTTTTTGGTTGGTTTTGCGTTTGGATTTGGTTTGTTTTCGTTTGCTTTTTCGTTGTTTTTTTTGTGTGTGTTGGTATTGGTGTTTGTGGTTGTGGTTGGGTTTGTTGTTAGGTTTTTGTTTTCGTTTGTATTTGCAATTGTGTTAGCGTTATGTTTGCGTTTTGTTGTTTTGGTTGGTTGTGGTTTGGGTGGGCAATGCCGGGTTTATGATGATTACTAAACACACAGGTAATGGTCTTTAACAGAAAGGTTTTTCACAGAAGCCAGAGCAGGGCCTGGCCGGGACGGCTAGTAATTTATATAGAAAATGTATTTTTACCGGAAAAGTTAGTCGCCCACCTCCCCCTCGAAATTTACAGGTGTGCTCCCCCGGAGCAAAAGCCTGCAAGAAACTCTGGATGTTTAGAAATTTATTTTTTTAGTAGGCCTTCCAAATTATTGGAAAGGGGTTGATAAAATACACACCAACCTTTCCAACTCGGATGGGGGGGGGGGGGGGCCTTTTCGCCAACTTGAATAACTAAATATAAGGAGGGGTGCTACGCCTCTGGCCACTAACCTTTTAACTTTTTAGCGCTATTTCCATTCTGGAGAATTGCGTTTATTAACTCGTCTTTTCTGGGAATGGATGGATGGATGGATGTGTGTCCGCAGCTTTAAGTCGTATTTCCTCCTCAACGAAGCAATATCGAGGACTTGTTCCAAAGCAATTATGTTAAGCAAGTTACGAGGATGAACATAGGCCATAAAAATTCCGGGTTTCTTTCATGGATTTCCCGGAAAAGCCAAAAAACCTCGAAAAAATGCAGTTTTTTGGCCCATATCTCGGCAACCAGACCAATTAGCGACTTGAAACATGTACCAATCTATTCCTGCCATAATTTAGAACAATATTGCCGAAGAAAGTTTTCAAAAATATCCTTTCGTTCGGTCACAAAATTTTTTTTTAATTAATTAAAATTTGGACCGAATTAGTAGGCATTTTATGCAACCACACCACACGCGTCATCACGTTCAATAGCTGCGCCATCACGTTCAATGGCTGCGACGTCACGTTCGGTAGCTGGGCGCGCAATGGTTTTTAGTCATGTTACTCTATTGTAAGTAAAACATGTAAAATACTGAAAAAAATAAATAATAAAAAACGTTTTAATAACTAACCAATGGTTTTACTAACCCTGCTTTTGATTTACGCTACGACAGAGCTATTTTTAGATAACACAAGGAAATTGCGCTAAAATTGTCACTAGACTTTTTTAAATTACTGGTTTAGTTGACTAAATAACTAATGCAAAGAAATTACAACAAATAAATATGGTGAGTCCTGATGCTACTAGACAAGATCTGCATATCTACGATTTAATCCCCTATCACCACTCTACAATTATTGTGGATATGTACCACATAGATAGGCACTGAGCTTGGATAATCCGAAGCCTTTAGATAGGTTTCCAATTTCACTAACCATCCTTGGGACCGGCATAATATGCCCTAAGGTTTATTTAATCGAAGTTACTATCAACAACCACACATGTTGTACATTTTATAAGAAAAAAAACAAACAACAAACTAACACTGATTTTGACAACACCCTTGACACAAAAAACTTGGGAGACACACAGAGCACTTGCGATCTAAATTTAGAATATACTTCCGGGAGGTGACCTACTTAGTAGATAGGCCAGAAAATCAGAACGGATACACAGCAATGACTCACAAAATGCTACCCTTTCCTAAGTCTAAGTGTGTGTCTTGTGTGTGTGTGGGGGGGGGGGGGGGGGGGGGAGAGGGGGGGGGGGGGACCAAGACCATAAAGAACACACAACACCGAATTATCAGTAGTACAGTTTATCATAAAGAGGAGTGGGGTATAAATAAAAGAAATAACAATTCTTACACGTTTCCCTCTATCTCAATCAATGTTGTCATTGTATTTTTAATTACGGTTTTTACCCTGCAGGTTACCTGTGTAGAAAATGATTGTAGACCCAATGGAACACTGACCAAGAAAGGAAACTACATTGGTCAACAGATTGGGTTGGGTGTCAATGCCCTAAAATATGATCAGATATCAAATTTTCAAAGATTAAAGACACCCCCCCCCCCCCCCCCACCTCTATGACATGAACTCTTTTAGTTGTGAACCTAAACTGTGTAAATCACTGACCAGGTATTGTATTCATCTACCAAACCTTTTTAAAATCTATCATAAAAACAAACTGTAAATATACTTACTTAACCATTGTATCTCAGTCATCACAACTAAAATAAACTAATACAATAAGTTTCAGTCAACAAACAATGGTTAAGCTTCTCTTACGTCTCTTACGCTAACTGGCTCAATTGTTTAAATCACCAATTCTCATTGATCTACCCCAAGTATCAACCCCAAGTATCAAAGATCTACCACAAATATCAAATATCTACCCCAAGTATCAAATATCTACCACAAGTATCAAAGATCTGCCACAAATATCAAATATCTACCCCAAGTATCAAAGATCTGCCACAAATATCAAATATCTACCCCAAGTATTAAAGATCTAACACAAATATCAAAGATCTGCCACAAATATCAAATATCTACCCCAAGTATCAATCACAGAGCCCAGTTCATTGACCTTATCAACACAATATCTTTTTATTTACAGATTATCATCCTCACTACATTTCCCAAACATCATAATACCAATTCAAAATTTCTAATACAAATCCAATCTCAAATTATCTGGCTTTTCTCCAATAGAAAAGTAAGTAAACTACCTTAAAAACCTGACAGTTTGTGGCAGGTGAAGTAGAGTTCACCTGTTTCAGTAACCTTGGGATATGAAAAGGATAGTGTTTGCCCTATTGAAAACTTCAACATAAATCAAACTTGTGTCAAAATGAGCAGTTAACCAAAAGAGTAGCCTATGATTCTTAGTTAAGTTTGGAACTTTTTTTTTAAACAACATATCAGTTTATTACACAAAAAAACTGAGTTTAAATATTTGCATTTTGAATCCCACTCAAGCCCACCTGTGAACGAAATTTACTTTATCATCTTACTCCAAGAACTGAATACTTGTTGTGCAATAAAGAGACGCATTTTATCTCAATTCCATAATTCATCAATATTTACAACAAAAAAACATTTAAATTGGTTTTTATTTAAGAATGAGCTTTCCAGAGTATTTAAGATTATTTTCTTAAATTTTTTCATTGATTAAAAGTTTTAACGTTAAAAATAATCTTGTTCAAAACGTGATACTTGTTATCAGTGCAAGCTATACACTTTATATATTTACATGTGTATCTATATGTACATGAATGTAAAGGCATATATGTGTAAATTTATATGTGCTTAATCTAGCTATATACATACATATATATGTTTAATCTAGCCATATAGATATATATATATATATATATATATATATGCATATATATATACACGCATATATATATATATATATATATATATATATATATATATATATATATATATATAAAACTATATATATACACCAGTGTAAAATATATTTATTTACTTGTAAATATATGTAAATGTGGTAAACACCATGTTCTTACAATAATGAAAAATATCAAGATTATTTCTTGTTTTTTTTCATGTACATATATGTGCTGGTCTAGAATATTATTCTTGTTTTACATAATGTCCAAATTAAAATGTGTCAGGTGCTATACAATGTGTGTATTGAAACAAAGTAGAAAACAATGCCGTATCAAATGGCAACAATTACTACTGCACCAATGTGTCAACAATAGTTAGGTTTATTAATGCATTTCCAATGCACAACACAAAACAAAAGAATATTGTGATATCAATAAAACTGGATAAATGAAAATAGATTACAGGAGAGAAGTACAAAATATTTTTCAGAATACACTGCATTGTAGTTTAGTAAATATAATTACACTCTGATCAGATTCCCTACAAGCTGAAGTCATTTCATTCTTGCTATAATATTGTACACCATATGTTCAGAGCATCAAAGTTATTTTTTGTTATTGTTAAGGGAAATCTGTAAAGCCAGTTGTTTTTATTTAAATCATAGTTTGTAAACCCGCAAAAATAATTTAAAAATTTCACCCTTTAAAACACATTGCAAAATGCATGAAACAATTTAAAAATAAATATGCTAACATTAACTCTAATGAAACCCTGTTTAGAGCAACCTCAAGGATAAAAGAATTTATACAGGGAAATAACCAGAGACAATCAGTTTGGTGTGTATGTATATTTATTGATGACTGAAATATATTTAAAAGGTGCATATAAATATAAAGGCAAGTCAATTGTCAGCCCTGTCAGTATGTTCTAGAACAAGTTCTTGTCCTTACGAAACCAAGTCTAAAAAAAAAAACAACACTTGCAAAGAAGTCTACAGCCACAACATTACTCTCCTTCAGTTATCCTTGCAGTAAATGCCATTGTAAACCTGGATTTCCCTTCCAGTGTAGCTGGTGGTAGCACAAGATGGTCACCAGTGATTCATTTTATTCTCATTTTAAATCTAAACATTGATCAGTCAATCTAAGTTCCCATTGGAACTTTGACGAAAATCAATTCTCACTTCAATTTTTAACAATGATTTAAGTAATACTTATTCCTAACCAAGTTTTAAACATTGATATTTTGACCAGTGCTTTGCCTCAAGTAACTAGTGCAGGGTGTGAAGGCCAAACAACAAGAGCAGGCCCAACTCACTGCACTGCTGGTAGAATGGTGACAGTTACAAATGGGAAACCAACAAAAAAGCAAACAATCTGTTTCTATGGTAACACAGTCAAGAAAATCTGTTGAATCATTCAGTGATGAAGCAAACATCGACCGCAAATAGTTACAGGGTGCTCCAAAGTTTCACCTGTACACTGCTGAAAGACTAAAAGTTATATTTATCCCTACAGTTTTCATCCATAAAAGAAAAAGACAAAACACCTCAACCAAGTATAAGTTAAAGTTTGACAATAGATTCATAAAAAAAAATTGTGCAGTCTCTTTTAGTTGTAAGATACCACCAAGATTCTTTGGTAAAATTTTGTTTAAGAAATCAGCACATAATGAATTTACATAATTTAAAACTAGATCTAACAAAACTAATTTCCCCTCTAGTGCAGACTAGTAGGTTGTCATTATGGTAATGATGGTAAATGATAACAGTCCATGAAAGGAAAATAATAAATTTAAATACATGTTTAGCCTACATAATTATCGGAAGCAAATAATTTTTCTGCTTCCTAGGAATCTAAACACTAGGGCTAAGCTACGTCTAAAGTTATGTATTCTCCGCTACCACAGTTTACCCAGTCTATGATCATGTGAAGGTAGGTAATCATTGTAAAATTTCAAAGTTATCCCCCGGCCCCTCTTCTCCAAAGTGACTATGCACATGTTTCTCAAACTCCGCCTGAGACGCGTTGTGATCAAAAAGCTTACTACACATGGGACACGTGCGCGAAGCTTCTTGGGGCTTCATTGTCTCTGGTGGATTTTCATCATCAAAACACTTGAACACGTGTGTTTGAAAGTCCTCCATAGAAAAATGATCGTAGTTGTTATTGCACACCGGACAGATGCGGTCAGAGTTGAGACGAGGCTGGTGTGGGTCAGGGACATCTGCTGGGTTGGTCAAGACATTGATGTACTGCACGTCTGCTTCTCTTCCTGGGTTTCCAGTCTGTGCCAGGGGTCTGTGTAGTTTTGGTGGCATCAGAACGGCTCCGCTCAGCTCCTCCCAGTTCGGCGGGACAGTCTGTGAGCTTATTTCATAATTGGGTTGCCTGTGTAGAACAGGCTGTGGCTGAGCTTTTGATGATTGCGTCATAGCATGGTCATCTTCATGCATGTTGTCTTCCATAAGCTCAGACGCCTCCCAACTACGCCGATCGTAAGGTACTTTGTGTCCAGCAAACAGAGCTTGGCTACCAGGAGCTGGCCTTGAAGCCCCATGAAACTCCTCAAGTTGAGGCGAACTGGATTTTACTCCCCATCTTGGCGTATGTGTATCCATGGGAACTGCATCTGTGTTACGCGAAATCACAGCTGACCTGCTCCGGTGTAGGTCAGCATTCGGCTGCTCTATTCCATTTCTCCGACTGATAACTTCAGAGTGTGGTGATTTTAACGGCGCCACAAACTTCTGAGGCGAAAGTTTTGGAATGCTTCCATTACCCTCAGGGAGTTGCGGCCGTGCCGAATCACTGAAAATAGCTTTCTTGTTTACCAGAGAAGGCTGAAGCTCATGGGAGGCTGACTTCAAAGTCAACTGAATATTGTCATCACGGCTTGGTGCCTTCACCTCCGGGCCGATCTCTTGCATGCCTGATGGCATGTTGATATACCCATTGAGTTCTCTCACAGGTACCATGTTATGTAGCTGTAAACTGTCAGACACAGACTCGTCTGAAGAAACTTCCCGCACGTTACCACCCCCTTGTGAACTCTCAAGAGATTTTGTGTCAGACAGGGCTGTTGGCTGTGGGTTCAAAGGTTTCTGAAAGGGTTCAGGAGACTGTCTGTAGGATATTTTCTGGAACGCATCTTGTGTGACTGTGGGCAACGACCTCTGTAAGGCAGGGACTGGTGAACCTCTGCTGGGCTTGGGTAGCCCCTCTGTGCTCTGGGAGCCTGCCAGGGCAAACTGTGTGGACTTGACAGGATTCAGGGAGGTTGGGTTTCCTGAAAATTAAACAAAGGAATGGAAATGAACTGGTGCAGCCTAACTCTAAGCCAGTGGTTCTTATCCTTTTGGAAGTACAGAACCCCACTAACTACATATGCGAATAAACCGAACCCTTCTTAATAGTTCTATTGTCAGTACTGAAATAATCTGATTGTAAATCATATGAGTTAAGTGTGTGTCTTGACCTACGCTGAACATCAGAGGCAGACTCCCCAAACCCTTAGGGTTCGATCGAACACAGGTTGAGAACCACTGCTCTAAGCTCTTAACTTCAAATTCTGATCCCCATAATGTATTTGTTTCTTTATCAAGTCTTTATAACACCAGGATATTAATTAACTACATATAATATTTTGTTTTATTTTTTCCATCAGCAAGGTAAGTATATCATGAAAGTATATTGTCCTGGACACTGGAAACGGAAACAGTTTTGTTCCACCAAATTTACCCGCGGCCATGGAAATAAATCAACACCAACACAGCAAACAATACTCTACTTTCACTTTCATGTTGCAGACAAAGCCAAACGGAAACACTTACTCATATTGAGCAGGAAGTTCCTCTGCTCCAGGACGGTGCTCTTGAGTGTGTCCACAACCTTGTGCAGGTACTCCAGCTCCTGGCTACAGGCCACGTTACCCAGGGATGGGCTGCCACCACTGCCATTGGAGTAATCCTTTATACTCCGGTTTTCTAGCTCTAGCCGTGATATTGACTCCTGGAAATTAATACATTAAGGTCATCAGTCATAATTTTATGCTTTTTTACATATATAAATAAATATATATATATATGTATGTATGTACAGTAGCGTAGCGAGGGACGGGGACATATGTCCCAGGGCGCCGACCTTAGGGGGCGCCAAAATGGGTTGGAAAAATAAATTGAAAGGTTGAGGGGGGGTGCAAATCAAAAGTTTGAGGGGGGGGATGCAAATCGAAATCTTGAGGGGGGGGGGTGCAAGGGCGCAGGGAAGGGTCGCTACGCCTCTGTGTATGTAGGCTATATATGTATACATATAGGTGCGTGTGTGTATGTCAGGCATATAAATATTTATATTCATAAAACAGTTTCTATTGTATGTTTGCAAAACTTGTAAAATGTTAAACCTATTAATGATATAAAATAATTAACAGTGTTATTAGTTTGTTTACTTCTGGAGTTTGACTATTCAGTAATATCAGTAGAATATAACAATGTGAACAAATGAAAAAATAAGAACACTAATTCACCTAGGATATTCATGTTTTGGATTATATTACCACTAAAACTACTCTCTGATTAACAATAAAAATAATATTTTATCTAAAGTAGAGGTACAAGAAAAACCACAAACCCTCAGTAGTTTATTCTCTGATTAACAATAAAAATAATATTTTCTCTAAACTAGAGGTACAAGAAAAACCACAAACCCTCAGTGTTTTATTCTCTGATTAACAATAAAAATAATATTTTCTCTAAAGTAGAGGTACAAGAAAAACCCTCAGTGTTTTATTCTCTGATTAACAATAAAAATAATATTTTCTCTAAAGTAGAGGTACAAGAAAAACCACAAACCCTCAGTGTTTTATTCTCTGATTAACAATAAAAATAATATTTTCTCTAAAGTAGAGGTACAAGAAAGACCACAAACCCCCAGTGTTTTATTCTCTGATTAAAAATAAAATAATATTTTCTCTAAAGTAGAGGTACAAGAAAGACCACAAACCCTCAGTGTTTTATTCTCTGATTAACAATAAAATATTTTCTCTAAAGTAGAGGTACAAGAAAAACCACAAACCCTCAGTGTTTTATTCTCTGATCTGGCTCTCATCAGCTCGTCTCTCAGTTCACCGGGTGGGAGACTCTGGCGTCGAACATTCTCTAGGTCTACAATAGCCTGCTGTAGTCTCTTCTGCAAGTCTGCTCGAGAGTTACTCAAAGTGTCAACTTCATTTGTCAGACGTCTGTTTTCATCCTGTAACCTCGACAACTCTGATTTCAGGGCCCCGTTCTCAATTAGGAGCTTGTCTCTTTCTTCAGTAGCGCTCATAAGCCTGAGAATAAGCGACTCAAAGTTAGAGTCTATAATGAGATAACCAATGGACTAAACATAAAAAACAAATATTTATTTTAAAATAAAATGTATTTTGAATAAGATAGCCCTAAATCTCTAAGAGGTTAAATTAATTAGTTAAGAATTATGTTAACTAATCACTAAAATAGTGAATTGTAATGTCAACATTTTATTGCAACATAATTTTGATAACTATTACTACATACTATTACTACAAAACAAACAAGAAATAACTTAATAGCTTTTTGAAAATAGACATTACCAATTAGGTAAGTAATAGTTACATGTTTATTATGTTAATAAACACAATTTTATGAGACTTTGAAAGCGGGACAAAGGACTTACTTTGAAGACCATCCATCATACTTGTACAAATTGGCCTGCAAAACTGTAACTTGCCTCTGAAGATACTTGATGTGTGCATCTTTCACACCCTCCTCCACTGTAGCACCTATAGAAACAAACATTAATTCAGTCTTAACATTTTCTGCTGCTAAAGGAACAATATTTTTCTTCTAATGATGACTGAATACACTCTCACATACATACATAGAGAATACATTCTATCACTTTGAGTTATTAACTTGTTTTTTGATACAATATGAATGAAATTTGAGTTTCATTCTACTCTAATTTAAATGGAATTCTCATGTGCTAACTTCCACTCCAAAATGTATGTTTATCAAAATACAGTGTTCAATGTTTTTGTCAGATGAGAGAAGATACCTTGGGCATCCTTGGGAGCTTTCAATAAATTGATGTAGTGTTGTAGTTCTGCTTCTCGGATCTTGCTCTGCTCCAGCTCTCTGCACACCACTTGAAAGCGCTAGAACATTCACAATCAGGTAAAGGTTCACAAATCTTTTTATTACAAGCAAACATATGGTAAAAATACTACCAACAATATAATTTTGCTCAATATAAGCATAAGTAAACATTTCATATAATACTGGGTGATATGCAAAATTATTGCAACTTTAACAATGCTTACTTTGAATTCTTACATAAAAGATTTATATAAGAAACTAAAATTAAGTGAAAAACTAAAAGTTACCTGCTTTAAATATTCATCTTGGCTGCCTTGATTTCCAGTCTTATCAATTCCATTGACTGCACTCTCCCCAACTGGGAACTGCTCTCCATTCTTCTGGGGTTCGTACACCTCATACGATCCTTTAGAACCAATGTTATTACCAATTTGTTCATCCATTATAAATGTCGGTCGCAGAACCGTCCCATAAGTAATGTCGTTATGCCACATTGAAGGACTTTTACTCTGGACCTAAAGTTTAAAAAAATTCTAATTTTAGACATAGTGGACTAGAGCTTAATGAAATCTTGCTTGCCATAAAATGGCAAGATAAGGTTGTAAACTCCCTGTATTTATTTAAGGAGCATTTTACAGTGATACTAACAAAATATATGAAAATACATGACTATAGGTCAATTAGGTTTGTGAATAAATAATAGGGCCTAGGCCTAAATAAAATTTATTTTAAAATATCTGATACCTGCCCTTAAAATTAAATAAAAATCAATGAGTTTACTATCTTACTAAGTACTAAGACTTTGTTAAGAGTAAGTAAAAATTGGAGTCAAACATAGCAAAATTCATTCATGTATTTGTTTTGACTCATTAAATATTTGTACTAATTTGTAGCTGCTGACTAAGCTAAGCTGAGAAAAGAAATACACTCAGTTTTGTATTTAAAATCACTGTTACTGATTATTTATTCAATATTTATAGGCCCTATTGAATCTGTTCAGTAGTTACTAGATCTAGTTAGTTTTTAGTTAGATCTCGATTCTATATCTAGAATCTAGATTTGGTTTAGGAGTTTAGGTGAAAACTAGATCTAGATCTACTAAAAAGTTAAGTTCAGGTGGAAAAAAATTCTAGATTTCTACTACCCTAGGCCCTAGAATAAGATTTAGATCTTCTAAATCTAATCTAGCGTTAGACTGAGAACTACACTAGATCTAGATTCTAGTTACATTATCATCGACTTCGATAAGTATTAGATCTAGATCTATTCTACTGATAAATTAAAATTACTGATAAATATTATTTTTATGATTAAAAATGTCGATGGATGATCACGATGATGATGATGTGATTGTGATAAGTTGAGTCGATGACTGGATCTTGATGAGAATAAGATCGGAATAACTTACGGAAAGGACCTCAAAGTATTATAAATGAAACGAAGTATTCAAATAGATTCACAACATCCAGACTCTACAATACCAAGAAACTAACAAAATGCTCCACTCATCCGTTAGCATTGATGTCATTTTGCCAATAGTGAAGGTGGGATGAACGCCATCATCTCCCCTATTTGTGTATTTTTAGTTGTGGTTATATAAAAGTTGGAGAGTTCACTTCCGCTTGTTTTCTGGACGTATTTGGCCTAGGCCTAAATGATAATACTATTACTAATGCGGTTGAGAGATGGGATGGCTATTTTTATGAGTCAAACATAAAAATCCCCACACATTTTATTGTTGTTGTTTTTTAGACAATTATATATAAAGAGATTAAACGTATCCCTTTCTAAGGGACTTTTTTTCTACACCAATTAAAATAAGGACACTCAAGACCACAGCTATGTCTAGGCCTTTGTTCTATTCTTTGACATAGAATAGAACATAGACTATGTATAAAGTATAAAAAAAAATATTACTATTAGTTTAGTAGATCCAGGCTTAAAAAATAGTAAGGTTAGGACTTCGTTGGGGGTAATAATAGAGTAAAAGCCAAAAGCTAAAAATCAATGTGCAAGCTCTCCAAAGGGGGGGGGGGGGGGAGGGGGGGGAGGGAGAGTAGGCTTTTACCATTTTAAAAATTTATAAGCGATAATATAGAGATCTAAATAGTATAAATTAAATATAAATAGGCCCATCTTTACATCTTTTGGTCTTTTGCTAAGATGTGTGTGTGGGGGGGGGGGGGGGGGTTAAGTTTTGGCTGATTATTGACGTAATATGTTCACCTTATTTTGATTGTGTTGAATCTCTGGTGAAGGGTTGGTTAATTTCATACCTCCAAAATTTCATTTCATCGGGTCACATGAGATTTCCTGGAACAGGAAGAGAAAGAAACAGGTTAAAACCAAAAGGAATATACCTTTCATATAAACATTAAATAAAAAAGTAGACTACGACTATGATAAACCAATCGTTGAACACGAGTATAGAATCAATCAAATCATTTTCTTACCAAAATAACAGTCGCAAAGCTGCCTGAATTACGCCTTATAACGCCATGTTAAGAGCGGCTGAGCTCAGGCCCATTGCGAACTAGCTATTTTAGAATACCTGGGGCAGTCCTGGATACTATACTTACAACAGATCTTTTGATAAGCAGTTCTAAATTTTTAAAATAAAACCAGGTCGTCTATTAATTTAAAAAAGAAATGCTGCTATGCTAGTTGGAAAGATGGAGCAAGAATTAAGATTATTAAATCCCCATTTAGTTCCCAAACATCAATTTCATTTTTGGTAATAAAAATAGAGACAAAACTTAAATTCATGGGATAGTTTTTGAACCGCTGAGGCGAAGCTGTCAAAATTCTGGGTAAAGAACAGTCACATGACAAACAACACTGCTGTGGACTAGATCTAAATGGGACCAAAATATAGCCTAGTCCGCAACAACTTTTGTTTATCAAGTTATATAAATAGGTATCAAAATTTCACGAAAAAGATATGTTTACAACAACAAGCCTGCGCTGCTTGATATAATTTAACTGGGGTTTTGTTCGGAACTATTACAATAATGTTAATATAATGTTATCTGTTAGGCCTTTTGACTAACAGATAACAGTAGGCTACCCGTTATTGATTGTTACGACATCCCAATTATTTCTAGCTCGAAATAATAATTCACCTGGTTAATTTCAAATATCGATTTTCAGGGAAATAACTAAAACTTAAAAAAAAAAACCATCTTAAATTATATTTTAAAAATAGAAATAAAACCTACAACTATTTTTTTTTTCATCATTGTAGTCAAAAGCTTCGCGGAAAACAATGTTTTAGAATGCTGGCCACTGGCACAAAACTGAGTGTGGCTTAGGGCCTACTATTCCATTAGTCAAGTTAAGCTTATGAAAAATCCGGTCCTGTTGGCAGTTAATAACCACTCAAATGGAACGATACCGAGAAGTAACAAGTTTGCAAATAGATCTAGAACGCAATTTCTTAACTTAATATTAAATCCACCTATTCATGCTACCCGGAAACTCTGCCAGCTTGAAACGTTGACCTAGATCTTTCTATTAAAACTGAAACTGATTCTTGAGTTAATATTAATATAAAGCCACTGTTGGTTCCAGGGTATTCCTTCAACACCAGGTTTCGATAGCATTGATACATGTTTTTATAAGATTTGATTACAAAGTTTTGTGCATAATGAAATAATTCTTCATGTTTGGCTCAAACTGAAAAAAAGCTCAGAAAAAAATTAACTTTAAAATGATAGGTGATTTTTTTTCTTCTGAGATAGATCTATATGTAAGGCTGTAAGCGAGGGGTGAGGGGGGGGGGGGGGGGGGCGTCCAACTTCAGCATTCGGCGCCATGTAGCTGTGATGTAACATTTTATGTCTCGTAGTTCTACATTAGTCATTAGACCATAGGTGAAAGAATTTGACAAAAAAAGACAAAGTATGCGAGTCACAGATCAGTGGTTTTTACCCTGGGTTCGATCAAACACCAGGGGTTCGGTGAGTCAGTCCAAGGGGTTCGGTGAGTTTGTCTCAGGGGTTCGACTTATTCACGATCAGTTTTGTTGAGTGCGGACGGTATAACTAATAAGAAGGGTTTGGTGAATGTGCATACAGTGTTTCTTCCAGACTTTTTTCTCCGGGGGGGGGGGGGGGGGGGGGGGCACTTGATATTTTCGGGGGGCGGTCAACATTTTCCGGGGGGGAGCCCCCCCCCCCCACCAAGAGATGCCTGGAAGAAACTCGACTGCGCGCATGTCAAACTGGTGGGGGTTCGGTACCTCCAAGGAGGTTAAGAATCACTGCACTAGATCCAGAATGTGCTATGAAAACACAAGAAATCGCACCGTACGCCCAACACAAGCCAGCGTAACCTGTTTATGTTGTTGTCAGTGGTTTGTATTTAACATGAAATCATCTTTAGTGTAAAAAAACTGTAGAGATCTATATTAAAAAAAAACAACTTAAAAACGTTTAGAAAACGTGGCTGGTTAAAATTGTTTTTTAGGCAGTCGCTTTCAGTGGCGTCGCGTGCTATCTGCTATGGTTTCCAAGGGTGTCGCCCCCTCCGCCAATACTAAAAGTATAGGCAGTTTACGACACCCCCCCCCCCCCCCTCGTTTTAAATGATGTGGCTCTGTGCATGTAATGTATATAACTGTGTTAAGCTATTAAACTCACTAGTAAAAGGCATAATTTTTCACTAAAATTAGTTATTTTTTGTTTCGCCCCTTGGATGAGGTTACCCGGTGCGGTCCGCCCCCCCCCCCCCCGGCTTCGCCTTGTGACGCTACCGGTCATATTTGAATGAAGGATGAGTTAATCTAATTTTAGCCATTTAACCTGTCATGTTTATAAGTATTCATTATCTCCAGTCGGCAGTAGGCTCTGAGTGCGTGCCAGGTGATACCCTCAAAGAACAGGTAGATCTAGGTCGCGTGAGGTTATTTTTAAAAACATGTCGCATGCCGGGAAAGTGCATCCGGCTAACATGTATATGACGTCATTGTATTGAGACAATGTGAAATCAATATGAGGAAATGATGAATCAATTATATATGAAGACATACAATATGCAACATGGTATTCAATTCGTCTGTTAAAGAATACCACTGTCTAAACCCTAGCTATACAAAATGTGTGGACTGTTATGAACACATATGTGTGTAAGTTTATGTGAGTTGTGTGTGTTTGCGTGATACGACCTACAAATTGTGTTGTTACCATTGAAATATGTGCTCGACTCGATGAGTCTATGTTGTTTCCACTGATAAGCCGAATGTATTGTTATACCCGAATATATTGCTATGTTATTTTTTTCGATACAATGAACGCATCGAAATCCTAATGTATCGATACCTACATGTATGGAAGTTCCCAGCATCCCTACCTACGATTATATTTAATTTACGCCACCGCCGATGAATTGATAATTCCTCTAATAAGTTACTATGTGAACATGAAAATGAACAGTTTCGGGGTCTGTAAATCTCCATAAAAGAACTGACCTATAGATCATTTTTATAAACCTATAAACATAACTATAGAGAATTGTAATAGACACAGACAAAAGCAGATTGTGGCTCAGTCTATTGTTTTTACTCATACTTCTAACGGCGCTTGAAAAGATGCACTAGTGATTGTATGGAGTAACTTAATTTTTTTTAACATCGAGACTTCACATACTTCACTTCACGCGTCCAAAGTAAAAAATAAATACACGAATAGCAGGGGACGTAACTAACCATGTAGTATAGCATTTCATCACGATAACATCGTAAAATTGAAGTGTTTGCCATAAACGGTGGGATTTAAAAACGCCTAAGCGCACGTACTATATCAAAATTTGCCATATTGTATGATGTAAATTCTATATATCAATTTGTATCACGTGAACAGACAACCACGCAGCCCCGCATCGTATCGTATCGTATATAACATTTCTTGAACAAACCTTCTCAACATACACTCATACAATTATGTAGGTCTCGCATTGTTTAAAAACATATATCGCCCTGTTCACTACAATTTCACAATTGTATAAAAATCGTTATATTAAAATAAATAGTTTGTCATTCAAGCATAAAAAATAATAATGACTTTCAAAGTCAACGTTATATAACATTGCTCAATACCACATCACAGCTCTGTTCACAAATTCAACAGATCACGAATTGTTTTCCATTTCAAAAACATGTTTATATAATGTTTCAATTTCGTGTAATTAAAGATTAGCCTACATTCTCAAAGGATATAGTAAACAGGTTGATGTCAAATAAATCCAGTAGAGACTAGCTACACTTTTGCACTCGCCGATTGGGGGTATTCCTCAAAAACTGTCAACAAAAATAACACCAAAGTGTAAACGTGCAGGCCTATTGTTAGTGTTTAGGGTTTCCGTCAATGAACGTATGACGCAGTAACGACAACCCTTCCCAATCCTGCTTCACCCTCATCCTGTATGCCAACCACTTGCCCGCCCCGTACAGCGTGTTATGTGAACCGCGTCGTTTAGCCGTGCCTACGTCATCCTTGTTCATCAATCTCCCCCTCCCCCCTAGACACGCCTAGGATCACGACGGTTCTGAAATCTTTACCGTAGACCCCTGTTTACATTTTTATCCAATAACAAAATCGAATATTTAATTTAAAAAAAAAAACGGATATATTACCCGGACTCAAGCTCAAGTATTTGAATAACTAAGTACTACAAATATTTTTTATCTGTATTTAATTGGTCCAGATTACTCAAACAGACTATCGTCCTTAGGCGTTGTGTTACTGAAAGCGATAGTCAATATCAGTTTCATCTCTCGGGGGAGGGGGGGGGGGTCACTGCCCCCTCGAACCACGTACACCTTAACCCCGGACCAAATAAAAACAAATTATTTATATAGTAAAAGTACATTTTAGCCAGCGCCCCCTCCCCCCTCCCCCTTTTGCCACCACCCCGAGAAAGGGGTCTGAAAAAACCCTGGTCGATATAATAATTGTACACCAAACCTAACCTCAAAACTAAAACCAGTTTCTAGCACAGGAATATCAAGGTCTGTGGCGTACTGACGTGGACCGCCTACAATGAAAGCAGTTTCTCTTACACTGAGACATCAATTAACGACGGGTGATTTCAAAATTTTCACTTTCAGCATATGAATTTTCTAAAACATTATGAATATAAAAATAAAGGCCTACTCATTAGCGCTTACGCATGTTGTAGGCATACTTACACACACACACACGCACACACACACACACACACATATATATATATATATATATATATATATATATATATATATATATATATATATATATATATATATATATATATATATATAATCGTAAACACTGAAAGTCACACGAACGCAGTCTTGTAAGAAGCTGTATCTTTAGACAGCTAACATCTTGAGGTTCCTTAAGGGCTACCCCGCATCTAATATCCCCCCTGCCTACCCCTTTTAAAAAAATCATTAAATCCAGGGTCCAGGATTCTTGCAAAAGATCCCTTTACGCAATGGCCATTTCAGGGACCCACCCATATTCCAAGCACAAATTATAATTTTAATGAATACTGCAGGCCCTTTGACGTAAAACTAAATATCCGAAAAAAAAATTAAAAAAATAAAGCCAAAAATTTGTAAAAAGAAAAAAAGGGGGAAAATGTGGGATTTCTGACGTATTAACCCCCCCCCCCCCTTTCCCCTTTTTTGTGCAAACACACGGTTCAAGGCTAAATAACGTTTAACAAGAAATTCACAATGCTCTTTTGTATTGCTAGATCTTAATCATGATATTATCTGGGGCTAGCAAGGCCTAGAACTAAATTACTAAATTTAGACGTTCGGGTATTACCGTTAGTCTGTTTTAAAACTCTCTTGACCCTTAGCGGTTGTACTTTTTTTTTATGAATACAGATCTAGGATCAGGACAAAGAATTGGAGCATAGTAAAACGTAAAAATAAAATGCTAATTAATAGTAATAATTTCGCCTTAGTGTCGCGATTCGTAAATTGGACCTTTCCTTTCGTAAAGATGGGTTCTTTTAAAAGTAAAAAGACAACAACACATTTAAAGCTACTCGATATATATTATGCACGAATCAATCTTCGTTTGTATGTATTATTATAAAAGGAGCCGTTTCATTAAAAAAAAAAGATGCATGTCTAGCCTGTATAAAAACAATGTAATGATTAGCAATATTGCTTGTGTTTATGGATGATCACACATCATGGTGTGTATTTTTATTTTACAAAGTTCTCGGCCTATTGAGAGCTATATACTACACACAATTTTATATATATATATATATATATATATATATATATATATATATATATATATATATATATATATATATATATATATATATATATATTGGCTATATATTGGCTATATATGCTATAGAGAGAGATAGAGTATTGGCCTATAGTAATTTGATTATCAGAAGATTTTTAATGCAGACTGTACTCAGTTCAGTTGCAATGTTTCTTTCAGGCATCTCTTCGGGGAGTCGGGAGGCATCGAAGAGCGTCTACCGCGCACCCTCCCCCACTCCCCCAAACGAAATAAAGTTTATATAGAAAATATTTAATTTTATCAGTGCCCCCCCCCCCCCCCCGCTTCAGAAGAAAAAAGTTTAAAAGAAAAACTTTTCAGTAGTATGCTCTGTGTCTGTTTTTACGAACCTACACACAAATATAAAAACTGAATATAATATGTGCATATGTAAATGTACAGACCTCATATACAGGGGACAAAGGGTGGACGAGGTAGCCAGAACACCGGGAAAAATCCCGATGGGCCGCCAGGATCGGGGCTGTAATATGACTAAAAGTGCTTTTATTATTACACTCCCGATTTATCTGTTTTTGTTATTACCGTATATTGCCGTATACAATGTGTTAAATGACCCATGACTATAAACTTGTACTATAAAGGACTGCGACTTTGATGGATAAAATATGTACAGAAATATGTACAGTAAAATACAATTTGGCCAACATGGATAGGAAGAAAACTTAAAATGCAGGAAACATCGCTTTACAACAGAGTTAACGCCCGTTTTAGATATCCTTTTACCTTACGTTGTTTCAACCATTGTCTATTTAAAAATACAATGGAGAAATATGAATAGTAGAACAAGAAACTCTTTACTTGTATAAAACAGTTGTTAGAAATAGAATGGGAAATTGGGATGTTACCTTTTGGTAGGCCCTAAATCATGTTACCAATCATGCTCAAATAACAGCAGATATCCTGGGTCTAGGCCGCTAGCTTAACTCTAAATTCTAAATAATTATATTAATTTTAGCCAACTGCTTCCTCTTCTGGGAAAGTGCTATTTATAAACGTTTACATTTCCTGTGACGTTTTCGGGAAAACGCACGCGCAGTTTGTCATCACTGTTACTGTTAGCATAGCCCCAGCGATGAGAAATAAAATCAATATATGAATGGGCCCTTTTTTTCCCTAGGACTGTTACCTATTTTTAAAAAATAAAATGTCTATTTTGTTAGGTTTTATTTGAAATAAAAACCGTATTAAAAACTAAGACATAATATAAATTTAACAAATCGTGGTTTAAATAAGCCTATTTAAAGCAAGACATTGCCAAGATAAAAGAATAAACAGAAATCCTACACCCGAACCCCAAAACTTATTTTTACATAATTGTGTCTAGACAGGGTGTGCGTGCCCCGTGACTCATCAGATGGACGTGTGAGTCATGGCTATTTCCATCAGTACCCACGGGTCTGCTACGACCCTAACTCTTTCTTTTTCTCTCTCTCATTTAGTAGGTGAAATAGGCCTTAGAACATTTGAGCTTTGTTAAATTGAAGTGAGGAAAGTTTACACATTTTCCCTCTAGATCTGATAAAAAGGCAAAATTTCCATCCTTTTGGTTATCCAAAAAAAAAAAAAAAAAAAAAAAAAAGTCCTGAAGGGACGCGTGAAGGACACTAACAATCTCAGTCGTGTCTAAAAATATAAATTAATATATCTAGAACAGTTTTAAAAAAATAGAGTATTAATTTCCAGTACTTAACCTAGATAGATTTGCTGAGTGTAAAATTATGTAGCACAATCATTGATATCAGTAGTGTCCCAACACGGTGGGGGACGGGGAGGGGGGGGGGGGGCTCACCTGGTGACACCATCTGTGAGGGTGATACCAAAACGAAACATTGCTCTAATAAAAAACCTTGTTAAATACACCGTTCAGTTATACACATTGTTACGCTGTCTGGGATAAAGGATAACATCAAATTGCCTGAAGTTTTTGATAGGCTACATAATAAATAAATAGGCGAAGTAGTTGGCCATGGAGGAGGGTGACACCATTGTTTAATGCAGTGAGTGTCAGTCGATGAAGTGATACAACGGAATACGGATTGGTCGATGAAGTGATACAACGGAATACAGATTGGTCGATGAAGTGATACAACGGAATACAGATTGGTCGATGAAGTGATACAACGGAATACAGATTGGTCGATGAAGTGATACAACGGAATACAGATTGGTCGATGAAGTGATACAACGGAATACAGATTGGTCGCACATGAGATCTCTTACATATTTTAACGACCAAAGCTTATTTTAAAAAACACATTTGTTTTATTTTATAATTTTCAGTGCATTTAAAAGTTTATTAGTAAAAAAATGTTTTTTATATATATATATATTTTTTTTTAACTTTTTAGCATTTGGTTCTAAATGAAGTTGACACCAAATTGGCTATGACTAAAATAAACCGGGAGTGATCTCCCCTAAACTTTCTCGAAAATTCTTATATATATCAGTGATGGTACATCACGATATAGACATGATATTTAATCCATTTTTAATTACTTAAACTTTTTAAAATAGAATAAAATCTCATAGAAAAAAGAATTGCACACCAAGTGAACGAAAAACAGTATGCGTAATATTATTAGTACTTTATAAATTCATATGCTTTTTTTTTTTGTTAAATTGGAAATAGCGTAAATTACTACTTCCGGTCAACGGAAATTTTACACAATGCAGAGAATTAGATATTTTACTTATATGTGAAATTTCGTTTATCCATCTGAAACAGTACTCAAGTTATAGGCTTTCGAAAAAATTGAAAGTAGAATAAGTTCCACTTCCGGTTTTCGGAAATCGCTGAAAAGTTGACACAGAACTACAAATTTGATATAATACTTATGTATGAAATTTCATCAACCTTGCTGTGACGGTTATCGTTTTTACATACACACATATATACACACACACAGACATACGGACAGAATTGCAAAGTCCAGTTTATCCCACTCAATTACGCATAAAACGCCAAAATTTGGAATATCTGGATTTATAATTTTTGCCCAATTAAAATAAGTCCTCTATACTCCTGATGTGATGAATGACTGAGGTGTAAAACGGTGAGAACTGTCAAAGTTTCATGTGTTTTGTGTGCACGATTACAATACTTTCTCTATACTCTGTATACGAGAAAGTAAATATTTGCTTTAAAACCACATCTAAAGCTTACAAACCCTAAAAGACAATGCTATGCTACTTCATAGTCGGTGGTCAACTCTCGGGAGCAAGAAATCAACTAGCTATGTAAAACTGTTCAATGCTATCGGTAAGTTCATCTAGCGATCTCAATTATTTAATCTTATCTCCCCTTATATTATTGAATACTTAATCGACTTCGAGGAAAGTGTTGTAATCGTGCAAAAAAATCGAAATCGAGATTTTCACGTTTTACATATCTCTGAGTCGGAAAAACAGCGTTTTGGAATTTTGTCCATATGTCTGCGTGTGTGTGTCTGAGTGGATGTGACTGTGAACACGAAAATTTGAGTATCGTTACAGCTAGATTGATGAAATTTCATAAATAAGTATTAATTCAAATTTGTAGTATTGTATCAACTTCTTAGCGATTTCCGGTAACCGGAAGTGGATCTTATTCTACTTTTGGTTTTTCAAAAGCCTATAACTTGAGTACTGTTTCAGATAGATATACGCAATTTCACATATAAGTAAGAGATCTAATTCTCTGCCTTCTGTCAAATTTTGAGTAATTTCCGTTGCCCGGAAGTAGCAATTTATATATGTGAAAGCCTGGCAGAAAAAACAAAGAGGAAAACAAAGATTCAAAATATTTTAAAGGCTAATACTATTAGTCTGCTTGTCTTCCTTAAAAAACACGTCTTTTTGTATTTTTAAATGCATATTTTGAATTATTTTTTTCGTTTATCGAACAACTACACTAGAATCTATACTAAAGTATCAAGAACATTCTAGATATCTAGGTTATAATCTGAAGTATCCGTAATCCCCTCCCCCGACTCTTCTGTGCATTGCATAAGTTTGTTCGAAGTCTTTTAGCTAATAAGTTACATTTACCATCATTTCCGCGAATTGTGTTTAATCCAGGTTTAGCATTTCAAAAGGCTGAAATCAAATTACCACATAATTAATTATCACCCTTGATATACACCTTTGAAATTTTAGCGACACGGTTTATTCATAAATATAAAAATTAAAAAATTGATTTGTGATGGTAAAATAATGAAAACAGCATAAAGTACTTACTTAGGCCTCTCTCTTGTCGCTTGTTATTAAAAAATCTGGTAAATGTAGTTTCAGTCTTGTCGGTCACCGTTTTATAAGCCTGACTTTAAAAAATCAATAATTAATAAATAACAGTAAATATTGCATGACGTAAAACTAAAACGACAAGCGATACAACATAAACAACAGTAAAACAAAAATCATAGGCTGGACAGAAGGCTCTGCTAGATTTGTAGCTTTAAAATAACAAAAGATTTCAGTACTTCACTACGCTACCAAGTCCAAAAGCGAAACAGAATGTCGTCAGCATTGGCGCAGTCGTTCTATCTTTGCCAGCAGACTCAGGTAGGACTAATGTCAATAAATCTAGATCTACTAATCTAGGTTAGATCTAGATCTATACTTAATCTCATATTCACTAAATGCCTTAAAAATTGTGAACTTATAATTATATCGTTTGTTACGTAATTCATTCATGTTATTAAAATTGGCATGTTGAATGGGGTGTTAGGAAATTGCGAAAAGCGAAATGGCGCGGCGGTAAACTGCGAGAAAGGCGCGAAACGACCGGTCACGTGACATTTTTGTCTCGCTTATTACCACCACCCGATACTTGCGCTGGGTGGTGTTAAAATACGAACATATCTGCAAAAAATTTGCCGCACCCGATTTACAGTGGTATTTGATGCAGACTTCAAACATTTTCATTTACATTGTTAAAACTTCCGATTTTTCCGTCGCTAGACATTCTGATGACTTTTCAACTTCCTCATCTTTAGAATACCACCTTGTTGAAACTGCCCGAAATACCGCCGACGATAGATCATCTTCTTTCTTTTGTGTGGAACACAAGATTATACCAATTCATAATGAATTCACGTTAAATTTTTAAAAATAATGTTGACTGAGACGGTATTTTCCTCTCGCTTATGAGAAAACGAGAGCGGGCGATGACAGTAGCACAGCAACGATGTTAGGATTTTTTAATAGATAGATCTATATCTATGGATCTTAGTGTCTATCTTTCTATCTATATATAATAATGAAAACTGGATAAAAAAAATAACAATTAACACTCGTGTTAAAGCCCGCCTTTATTAAAGGGTATGGTTTTAAGCATATGCTTGTTTAGTTTAAAACAAAAAAATAATTTAAATAAATAAGCATAAAACAAAACTTTTTTTTCGCAAAAGATGTCTCGCTATTTACCCATGGTTCTGCAGGTATATCTGGCATTATCTTTTCGCAGTTAACCGCCTCGCCATTTCGCTTTTAGCGCCTTGTAATTTCCCAACACCCTGTTGATTGTTGCAGTGTAAGCCTATACTTTTACTACACTACTACTAGTAAAAGTACTGTACTGAGTACAGTAATGTCAGTAATGGTCAGTGTAATTAAGAGCAGGGTGGATTTAATTTTAATCAAACATTAAAAACTGTACCATGTGACAGTACTGCCTCATCTATGACTTTATTATTAAAAGTCACTTTTGCTTATAAGTTTGTATATTTATTTTTTAGTTTGTTGGTTCTGCACTATGATCTAGATCTATGTCAACATTAAATTGCTGACACACAAAAAAAATCGGGCAGTCCTATTTTTTCAGATCACGTGCCACCTAGGGTAAAGATTTAGCGTAACGGTGAGCGTACAGCGCAAATGCGGTCTTCAGCATGATGCGGAGCAAACCACGCGAATGCGGCCAAAATAATTTGTTAAAAACAAGTACATAAGCACAATAAATAATTGTTTTTTCAAACTGCATTATTTCAGGCCTTACATATGTCATATAAATCTTTATCTTAAGCAATGGATTTATTTAAATTAGGATACAATTTAATTAAAATAATATTTAGCATAGTTTTACCTTATGGTTAAGAGTAGCCTCCCTTTAAAATTTTAACAGAAAATATTTTACTCGAATGGTCTGTGAGTTGCTGGCTGAAAATACAGTTTGATAGCCACATATAAAAAAAGCATGCAGCCAGTGTTAATGTTTTGGTTTTAATTTTCCCCACCTAAAAAGGGCACTGTGGGTAATTTCAATGCATGTAAATTGTGCTAATTCATTATTATTTAGACATTAGCTTACATAATTTACTCATTTGTATTTAATATAAGGTTCGAGCTCAGAAAAGAACATAGAAGAAAGAAATTGATGTTTTTAAAAGATAAATTTATGATATGACGCCTTTTTAGATGTGTATAGTACAGGTGCCTTTCTGATCAGGAAAGACACGAGGATGATGAAGAAGAGTTTACGTGTTTCTGTGACCTCAGGATAGTTTAATCAGCACCATGCTCAGCCAAAATATGTGTTTTTAAAAAAAAACATTTTGGCTGAGGTGTGATGTCTTTTAAGATGTGGGGGGGGGGGGGTCTGGCATTTTGTGACAAAGCATGACAGTGGGGAGGGGAAGCATGTTGTCATTTATGAATGATCCCTAAACCCACAGGATAATTGTGGTCTCGTTAATATTAACAGTAACCCAATAATTTTTTTCTATTAGCACCTCCCCCCCCCCCCCCCCCCCCCAACAAACAAACTTTGATATATCTTGACAACAAATCTACAGTAGTTTAGACTCTCCTTGCATAACGTGAATTCCAATTTTTTAGAAGAGTTTGTTGTTAGACTTGTTTAAAAAATTGTTCGCCATAGGGTTGTCAGAGATTTAACGAAAAAATAAAAATAAAATCCTGATTAATGCATTTGTATCTGAAATGCGTGCACTTCATTGCATTACCATCCTACTATCGTACTAAATATAAACTATAAATTAGTCTCATTAGTTTCTCATTAAATACTGTTTCATAATTAAAAGATTGTTTTACTATTTTGGATTGTTGTTGAATACTTTTGATTGCTATTGAATATTGAAGTTAAATATTTTGTTTTTAGATTGCCGCAGCAGTCTCTCACTTAACCTCTTTTGTGGGTAGTGTCAGAGCTATGTCCAGTCATAAAAACAGATCAGTAAATCACAGTAGCAAGCACAGTGGACACACACAAAGTGTAACATCAGGACAGGACAAGAAAAGAGAATTAGATGAGGTATTTTAAACTTTGCTTTCCAGTTTTATCAAGCTTATCACATAATTAACTTTAAAACTTTATTTTTAAGAAAAATGTAAATTGTACATTAAATGTTATAACAAAATTAAGATCGTAATTTGCTTGAAGTAAAAAAAAAAGATTGTTTTCTGTATGCTGTATGCTGCTGCTTTAAGAAAATGTTTTGTGTTCCAACAGTTCCAACCATTACAAATATCTGATATGAAAATAATTTTCAAAGACATGACAGCCATATTAACCACTCCAACCACTGCCTTAGCTGGTAAAAAAACAAACTGGTCACAGTGTCATGTATCAGCCAGTACATTCTTTGAGAACAAAACAGGTAACGCCATTTCAAAATGGATAATTCAGAGTTTAATGTTCTTTACATTCTTAAATATTGCTGTCTTGACAGTCATTTTTTAAAAATAAAAAAATGTATATATTGCTTATTGTTTTTTAAATAGGTAATTTTTTTTTCTGTGATCAACAGGTTTCCCTAAAACACATTTACTAGCAGATAACCATTCGACTTTGTCAACTGTAAAGACAGCAGCACAAGACCCATTGTTCAGAAAAATATTTAAATCTTTGATAAGTTCACATTGTAAGTGTTCTGGAAGTTTAACATACAACATCAAAATTAAAAAAAAATTTTTTTGCGTCTGCAATTATATTTGTTTAATGTTAAGCAGAAGATGTGAATGCATTTTGAATGAACTTCAGTAAACATTAATTTTTCAAAATCAGTTTGTAATAAAGAAAAAATAAAATAATTATCTAATGCACATTAAGCTCATGGTAATTGCTGTTTAGGTGTACAACGGATATGCATTTATACATACTGTCCCATCTTGATGAAAAGATTCTTAGCAACCTATGGCTGAAAGTGTGAAACACTGCAAAATAACCAAAAACATCAACTTGCTTTTAATTAATTTGTATAGATATACAGCAACGCGGCTTTAAGACACACAGATCAGAGCGAAATCTTGGAGTTGGTGTTGGCTCTAAGAAAGATTCACCAGATTCATTTCTTGACAACTTTCAAGACTTGTTTGGCGGTCGCTCAGAGAAGCAAGTATGTTGTGATTTTATTTTGTTTATATACTAACTTCCTTACAATGGCTTTAAAATTTAAATATCTTGTCCTTTCTTTTGATAGCTTTTAACATTATAAAATTATGTGAATTTTAAATTTGTAATAGGGTTTACATTCTAGTAAATCAGAATATCTTTTAAAAATACATTTTGTTCTTAATTAAGATTAACTTTTCCATTTTTTTTATTAAACAGAGTGACCAACAAGGAACAAAAGTCGGCAACCTGTTTAACCCAACTTCACTTTCTTCTAAGTCTCATTCTGATCTTGATCCTGAGTTGGACAAAAAACTCAAGATAGCATTTGCCGAAGGTTATAGAGCTAAAGAAGAGGTTCCGAAGAAAAAGTGGCCAGGTATAAGGTTAGTAACCAGTTCTGTCAGTCGAGAATTTTACAAATGATTTATCTTTGTTAAACAGTGACGCTCATAATAAAATTTTGTTTAAATAACTTGCATTTTTAGAGTCAATTTTGTAAAGGAATACCAGTTACTTTTGATGTCCAGTTTAATATAGCTAAATTCCAATACAAATTGTTTTCCAATGTTGTCTATCCCCTATGTAAACAATACAGGTTCCATTTTCCATGTAACTTTCACATGATAAATGTAATTGTTGTATTGAGAAGTCTATAATTTTGTGGTTAAGCACAGTATACCCACACAGTGGAGGTCAGTTGTTAAAACGTTTTTCTTAACTCAGCTTCGCGTTTGTTTGTTTGGATGTTTGTTGTTAAAATTGACATCGAAAATTAGCCCACTTCTGATTGCTCTACAGACCTGAAATTTGGCATGCATGCTACTTTCGCCTAACAATTTCAGATGCAATCATAAAAACTAGCAATTAGTGACCGTAATTAGCTTAATTTAATTACGCCCCAAGGACCATAAAATTGAGGACATGATTTCTAAAGATACCGACAAGACTTGAAGCCTATTGACACAGTTACTTCGGCCCCAATCGATGTGAGCGCGCTGGCCGTGATCGTATAGTGGTTAGTACTTCGCGTTGTGGCCGCGACAACCCAGGTTCGAATCCTGGTCGCTCAAGATTTTTAGTCCGTGTATTTATAAACACTTTTTTAAAAACCACGTTTTTCATGTGTAGCAACGGACTAAAAAGGAGAACGGACACGGTAACACATTGTTAACGGTGACACGGTTGGTACGCTGGGCATGCTAAAATACACATAAACACGTTTTTCCTTAACTCAGCTTCGCGTTTATTTGTTTGTTTATGGGAGATTTGATCACGTGATTCGTGAGTAGATCTCCACGCCAGCAACGTAAATTACACCCTTTCTCTGTTTAAAGCGTATCAGTCGCTCAAGATTTTTTTAGTCCGTGTATTTAAAAACACTTAGTCAAGTCATACTTAATCAAGTGATTAGATAAAGTAGAAAATAAACTATATAAAAAACTTTTTAAAAACCACGTTTTTCATGTGTAGCAACGGACTAAAAAGGAGAAAATAAAATACTTTAAAAAAACTTTTTAAAAAACCACGTTTTTCTTGTGGACTAAAAAGTAGAAAATAACTATTTACATACATTTGATGACAAAAAACGTGGGTCGGGCAGATGGGTCGGGAAATTTGATGGTGAACGTACCCACGTTTTTTGTCATCAAATGTATGTAAATAGTTATTTTCTACTTTTTAGTCCACAAGAAAAACGTGGTTTTTTAAAAAGTTTTTTTTAAGTATTTTATTTTTGTATTGTTAATATTGGTTTCTTCAGCATTGATTTAATTTTGTCTGTTTTCGGCTCAACAGAAATTTCATTATTTTGGCATTTATTTTGTGGCTTGCCTACCAATTGCTGAGTGCTAAGATTTCAATAAAAACAGGTAAAGGCTAATTTTTAACACACATATCTTAGTTAAAAGTAGTATTATAACAATTTTTCAACTGTCCTTTTAAAAACATTTTTAAAATGTCCAATGCATATGTGAGAATAGAAGTAAATAAATACACAAAAAATATTTTGCATTTTATTTTCTATGGACGACATAGGTGGCTCACTTGGTTTTCTGAACAGCATTTCATATGAAGTAAATGCAGAAGATGTAAATGTTACTTTTGCAGATGTAAAGGGGGTATGTCTTTACTTTTTTAATTTTTTTTTTACATTTAAATAGCTGTTGTTGTCATTAGTTACATTTTTAGAAAATCTAATTTTCTGTCTAAAAGAATATATAAAATTTTCTTTTTTAACTTTTTCATGTACATAAACATTGTTGTTTAGGCTGATGAAGCTAAACAAGAACTGCAAGATGTTGTTAATTTCCTTAAAGATCCAGAGAAATACACATCATTGGGTGCTAAGCTACCTAAAGGTAAGTCATTTAGATATTTTAACACCAAATTCTGATAATTAACCAGGTAAGTTATATAGATATATAAAAAAAATCGTTTAATAATGTTAATTTAAGATTTTCGTATTTTAACGTATACTATTGTCATCAAGTTATGAAATGTCAGGTCTTTACTGACAATAACATATTTTTGTTTTCCAGGTGTTTTGCTAGTTGGTCCACCTGGAGTAGGAAAAACATTACTAGCCAGAGCTGTTGCAGGTACTAAACTTTAACAATGCTATGATGTTTTTGGATAATATTCTACAGCCCAGACATTTTTTGTCTATTTTGTCTTACACTTATTAAAAACAACTTAAGTCTAAGCTGTGTAAAAACAATTATGAATCTAATAATTTAGGAATTTATGTTATAAAATTTGCAAATGCAGACAACTTAAAAAATTATTTTAAAAATTTGCAAAAATCACTTTTCTAATACAAACTTTGATTGGCTGTTGTTGGAACAGGACCATAAGTTTGTTTTAATGCTTCCTGCTTAGCGTGCTGTGATACACATTTAAAAATAAATCAATTATTTAGCACTCAAGTTTGGTAATTCTGTATTATTCAAACAATGGTACATCAGCATGTATTTTAAAAAAATTATTTTAGTTGTGAGGATAATTAAGAAACTTAGTCATTAAAAATACATTTTAAGGCTGCCCTATACAAAAAGAAAATATAAAAAAAATTACATAGGGGAAATAACTAGATATTTGTGAAACCAGTCTGGTGAGTTGTGTTGATGAATGATGTTCTAAATCTTATATCTGTGGTCAGCTGTAGTAATGGGTTAATAATACCTTAGCAAAAAATTAAGCTTTCACAAAATAACAATTTATTTGTATAATGAGTTTATACTACAACATATAATTAGCATTTTATTCAAGATATTTATTTCATTAGAGATAAGACTGATACAGACCTTTTATCTAAAGCTGGGCTGGTCTCATACAATAATTTGAGCACATCTTTGTCTCTTTACCTCTGCAGGAGAAGCTGGTGTGCCATTTTTTCATGCTTCAGGTTCTGAATTTGATGAGTTGTTTGTTGGTCTTGGAGCTAAACGTATTAGACAACTTTTCAGTAAGCTCTTCAAAACATTTTAACCAACTGAACTGAGTTTTTTTTTTTTAGCACAGTTTAATCTTGTAACTTACAAATATTTGTTTACATTATTTTTAAGGTGTAAGTTATTGAAAGTGCATTAATAGTTAATGTTAATTTTTTTTTTCTTCTTTCTAGGTGCTGCTAAAGAACAAGCTCCATGTATTATATTCATTGACGAATTTGATTCAGTAGGTGCCAAAAGGACAAGTTCTGCTATCCATCCTTACGCTAATCAGACAGTGAATCAGCTACTGAGTGAAATGGATGGGTATGTCCATAATGTGATAAGAGTTTAACCTTTTATTGTATCTTACTGTTGGTAGCATCTACATTTCATGGGCTAGGTTCATCATGTGATAGAAGCTTTAACCTCTGAATTATATCTAACTGTTAGTGGCACCAATATATCATGTAATAGCTGAACTGAGCTTCTAATAGAAACCTGGCATTTAGCCTTATCTTTGAATCATTAATTCAATGAACTAAAAGAGTAAAGACTGGTACTAACTAAGCTTGGATGTGGTTTCAGGTTTCAACAGAATGAAGGTATTATTGTGATGGGAGCCACAAACAAGGTGGATAACATGGACAAGTAAATCATTTTTTTACTAGGTCGCGGTGGGCATTTATGTGTTGGTGGGTGGGTGGTTGGTTGGTTGGTTGTATAGTCAAATCTTGTTATTCAATACTTACCCTTTTCCAAACAGTCAACTAACACATTTTCTTAGCTGTAGTAATTCATTGCTCTGATATATTGAAAATATTTTAATTTTGCTTATGTTATGTGTGGGGAAAGGTGGCTTTGAAGTGTTTCCTGACTTTTTTTAGGTTGAATATTACTCTTCTGGTTTGTTTACTTTATCATTGTGTATCCTAAAAACAAGAAGGTCTGAAATATCCTAAATTTGTTAATTTTAGAGCTCTGAGGCGCCCTGGCAGATTTGATGTGGAAGTCACAGTGCAGTTACCTGATTTGAAAGGAAGAAAAGAAATCATTGAGTTGTACATCAGTAAAATCAAGAAAGATCCAAGTAAGTTGAATGCATGATAATACAACTTAAAGCACTTCTGAATTAAGTCTATACTTAATTTTATGGATGCTTTTTTGTTTCAATTTCTATGTTGATAGCAAAATAAGTAATTTCTTATTATTTAAAAAAAATGAATTAACAATGACGTTTTCTATAGTCGTGTTGAGTAAAAAATGCAATGATTCTTTGCTATGTTATTTCAGATGTTGATGTAGATAAACTAGCTAAGGGTACCACTGGTTTTTCTGGTAAGTTCTTACCACACAGCCAATACATAAAATTTACCACTGTGTCTGCCTTTTTTGAGTGTACCCTTTTTTACTTGCTACTTCCTGTGCTGATCATTGAAATGTATTGTACCATAAAATTTAGGGGCTGAACTGGAGAATTTGGTGAACCAGGCAGCACTGAAGGCAGTTATAGATGGACAAGACACAGTCACTATGAGCCATTTGGAATATTCCAGGGACAAAATAATGATGGGTACATTTTTTTGGTCACATACTGCATTGTAATAAAATAAGGGAAAATATAAAACAGCTACAATACTTTATGTTCGCAGCTGATAATCCTACATATTTAATGGAACAATACCTTTGAAGATTTTTGAATAAATAATGTGTGTTGTTTTCTGTGGTAGGCCCAGAAAGGAAGTACAGAATACCAGATGAAGAAACAAATTTAATCACCGCCTATCATGAGGCAGGCCATACACTGGTTGCGTACTTCACTAAAGATGCCACTGCCCTGCACAAAGTGACCATTATCCCCAGAGGGCAGTCTTTGGGGCATGTGAGTTTTTTAAAACTTTAATTATCATAGCTGAAGCAGAGTGGGCACACAATTTGTTTAGTTGTTATTCCAAGTCAGGTTGAAGTATTTTACAAGAGAGATTTTTCTTTGACGCAGACATCGTTCATTGAAGAAAAAGAAGTGTACAACCGAACAGTCTCACAGTTGAAGGCAGCAATGGACACGTCCATGGGGGGCAGGGTGGCAGAGGAGCTGATATACGGGCCAGAGAAAGTGACAACAGGAGCCTCATCAGACCTACAGCAAGCTACACGAGTAGCCACAGCTATGGTCATGGCTAACGGAATGTCTGAAAAAGTATGTCTGTTTACATTTGTAACTGCCCAATTGACTTTTTGATGGTGTCTCTGTGCCATTTTCTTTTGTATACAATCCTTTAAATTTCAGTTGATTTGATAATTTATTGAATGAACTAATCATGAAGTAAGTAAAGCACATACATGTCAGTCCAATTAGGCAAACCTGCCTTTACTCTGACATGTGAAAAAAACCTCTATAGGTAAAAAGTATCCATTTTCAGTCCCAAGATTAAGCAACACACTTAATTTTGATTTTTAGTATTTTTACTTTCTCGTATATACGAAGTATAGAGAAAGTCTTGTAATCGTGCAAAAAAAAAAAAATCGAGATTTTTGCAAATCTCGACGTTTTGCATCTCACTGATACGGAAAAACATAATTTTGCAATCTTGTCCGTATGTCTGTGTGTCTGTGTGTGTGTCTGTGTGTGTGTGTGTCCGTGTGTAAACACGATAACTTGAGTACCGTTACAGCTAGGTTGATGAAATTTCATATATAAGTATTTTATCAAAATCGTAGATCCGTATCAACTTTTGAGCGATTTCCGATAACCGGAAGTGGTACTTTTCCTACTTTGAATTTTTCAAAAGCCTATAACTTGAGTACTATTTCAGATAGATAAATGAAATTTCATACGTAAGTAAAAGATCTAATTCTCTACCTTCTATTAAATTTTGAGTCATTTCCGTTGACTGGAAGTAGTACTTTACGCTACTTCCGATTTCTCAAAAAACTAATGTAAATTTTAAAAGTAATAATAATATTGCGCACTATTATGCGCTTTTTTATTTCGCGTTCACTTGGTGTGCAATTAATTTGTCTACGAGATTTTATTCTATTTTTAAAACTTTAAGTATTTAAAATGGATTAAAAATCATGTCTATAGCCCGAGTTCCCATCCCCTGTTATTTTATATAAGAATATTCGAGAAAGTTTAGGGGAGATCACTCCCGGTTTATTTCTTTGTTTGCTTCCAACTTTCTTGTTTTTGAGCATTTATTTTTTGTCCTGATGTTTATCTACTTGTACCTGTTTTTTTTTCTATAGACTTTTGTACATGTTGGTTTTTGTGTAAAAAATAAATCCTCTAAAATTTATTCATGTTATGTTACATGTAGATTTTTTATTTCCCGTACACATTTTATTTCTCTAACTTATTGTTATGTTATTGTTCAGGTTGGGCTGAGGAGCTTTACAGATGAAGTGGAGTTAAGTCCAGTACAAAGGGAAATAATTGACAGCGAAATCAGACGTCTACTACAAGAATCCTACGAGAGGGCCAGAACCATACTCCGACAGCACAACCATGAACTAGTCAATCTAGCACAGGCGCTCATGAAATACGAAACTTTAGACAAAGATGAGATCAAAATGGTTATTGAAGGGAAAAAGTTGAACAGGACTTTATGATCCATGAAATTTATTTTAAACTCTTGACAAACTTATTTAACATTTCAACTGGCAAGCCCTGCTACAAGTCGAAGAAATGAAATTTTTTGGATTCCTTTGAAGCTGTTTTGTGTAACCACTGGTGTAGTACAAGTTTGCCAAAAGCCCGAGTGGTTTTAAAAAATTTCAAGTCCAACTTTTCTTAACTCATGAGGGGAAAAATACAAGGTTCATTTAATATTTACTTGATAGTAACTTTTTAAACATTTTCTTGTAAGAGCTGATGACTAAGTTTTAATGATATTTTAAATCATTATTTTATATGACTAATATTCAGGATCCATATTTTAGACTAACTTTGAGATCATTGTAGTATTTATAGGCTGCCCGTATAATTTTATCTGCTATTTTAGGGTGAATTTTAACATGTACTTTTAGTAAGTCGAACATTTTTGTTACAAGCGGATGGAGTATCTGGAGGTGCTACTGACTGAATCTGTGTTAATAAAAAAAAAAAGTGAATGGAAATTATCTTTCTATTTTCAGTAAATTTTACATTTAAAAGAAAACTTAAAATATTTTTTTTGTACTGTGTAAAGGAAATATTTCAACTATTCCTCTTTAATATTTAATATTTTTATTTCCCGTACATATTATTATATGTTTTGCCCCTCCCTCTAAACCTAATCTCAAGATATTCCCAGTTCATTACAAAATTCTCTATCCCACAGTTGAAATATTTCTTTCCTCTGGTTCATTTGTTTGTACATTTGATGTGACTCCAAACTGGTAAAATCAGCTCATAGTGTAATTATTGCCCCATCACAAAACTTGAAGAAACAGTTGTAATACATTATAAAACTTTATTGATAAAATACATTCTAATTATTCAACAGGCTCCTCACCTCTGTCACATAATGTTTACAAATTAATAGTAATTAGTAATCAAGCTTTAACACAGAACCTGATAAAAATGTTACAAAAGCAGTAGGTAGTCCAGCTATTTCAATTGGTTCTTCTCTTTGGGTGAATGAGAACTTTCTATGATAGAAATCCTCTCTCATATGTCAAACTGGTAAAATGGCCTCCAGAATTCAACAGTAATAACTCCATGAAAAAGCACTTCTGTGACTATAATCATGCAGATTTTTTAAGTTTCTTATTCATTGGCCAAAGATAACACGAGAAATTAAAATGTTATATTACACTAAAACATTAGTAAGTATGTTGCATCTTGCAATGTCATAGTTTCAATTAAATGACACTGGGCAAACTTCACGATTTACAAATAGATAGGGCTCAGTGCATTTCATCATGAAGTGTTTGTCAACTGATACTAGCTCTAACCCTGAGCTGATAGTTTGGGAGGGGGTGGGATCATTCTAAGTACTTTATCCTTCATATATTTGCCTGATTTACTAGTTCTAGCATTGAACGAGTAAGTCTTACTGAAGCCTTCAGTAAGCATAGCTGGATACTATTAAATCATTTTTATTATATTGGACACTTTTCATTTTATTTATTTGAAAAGCTAGATCTACTTGTGAGAAAAGCTAGATCTACTTGTTAGATTCCTGTACTTGTTCTATCCATGTTGTGAAATCAAAACCTCTGTGAGAATCCTTGACGGCAATCTGTTGGTTGTCCTCGCTGTGGTCGACCATCTCCTCCTCACTGTCCAGCTCTTCATATTCCACTGTCTTATGCTTCATCCACGTCCCGATCTCATCCAGAAACGTCACCTTGCCCCCCGTCTTGATTCGCACCGCCTCACAGATTCTAGAATATTTCTCATTCAGCAGGATGATGTAGTAGTTGACAATGACATAGTTGAGAATCGACATACTGGTTCCGATGAAGAGGGGCCCCCAGATCCGGTACAGGCCGGTTAGCGGCGGTATGACGTCCTGGTTCAGCAGCAGGCCAGTGACGGTGTACGTCGATGACGTCACGGACCGGAAATCTGAGAAGTCGCTGAAGAGGAGGTACCCAGTGGAGGAGAAGGCCATGATGGCCAGGAAAGGAATGTACGTGATGGCCAGAACTGGGGGAACAAGTTCCAGGAATATCAGCAGTGACCCGATGTTTCTGGGGAGAGAGACGGCAACACAATTTTATTAAAATTAAATGAAAGAAATTTAAAAACCTTTTATTTATAATTTAAAAAAAAACTTTTAAAATGCTAACTTGCTTTCTTTAATGTCGTCGAAATATGTAAGAGAATATTACTTTTATTAAAGAAAGTAAGTTTGCATTTAAACAATTTTTTTGTAAAGGTTTTTATATATATATTTATTTTTCCGCCTTTCAGTAATTCGTTCTAAATGATGTTAACATTAGTACAATATAGTCTACGCCCACAAATATGTGCATTTAATAAGCCCGATCAGTAGCTTGTGATATCTAAAAGACAGTTGACAGCCCCCTCTTCGAAGTCAACGCTCATCACCAAATCAGTCAACCGTGACAACAGTTCACGACGGCGAACTGATCGCGCTTGTGCTATTATTTAATCTTGTTATCTCCCCTTTATTATTGATTATAGTCATCTTTTAATTATATTTTTAATGACTAATCTACTATTTATTTAAAATCAAAATTAGATATTATTGCATCGTCATCGAAGACAAGTGTATCTGAAAAGTTTGAACGGAATCTGTGAATTAGAAGTGGGTCAAAATTTATTTGCCACAAATCCACGAACTAACAAACGGACGTTGCGAACTAAGTAAAAGCTTGTAAAAAAATCATGTGTGCCCGAAAGAGGCCTAAAAACAAATGACGATTATGAAAATTGTCTTGATTTTTAAATTTAAACCATGTCTGTCGCCACTGCTAGTAGTGCCTAGCTATCTACACACCTTACAGACTGTTGTTACCTAAGGACCTACACACCATATAGACTGTTGTTACCTAAGGACCTACACACCATATAGACTGTTGTTACCTAAGGACCTACACACCATATAGACTGTTGTTATCTAAGGACCTACACACCATATAGACTGTTGTTACCTAAGGACCTACACACCATATAGACTGTTGTTACCTAAGGACCTACACACCATATAGACTGTTGTTACCTAAGGTCCTACACACCATATAGACTTGTTACCTAAGGACCTACACACCATATAGACTGTTGTTACCTCAGGACCAACACACCATATAGACTTGTTACCTAAGGACCTACACACCATATAGACTGTTGTTACCTAAGGACCTACACACCATATAGATTGTTGTTACCTAAGAACTTACACACCATATAGACTGTTGTTACCTAAGGACCTACACACCATATAGACTGTTATTACCTAAGGACCTACACACCATATAGATTGTTGTTACCTAAGGACCTACATACCATATAGACTGTTGTTACCTAAGGACCTACACACCATATAGATTGTTGTTACCTAAGGACCTACACACCATATAGACTGTTGTTACCTAAGGACCTACACACCATATAGACTGTTATTACCTAAGGACCTACACACCATAATAATATAGACTGATGTTACCTAAGGACCTACACACCATATAGACTGTTATTACCTAAGGACCTACACACCATATAGACTTGTTACCTAAGGACCTACACACCATATAGACTGTTGTTACCTAAGGACCTACACACCATATAGACTGTTGTTACCTAAGGACCTACACACCATATAGACTGTTGTTACCTTGTCTGTAAAATAACTTTTAAGAAAACAGTCAGTGCCAGAACGCAGGAGGATGACGTAATTTTGTAAGCAATGTCAGACACCTCTGTGAAGTCGATGTAGGTCTGGGAATCTTTGTTATCAAAGTAGATGTTCTGTACGTCGAGAATCTAGTTAGTAAAGAGGGACATTTGTGAATCTTTGTTATCAAAGTAGATATTCTGTACATCGAGAATCTAGTGGGTATAGAGAGACATTTGTGAATCTTTGTTATCAAAGTAGATATTCTGTACATCGAGAATCTAGCGAGAAAAGAGTGACAATTTGTGTATCATTGTTTTTATCAAAGTAGATATTCTGTTGTGGGTAAAGAGAAACATTTGTGAATCTTTGTTACCAAAGTAGATATTCTGTACCACTATATACCGTGGTATATAGTGGTACAGGTGACTCAGCCATGCTAGAGCTCATGGATTTGCTCTATTGGAGGAGTCTACATACATTTTTCTGGTAACTATAACCTCTTAAACTTAATGTGATAATATGATCCATAACATTGTTTTTTCTTAAAGAAATTGAAAATTATTAAGAACAAACAAATGATAATTACCGCTTGTTTCCGAATGTAATATTCCTGTACGAAGAGTATCATCACGATCACACAGTTGCCACGTTCAATGATGTTGATCCAGGACATAGGTTTTTTCAGGAAGGTCATTAACCCTTGGTCCTGCATCTGGTGCAAGAGATGACGAGGTCAACGACCGAACAAAGTGGCTGTGCTAAGATGGTTATTGTGGTGCTAAGATGTGAATTTACCTGCCCACATCTAGACCAATCTGTGATTACCTGCCCACGACTAGACCAACCAGTGATTACCTGCCCACCACTAGACCAACCTGTGATTACCTGCCAAAACTAGACCAACCTGTGATTACCTGCCCACAACTAGACCAACCTTTGATTACCTGCCAAAACTAGACCAACCTGTGATTACCTGCCCACCACTAGACCAACCTGTGATTACCTGCCCTAAACTAGATCAACCTGTGATTACCTGCCCACAACTAGACCAACCAGTGATTACCTGCCCACGACTAGACCAACATGTGATTACCTGCCCACGACTAGACCAACCTGTGATTACCTGTACAATGTCCTCCTTAATGTAGTGAACTGTGAGAATCAACATGACCACCATGAACCCACGTAGTACGATGCTCTGTGTCGGGTTGTAGAAGAGGGGGAAGCTGTAGACTTGGGGCGTGTCTTGGGATATGCCCACTGTTAACAGAATATGGGGGTATCAGCCTACCTAGCGATACCACTGATTGAACCACTCTCTCGAAAAAAAAATCGGAAATTACTAGCTTTTGATTACGCAAAATAGACGCCTCGCACGCGAGTCATCTAAGCAAACAGGAAATGGCTTACCGGAATTGAACTCGTATACGTGAACAATGGACGTGACGAGTTGAGTGTCAGCGTTGAACAACGCGAGATCGACTCGCACCGCCCGAGTGTATTCGTCGATCCATTGTCGACTCTTCAGGTAATCGAGTTCTTCAGCTTTCTTTGCTCGCACCGAAAACATGGCGTTGTACCTGGTGTAAGGAATAAAACAACAAAAAGTTCTCTCTTTTGTGATGACAATTTTTTAGTTGTACAGAAATTTAGTGGTCATTGACTTATGTCGATCACGAAAAAAAATTGAATTCAGAATTCCCTTCAGAACAAGTGATCACTCCACTCCTCACTGACCACTCTACTCCTCACTGCCCACTCCACTCCTCACTGCCCACTCCACTCCTCACTGACCACTCCCCCCTTATGACCTCCCTACTCACCCATCAGAGGGGTACCTATGCTCCCAAGTATTGAATATCTCGCCCTCCTCATTTTTGAAAGGACCAAACAGGACTTCACGTTTTGTAATTTTGCCCCACGACAGCGCGTAGTTCTTGAACTCTGGTGGTTTGTAGAAAAATGTAGTTTGTAGGTTAGTAGATAAACTAGTTATAGTATGTTGCATCGTAGACAAAATTCGATAAGGACTTATTTTAAGGAGACAAGATGATGGCGATCCCTGTTCTAAGGAGACGAGATGATAGCGATCTCTGTCAACCCTTTGTACGCAAACCTAAACCGTGTTTTACCAAGTTATCTGACGGTTACATTTGCTGTTGAGTTTTCACTAGCCACAAACAACGTAGCTCAGTCCTGTGCAGTAAAATAAATATTAAAGGTTCATTACATTTTTGCTTGTAGACGGATATAGAAAGAAAAGAGTCGCATTTATAATTTATTTAATCAAGAGCCACTTTTGGCCCTAATGTCACGAGTGAGGCTAAAGAAGTGTGAAAGACACCTGGATTTGATGTCTAATGACAGAAGTGTGAAAGACACTTACCTGCCTTTGATCTCTCGATGTCAAAGTGACATCTGGGGCTGATGAGTTCGTTGAAGTCTTCGGTACAGTTCCCTGTTGGATGGAAGAGTGGACAGTGGTCATCTTTCTGTCACCAACAGTGGTCATCTTTCTGTCACCAACAGTGGTCATCTTTCTGTCACCAACAGTGGTCATCTTTCTGTCACCAACAGTGGTCATCTTTCTGTCACCAACAGTGGTCATCTTTCTGTCACCAACAGTGGTCATCTTTCTGTCACCAACAGTGGTCATTTCTGTCACCAACAGTGGTCATGTCTGTCACCACCAGTGGTCATCTTTCTGTCACCAACTGTGGTCATGTCTGTCACCAACAGTGGTCATCTTTCTGTCACCAACAGTGGTCATCTTTCTGTCACCAACAGTGGTCATCTTTCTGTCACCAACAGTGGTCATCTTTCTGTCACAAACAGTGGTCATCTTTCTGTCACCAAAAGAATTTTTGTCAGAAACTAAATACCCTCTGCACCCTCACCTGTGACCTACCTCTGCACCCTCACCTGTGACCTACCTCTGTACCCTCACCTGTGACCTACCTCTGTACCCTCACCTGTGACCTACCTCTGTACCCTCACCTGTGACCTACCTCTGTACCCTCACCTGTGACCTACCTCTGTACCCTCACCTGTGACCTACCTCTGTACCCTCACCTGTGACCTACCTCTGTACCCTCACCTGTGACCTACCTCTGTACCCTCACCTGTGACCTACCTCTGTACCCTCACCTGTGACCTACCTCTGTACCCTTACCTGTGACCTACCTCTGTACTGACTTACCATCATACGGCTGTACCCGCAGTTGTCGTATCCTGACGTTGGGGAGGCTGTTGAAGCTGGTGGTGGTGTTGGCGTTGGACAGCCAGTTGTGTGTCTTCATGTGGAAGCTGTACTTGAGGTGGTTCCAGAAGTCGTCGATGCTGATAAACTACAACACAGGACAACGAGAGCGGGTTTGATTAGTAAACAATGCAACAATAGTGGAAAATGAAAGTTTATAAGCAAATGACATCAGCCTGGAATAGTATAAAAGTGGAAAAAAAAGGTTAGAAATCTTTCCGCGCTGTTATTGAAACATGTCATAAAAAATTGGTTGTATATTTTTTGTACTACTGTTTGTATATTTTCGATGTATTTGCACAATCAGAAAGTGTAATGAGACAAGCTAGCCTACTCAGAAAGGAAGTTTTGGCAGTCGTTTCGGGTGGGAGAGAGAGGGCTGTTGTGCGCTGAGGTATGACGTCATTTAAGGGGGGGGGAGTCTGGCGTTTTGTTAGGATCTGTGACCATGGGGGAAAAGGGGGGGGGGTTGTGTATGTGTAAAGTTACATCTCTTATGCATGATCCTTACATTAAAATCTGGATAAATGAATGTACATGCTACAAAAACCAAAGACCCTTAAAGTAAAATTTGCATGAAAGAACGTACATGCTACAAAAACCAAAGACCCTTACAGTAAAATCTGCATTAATGAACGTAATGCTACAAAAACCAAAGACCGTTACAGTAAAATTTGCATGAATGAACGTACATGCTACAAAAACCGAAGACCCTTACAGTAAAATCTGCATTAAAGAACGTACATTACAAAAACCAAAGCCCCTTACAGTAAAATCTGCATGAAACATGCTACAAAAACAAAAGACCCTTACAGTAAAATCTGCTCGTATGAACGTACATGTTACAAAAACTAAATACCCTTACAGTAAAATCTGTATTAAAGAACGTACATGCTACAAAAACCAAAGACCCTTACAGTAAAATCTGCATTAAAGAACGTACATTACAAAAACCAAAGACCGTTACAGTAAAATCTGCATTAAAGAACGTACATGCTACAAAAACCAAAGACCCTTACAGTAAAATCTGCATTAAAGAACGTACAAGCTACAAAAACCAAAGGCCACTCACCGTGTTGATGCTGACCTCTGCCCGGCCGACCTGCAACAGCTGCCTCAAGAAGCTCGTCTGCTGGTAGCGCATCAGGACGTCGCCGCTCTGGAAGTTGATGATGACAACCACCACAAAGATGAAGAGCAGGGCCGAGCGCTGGAAGTCCGAGCCTCGTTTGGGGGCCGGCATGTCCCCCACCGCCCCGACCCCCTTTTCCTCCACCGTCGGGATGTGGACCCCAAGCTCCTGGACGGGAGTTTGACAAGTGTGAGCTAAAATTGTCCAGTTTTTTGGTAGTGGTCAGGGTATAGACAAAATAAACCACACGACTTTCTAATATTTGACCATTGAATCCACCCAGTTCTGGTTTACGTTATGGAGATTAAAGTCGGCTGGGTACATAATTTACCACCCAACAGATGAACTCTACTTGGTTTGTCTATACAATGCCCTGACAGTGTTTCTTCCAGACTTTTTTCTCCGGGGGTGCACTTGAAATTTTCGGGGGGGGGGGGGGGGGGGGAAGAGGGCGGACTCAAATTTCCGGGGGGGAGGGGGCGGACACTGTTAAAAGTATATATTTTCTATATAAATTCCATATTGTTCGGGGGGGGGGGGGAGACTTTATTCGGGGGGAGGGGGAGGGAGGGAGGGGGCTCCGCCACCCCGAAGAGATGCCTGGAAGAAACTCTGTGCCCTGACCGGACCGTACCTTGAGCACGTTACGAGTGTGCTTGCGGTAGATGAACTTCCAGGCAGTAGAGAGGTACGTGTGTTTGTAGGACACGGTTCTCTTGGGGTCAGACTTGAGCAGGGTTCCAATCTTCAGACCAGAGTACAGGTACCTCTGGCAAGCTGAGGGGGAAACACAAAAATCTGGGCGGGTCACACTAGATGTAACAAGAAAAAAAACACACAAAAATAAACCGGGAATGATCTCCCCTAAACTTTCTCGAATATTCTTATACAAAACAACAGGGGATGGGAACTCCATTTTAAATACTTAAAGTTTTTAAAATAGAATAAAATCTCGCAGAAAAAAGAATTGCACACCAAGTGAACGCCAAATGAAAAGTGCATAATAGTGCGCAATATCATTAGTACTTTATAAATTCACATGCGTTTTTTTGAGAAATCGGAAATAGCTTAAGTTAGTACTTCCGGTCAATGGAACTTACTCAAAATTTGACAGAAGGTAGAGAATTAGATCTTTTACTTACATGTGAAATTTCATTTATCTATCTGAAATAGTACTCGTTATAGGCTTTTGAAAAATTCAAAGTAGAAAAAGTACCACTTCCGGTTATCGGAAATAATTCAAAAGTTGATACGGATCTACGATTTTGATAAAATACTTATATATGAAGATTGCAAAATTATGTTTTTCCGAATCAGGTGTAAAACGTCGAGATTTGTAAAAATCTCAATTTTTTTTTGCACGATTACAAGACTTTCTCTGTACTTCGTATATACGAGAAAGTTAAAAAAAAAAAATTTAAATAAAATTACCCAAGTTTGAAAAAATATAATTTTACGATTTAAAATAAACAATTTCAGGGTTTTCCAAATATAATTTTATCTTAACTTTCTATAGGCTACTCAGCGTTCTATTAAGCACTTACTTGTTTTATTCGTGTACATCTGGACTTTGATATTAAAGTTATTGCGTCACCGTTGATCTTAAAGTCATTCACTCACCTACTTGAAGTCATCCGCTCTCCGTGGAACTTAAAGTCATTGGCTCACCGTGGAACTTGAAGTCATCGACTTACCTTGGAACTTTAAGTCATCCACTCACCTTTGAACTTGAAGTCAGCCTCAGTCTTAAAGAGCGGATTTTTCTCAAACACGATGAAGGCGACGACCATGATGAAGAAGGGATGAATGATGGCCTGTACGATGAAGAACGTGGCGAAGCTGACGAGCAGGTAGTGGGCAGTTTCCGTCATGTGGAAGCCGTAGAAGATGACCAGGTAGCTGATGGAGATGATGGTCAAGATGAGGACACACAACACCGTCGTCTCCGCGATGGAAATCCAGTTGATGCTGTGGGTGGAGCAGAATGGTTCGGTTGTAATATACGAACAAAATGGTTTAGCTTCAGAACACGAAAAAAATGGATCAGTTTCAGAACACGAACAAAATGTTTTAGCTTCAATGTACGAACAAAATAATTCAGCGTAAATGTACGAACAAAATGTTTCAGCTTTAGAACACGAACAAAATGGATCAGTTTCAGAACACGAACAAAATGTTTTAGCTTCAATGTACGAACAAAATAATTCAGCGTAAATGTACGAACAAAATGTTTCAGCTTCAATGTACGAACACAATGTTTCAGCTTCAATGTACGAACACAATGTTTTAGCTTCAAAGTACAAACAAAATGGTTAAGTTTCAATGTACGAACCAAATGGTTCAGCCACAATACGCGAACAAGTGGTTACAGTTTCAAAACGTGAACAAACGTGTTTCGTTTCAACATACGAACATTCGTGACCGGAAAAGTACAATTTTAGCAAGCAAAGTTCGCAATATGTTTTTAGAGTTGATTTCTGTCATTAGCATATCAGGTATTATTTATATATGATGTCACATTTTCATTGTATAGAAATACTTTAAAAACTAAAATGAAAACATGGTTGTAGATCGGGACCTTGCTATTGGTTTTTAAAATATGGTACACTACGCGAAAAGAAAAGTAGAACGCGAAAAAAGAGAACATACCCTTTGTCTTGAGCCTTTTGCCACTGGGGGTCCAGGTGCAGATTCTCCAGAAAAATGTGGTACAAGAACAACGACGCCTCCGAGGGAGATCTCTCTCTGCGCGCCCTGAAGGCTGACAGGTCCACGCCCGTATCTTGGATGCTCTTCAGGATTCTCTGGTTCCGCTGCCGATGTTTGGCGATGACCTCACCGATCTCGGCGTCCCTCTTGACGGGCTCGCCACCTTTCGCAGAAAAAACGCTCGACATTCTCCGCACACGGGGGGTGTCCTCCCCCGCATTGTCGCTCCGGTTCGTTTCTTCCTCCACCGACGGCCCCACGGTCGTTCCGTCATCCGAGGGGCTCCGGTTATCGGAAAAACTTGTGACTTCTGATCGGGGGGATTTATTCGAAAGTCTCTTAGGCGTCTCTGTGGGCGTCGCGGCTTTATCCACGGGGCGCGTCATGTTTAAGAGGGAGGGCGCCGGCCTATCCGGCAGGGGCGGGAGCGTGACGTCATGCCGGATACTTTGAGGCCAGTTGAGTGAATGTGTGCCCGTCTGGTTGAGACCTATACTAGGTTTTACAAAGCGGAGAAGAAAATGTTATGCAATGTGATGTTTATTTTTTACGGCACGCCGTTACACAACTAGAAAATAAAATGTAATGATCACTAAAATGAAGAGTTTGTACTTGAATTGGAATTCCCTTTGTTATTTATTTAGTAGGAGAAAAGGCATTTTTTTCAAAATTTAGTTATGCGGATTCTGGAACTTTTATAGTATGAGAGTTCGAATTTTAAAAAATCAAATGATGTCTTTGTTAGATTTTAACTACTTGAGTACATTATCTACAAATGAAGTCGCCTTTTTAGACATTCGATCGAAATTAAGTTCATACTAAGTTACGCCTAAAAATATCTACATTAAAATTCATTAATTGTCTTGAGATCTCTAAAATGTAGTTATCTGCCCCTATTTACTTCTTGGACCAATCAAATGACTGCTCACAAAGTCAACAATGGGACAGTTAAAAAAACAACAGACCAATCAAATGATTGCTCACAAATTCATCATGACAATCATTAAAAAACAGACCAATCAAATGATTGCTCACAAATTCACCATGACAACGATTAAAAACAACAGACCAATCAAATGATTGCTCACAAATTCACCATGACAACGATTAAAAAACAGACCAATCAAATGATTGCTCACAAATTCACCATGACAACGATTAAAAACAACAGACTTATCAAATGATTGCTCACAAATTCACCATGACAACGATTAAAAAACAGACCAATCAAATGATTGTTCACAAATTCACCATGACAACGATTAAAAACAACAGACCAATCAAATGATTGCTCACAAATTCACCATGACAACGATTAAAAAACAGACCAAACAAATGATTGCTCACAAATTCACCATGACAACGATAAAAAACAACAGACCAATCAAATGATTGCTCACAAATTCACCTTGACAACGATACAAAACAACGGACCAATCAAATAATTGCTCACAAATTCACCATGACAACAATTAAAAACAGACCAATCAAATGATTGCTCACAAATTCACCATGACAACGATTAAAAAACAGACCAATCAAATGATTGCTCACAAATTCACCATGACAACGATTAAAAACAACAGACTTATCAAATGATTGCTCACAAATTCACCATGACAACGATTAAAAAACAGACCAATCAAATGATTGTTCACAAATTCACCATGACAACGATTAAAAACAACAGACCAATCAAATGATTGCTCACAAATTCACCATGACAACGATTAAAAAACAGACCAATCAAATGATTGCTCACAAATTCACCATGACAACGATAAAAAACAACAGACCAATCAAATGATTGCTCACAAATTCACCTTGACAACGATACAAAACAACGGACCAATCAAATAATTGCTCACAAATTCACCATGACAACAATTAAAAACAGACCAATCAAATGATTGCTCACAAATTCACCAGGAGGACGATCAAGAACGAGATGATGGAGCCAATAAATGACGTCAGAATGAGCTCTGACATCAGAGACTGGAAAGTTCCCGCCGATTTCATGATCATCCGGTCCCCGTACAGCTCCACCTTGATGACCCCCGTGGTCACCAGGGTCAAGGTCATCATCAGCAGCAGAGTGAACATAAGGCAGAGGGCATATTTGGACTGGGGAAAATAAGGTAGAGGGCATATTTGGCCTGCAGAAAATAAGGTAGAGGGCATATTTGGCCTGCAGAAAATAAGGTAGAGGGCATATTTGGCCTGCAGAAAATAAGGTAGAGGGCATATTTGGACTGTGGAAAATAAGGCAGAGGGCATATTTGGCATGTGGAAAATAAGGCAGAGGGTATATTTGGCATGGGGTAGACAAGAATTATAATCAGTTTATGTACGGTCCTCAGAATTTATGACAGAGGAACTCGTACAGTTCCAACACTAGTTAGGACTTTTGGGATACACAACCAACCTAAATTTATCCATCTTAACCATCTGTCGCACTCACCCGTCAGGCTCACCTGTCCAAACCACCTCTCCAACCCACCTGTCCACCCACCTGACAACCTACCTGTCCACCCACCTGACAACCCACCTGACAACCCAACTGTCCAACCCACCTGACAACCTACCTGTCCAACCCACCTGACAACCTACCTGTCCACCCACCTGACAACCCACCTGACAACCCAACTGTCCAACCCACCTGACAACCCACCTGTCCACCCACCTGACAACCTACCTGTCCACCCACCTGACAACCCACCTGACAACCCAACTGTCCAACCCACCTGACAACCCACCTGTCCAACCCACCTGACAACCCACCTGCCACCTTACCTTAGTGAAGACGTTCCCAGGGATATTGAAGACACCTGTCCGCCCCACCTGTCCACCCCACCTGTCCACCCCACCTGTCCGCCCCACCTGTCCGCCCCACCTGTCCGCCCCACCTGTCCGCCCCACCTCCCACCTTACCTTAGTGAAGACGTTCCCAGGGATATTGAAGACACCTGTCTACCCCACCTGTCCGCCCCACCTGACAACCCACCTGCCACCTTACCTTAGTGAAGACGTTCCCAGGGATATTGAAGACACCTGTCCGCCCCACCTGTCCGCCCCACCTGTCCACCCCACCTGTCCGCCCCACCTGTCCGCCCCACCTGCCACCTTACCTTAGTGAAGACGTTCCCAGGGATATTGAAGACACCTGTCCGCCCCACCTGTCCGCCCCACCTGTCCACCCCACCTGTCCGCCCCACCTGTCCGCCCCACCTGTCCGCCCCACCTGCCACCTTACCTTAGTGAAGACGTTCCCAGGGATATTGAAGACACCTGTCCGCCCCACCTGTCCGCCCCACCTGCCACCTTACCTTAGTGAAGACGTTCCCAGGGATATTGAAGACACCTGTCCGCCCCACCTGCCACCTTACCTTGGTGAAGACGTTCCCAGGGATATTGAAGACACCTGTCCGCCCCACCTGTCCGCCCCACCTGCCACCTTACCTTAGTGAAGACGTTCCCAGGGATATTGAAGACACCTGTCCGCCCCACCTGCCACCTTACCTTAGTGAAGACGTTCCCAGGGATATTGAAGACACCTGTCCGCCCCACCTGTCCGCCCCACCTGTCCGCCCCACCTGCCACCTTACCTTAGTGAAGACGTTCCCAGGGATATTGAAGACACAGCCGACAATGACGTGGAGGATACGGAGGTGCCGGACAAACAGGTAGAGGAGGGTCCTGTATCGGCTACCTGTAGGGGGGGGGGAATAAATATTAGAGGTGGGGGTGGTGTGGGAGTGGTGTGGGAGGCGGAGGGTCCTGTATCTGCTACCTGTAGGGGGAGAGATATTATTAGAGGTGGGTGGGAGTGGGGGTGGGGGAGGGCCCTGTATCTGCTGCCTGTGGAGGGAGAGATATTATTAGAGGTGGGGGTGGGGGAGGGTCCTGTATCGGCTACCTGTAGGGGGAGAGATATTATTAGAGGCGGGGGTGGGGAATGGGGTGGGTAGGGTTGTGTAGGGAAGGTGGTGTGGGAGATGGAGGGTCCTGTATCTGCTACCGCAAGAGGGGATATTATTAGTGGTGGGGTGGGGGATGGGGTGGGGGATGGGGTGGGGGATGGGGTGGGGGATGGGGTGGGTGAGGGTCCTGTATCTACTGCCTGCAGGTGGGAGAGATATTACTACAGGTGGTGGTGAGGGTTGGGGTGAGGGATGGGGGGGGGGGGAAGAAATATCACGACAGATAAAGTGGGGTCTGGGTGCCTAGCGAAGAATATTTCTTTAACAAAAATGATTCTGTTTTAAATTATAATCTTATACTTTAACCAAACGTCCTTTTGAGCATTATTTAACTTTTCTTCTAACCTTCTAATGAAACAAAATGTTGATTTTGATTATAAAAGTAATAAATTGATTTTATTTAGCTGTGTTACCATATCAGCTGAGGTTTAAAACAAAAAATAGAAAGACAGCGGTATGACGCGGTATGACGCCGTATGACGCCGGAATGACGCGGGCATGACGCCGGCTTAAAGCCGGCATGGTGTGAAAAGTTTACCGTCAGTTCTGGTAATGGGGTAGATAATGTACAGGTATGAAAAGTTTACCGTCAGTTCTGGTGATGGGGTAGATGATGTACAGTGTACAGGTATGAAAAGTTTACCGTCAGTTCTGGTGATGGGGTAGATGATGTACAGGTATGAAAAGTTTACCGTCAGTTCTGGTAATGGGGTAGATAATGTACAGGTATGAAAAGTTTACCGTCAGTTCTGGTGATGGGGTAGATAATGTACAGGTATGAAAAGTTTACCGTCAGTTCTGGTAATGGGGTAGATAATGTACAGGTATGAAAAGTTTACCGTCAGTTCTGGTGATGGGGTAGTTAATGTACAGGTATGAAAAGTTTACCGTCAGTTCTGGTAATGGGGTAGCCAATGTACAGGTATGAAAAGTTTACCGTCAGTTCTGGTGATGGGGTAGATAATGTACAGGTATGAAAAGTTTACCGTCAGTTCTGGTGATGGGGTAGATGATGTACCGGTAGCCGGTTCTCTGGTCGGGAATCCAGCTGTCACAGATGCAGTAGCTGTCTTCGTTGGTACTGAGGTTTCTAAAGAATATGTGCAGCACATACCTGGGGTGGGGGTGGGGTGAGGGGAGGTGGGTGGTTAGTAGCGTTCACATTTGAGGCTGATGGTATGAGTTGCGGGTCATTTGAAAGTTAGGGTAGAATAGTCTACAACTCAGTTGAGTTTAATTAACTCCGTGTGTTTTTGTGAGGGTGTTGTGAGCTGAGGTTAATGTATTGTTGGAATGTGTTCTAACTGGTAACTGACCAATGTTTACGAGAGTCGGCATAATTCCCAGAATAACATTTTAAAGGATGTGTAGCAAGCTAAATCTGCTAGACAAAACATAGGATTTCAAACAACAATAGGGCTTGTAAGTAGGTCACCAACTTACGGTTTTCGTATTTGCCAGGTAGTATTTTTAAAACCAAAAGGTACTTCCGTTATTGTTAAGTTATTCAAAATCGTAAAAAATGATGACTACAAGATATAAGCTGGCTTTTAAAAAAAATATAGCCGACGTAAAATTTTGATTTAAAAAAAAAAAGAAGAGTACATATTGTTGTTTGAAAAGAGAACATCGGTCTAGTTCCATGACTATTACTTAACGTAAAGTGAAGCTCTCCATAGCATATACAAATTCGCTGTTCACATATATTATTTTAGGTTAGACTAAATTAAAAAGTTAGACCAAATTTTAATTAAAAAGTTGGATTAAATTAAAAAGTCAGACCAAATTAAAAAGTCAGACCAAATTAAAAAGTTCGACTAAATTAAAAGGTTAGACTAAATTAAAAAGTTAGACTAAATTAAAAAGTTAGACTAAATAAAAAAGTTATACTAAATTAAAAAGTTAGACCAAATAAAAAAGTCAGACCAAACTAAAAAACTAGACCAAATTATGAATTAGGCCCAAATTAAAAGCTAGACCAAAATTTAAAAGTTCGACCAAATTAAAAAGTCAGACCAAATTAAAAAGTCAGACAAAATTAAAAAGTCAGACCAAATTAAAAAGTCAGACCAAATTAAAAAGTCAGACCAAATTAGAAAGTCAGACCAAATTCAAAAGTTAGACCAACCACTCATCTAATGTCCGTTTCTCCTCAAAAGCCAGGACAGCAGATTGGAGCTGTCCGAGATTTCCTGGACAGCTCAACAGGAACCAGATCTCACTTCCCGTCTGAGGACACATAAAACATAGCTTGACAGGCAGACAAAACATAGCTTGACAGACAAAACATAGCTTGACAGACAAAACATAGCTTGACAGACAAAACATAGCTTGATAGACAGACAAAACACTTTCAAAAACATGTACATCCCACCTCTTTACAATATTGACAGGGGAACACAACAACAGCCTGCAACAGCATCCAACAGCTGAAGTCCACGATAGCAACCAACTATAGCCGTCTACAACAACAGCCCACAACAACGACTAACAATAGCAGCCCACAACAGCAGCCCACAACAACAGCCTACAACAACAGCCCACAACAACGACTAACAATAGTAGCCCACAACAGCAGCCCACAACAACAGCCCACAACAACGACTAACAATAGTAGTCCACGACAACGACTAACAACAGCAGCCCACAACAACAGCCCACAATAACAGCCCACTGAGGGACAACCCCCCCCCCCCACCCAGCGTTACCTGAAAGACGTAGTTATCCGGGAACAGCTTGTAGTTGAAGGTGACGTCACTGGAGCCGATGAGGGTGAGGGTGGGGGCGTTGAGCGTCCCCGAGCCGGGGCGGGTGCCGGTGGCGATACACACCAGGTACTGCTCAGCCAGATAGGCGCTGAAGATCCTGGGGTACACAAAGATTTTTCGCTGAAACAGGTGGGGGAGATGTTAACACAGGTGGGAGATGTTAACACTGATGGGAGATGTTAACACAGGTGGGAGATGTTAACACAGGTGGGAGATGTTAACACTGATGGGAGATGTTAACACTGGTGGGAGATGTTAACACTGATGGGAGATGTTAACACTGATGGGAGATGTTAACACTGGTGGGAGATGTTAACACTGATGGGAGATGTTAACACTGGTGGGAGATGTTAACACAGGTGGGAGATGTTAACACTGGTGGGAGATGTTAACACTGATGGGAGATGTTAACACTGGTGGGAGATGTTAACACAGGTGGGAGATGTTAACACAGGTGGGAGATGTTAACACTGATGGGAGATGTTAACACTGGTGGGAGATGTTAACACAGGTGGGAGATGTTAACACAGGTGGGAGATGTTAACACTGATGGGAGATGTGTGGGAGATGTTAACACAGGTGGGAGATGTTAACACAGGTGGGAGATGTTAACACTGATGGGAGATGTTAACACTGGTGGGAGATGTTAACACTGGTGGGAGATGTTAACACAGGTGGGAGATGTTAACACTGATGGGAGATGTTAACACTGGTGGGAGATGTTAACACAGGTGGGAGATGTTAACACTGGTGGGAGATGTTAACACAGGTGGAAGATGTTAACAATGATGGGAGATGTTAACACAAGTGGGAGATGTTAACACTGGTGGGAGATGTTAACACTGATGGGAGATGTTAACACAGGTGGGAGATGTTAACACTGGTGGGAGATGTTAACACAGGTGGGAGATGTTAACACTGGTGGGAGATGTTAACACAGGTGGGAGATGTTAACACAGGTGGGAGATGTTAACACTGGTGGGAGATGTTAACACAGGTGGGGGAGATGTTAACACAGGTGGGATATGTTAACACTGGTGGGAGATGTTAACACTGATGGGAGATGTTAACACAGGTGGGGGAGATGTTAACACTGATGGGAGATGTTAACACAGGTGGGAGATGTTAACACTGATGGGAGATGTGTGGGAGATGTTAACACAGGTGGGAGATGTTAACACTGATGGGAGATGTTAACACAGGTGGGAGATGTTAACACAGGTGGGAGATGTTAGCACTGATGGGAGATGTTAGCACAGGTGGGAGATGTTAACACAGGTGGAAGATGTTAACACAGGTGGGAGATGTTAACACTGATGGGAGATGTGTGGGAGATGTTAACACAGGTGGGAGATGTTAACACAGGTGGGAGATGTTAACACTGATGGGAGATGTTAACACAGGTGGGAGATGTTAACACAGGTGGGAGATGTTAGCACTGATGGGAGCTGTTAGCACAGGTGGGAGATGTTAACACAGGTGGAAGATGTTAACACAAGATGGGAGATGTTAACACAGGTGGGAGATGTTAACACTGGTGGGAGATGTTAACACAGGTGGGAGATGTTAACACTGATGGGAGATGTTAACACAGGTGGGAGACGTTAACACAGGTGGGAGATGTTAACACAGGTGGGAGATGTTAACACAGGTGGGAGATGTTAACACAGGTGGGAGATGTTAACACAGGTGGGGGAGATGTTAACACTGATGGGAGATGTTAACACAGGTGGGAGATGTTAACACAGGTGGGGGAGATGTTAACACTGATGGGAGATGTTAAAACAGGTGGTCGACGTTAACACAGGTGGGAGATGTTAACACAGGTGGGAGATGTTAACACAGGTGGGGGAGATGTTAACACTGATGGGAGATGTTAACACTGATGGGAGATGTTGACACTGATGGGAGATGTTAACACTGATGGGAGATGTTAACACAGGTGGGAGATGTTAACACAGGTGGGAGATGTTAACACGGATGGGAGATGTTAACACAGGTGGGAGATGTTAACACAGGTGGAGGAGATGTTAACACAGGTGGGGGAGATGTTAACACAGGTGGGGGAGATGTTAGCACAGGTGGGGGAGATGTTAACACAGGTGGGGGAGATGTTAACACAGGTGGGGGAGGTGTTAACACAGGTGGGGGAGATGTTAACACAGGTGGGAGATGTTAACACAGGTGGGAGATGTTAACACAGGTGGGAGATGTTAACACAGGTGGGAGATGTTAACACTGGTGGGAGATGTTAACACAGGGGGGAGATGTTAACACAAGTGGGGGAGATGTTAACACAGGTGGGAGATGTTAACACTGATGGGAGATGTTAACACTGATGGGAGATGTTAACACAGGTGAGAGATGTTAACACAGGTGGGAGATGTTAACACTGGTGGGAGATGTTAACACAGGGGGGAGATGTTAACACAGGTGGGGTAGATGTTAACACAGGTGGGAGATGTTAACACTGGTGGGAGATGTTAACACTGATGGGAGATGTTAACACTGATGGGAGATGTAAACACAGGTGAGAGATAATAACACAGGTGGGAGATGTTAACACAGGTGGGAGATGTTAATACAGGTGGAGGAGATGTTAACACTGATGGGAGATGTTAACACAGGTGGGAGATGTTAATACAGGTGGGAGATGTTAGCACAGATGGGAGATGTTAACACAGGTGGGAGATGTTAACACTGGTGGGAGATGTTAATACAGGTGGGAGATGTTAGCACAGGTGAGAGATGTTAACACAGGTGGGAGATGTTAACACTGGTGGGGGAGATGTTAACACTGGTGGGAGATGTTAGCACTGATGGGAGATGTTAACACTGATGGGAGATGTTAACACAGGTGAGAGATGTTAACACAGGTGGGAGATGTTAACACTGGTGGGAGATGTTAACACAGGTGGGAGATGTTAACACAGGTGGGGTAGATGTTAACACAGGTGGGAGATGTTAACACTGGTGGGAGATGTTAACACTGATGGGAGATGTTAACACTGATGGGAGATGTTAACACAGGTGAGAGATGTTAACACAGGTGGGAGATGTTAACACAGGTGGGAGATGTTAATACAGGTGGAGGAGATGTTAACACTGATGGGAGATGTTAACACAGGTGGGAGATGTTAATACAGGTGGGAGATGTTAGCACAGATGGGAGATGTTAACACTGATGGGAGATGTTAACACAGGTGAGAGATGTTAACACTGAAGGGAGATGTTAACACTGGTGGGAGATGTTAACACTGAAGGGAGATGTTAACACAGGGGGGAGATGTTAACACAGGTG